TCACTTATTACCATTTGATCTCTTTGCATTAAGAAACTCGAGTTTCTGTTGCAGTATACTTTGGGTCTTAATCCATTTGCACTGTGAAGCAGTGTCCACTCAGTTTTGCAGCATTTGGCTGAATCTGAGCAGAGACTACAGCTCTGTGCACTTCAGAGTCCTTCCTGCTATTTCTAGCAGCAGTCACATCATCAATAAACACCAGTGACCCGGTTCCACTGGCAGCCATACATGCCCATGCCATAACATTGCCTCCAACATGTTTGACAGATAATGTGACAGATAGCATGGTATGCTTCAGAACATGAGCTGTTTCTCTTCTTCTTCATACTTTTCTCTTTCCAGTTGATACAAGAACATCTTGAATTAATTGGTCCGAAGATTTTTTTTTAGAACCTTCTTATTCTTAAGTGTAACCAGTGGTTTGTAGTTTGTTGTAAATTCACTTGATTGCAGACCTTAATAATGATACTCCTACCTTAACAAGACTGTTCTTGACTTAGATGGTACAAAGGTTTTTTTTCTTAACAATAGAAACAATTCTGCAATCATTCCCTTTAGTTGTCATATGTGGTCTTTTTAGAACTTTTAGTGTTGCTGAGCTGAGCAGAGCTGAGCAGTGCTTCTTCATCAACAGTATACCACGTTGTTGATTCGGCCACTACTGGTTTTGTCGTCTATCTGATAGTTTTGTTTTGTTTCTTCAGCCTAGTCATGGCCTCCACCACTTGCATCAACATCTCTTCACAGTAAATCATCATCATCATGCTGCAGTCTCAAAGTGATGCCTGAAAAGTGATAAACAAATAAACATTGCATGTTTACTTGTATTCTGGTATCGATTACAGACCGTTTCATCTTATCCTTTACTTCTTCCTGTCAGGTTGAAGTTATTTAACATGTCAGTGCTGTTTTGCAGCTCAAAATAAATGCCTCAGAGTGCATCAAATGTTCTCTTCTGACTCAGGCTGCTGTGACCAGGACAATGTGGTCTCAGCATTCTCTGTCTCGCTGTCCCTCAGGCAGGTAGAAATGACCCTAAAGCTGCAATTTAATCCTCAACACGAAAACAGACACATGATTGAAAATCAACTAAAGCACCAGCTTATGCTTATGGCATTGTTAGTAATAGAGTAGGATCCAACATGGCTATGAATGGGTATTAAACATACTTATTTGCTTTTTTGTTTTTATCTCTTTCCAAGGTCGTTGCTTTGGAACGAAAAGCAGTCCTCTAGTAGATATTGGGGAATCAGCTGTTATGTAATTTATTCTTTCATTTCTTTTTTTCTGGCAATAAAATTAAATCATTTGATACTCTTATTATTTTCTCTTTTTCGAGAACATCTCAGTCTAGAATGAAGCATCCAATAATCAGACTGACAGCTATGTGAAAAGGAAGAAAAAAGGACTTTTTTTATATTAAAAGCTGTTTGCTTCCCTTCGTTCAAATTATTTATTGGTAAAAAGCAGACCAATTTCCTGCAGCACCAATTAATCACATTGTAGGGCCTTATCAGATAATTCTGTACCCTGAAGCTTTCTAATCCATGCTCTTAAAAGGGCTGAGGGTTGGCCTCTGCTCTCAGTCAACTGCCACTGCTAACAAGAGCTGGAAGATTTAAGCATCTTCCAGGAAGAGAAACGTATGAAAAACAAATGATTTGTAGCCACTTTTAAGCAATATTGTCAGAGTGGTAAATTGATATTTATTTCATGTGTCAGATTTAATGTTGGTTACGTCTTTTCTGACTTTGGTGGGTAACCTTTACTTTTAAAAAACAAATGGAAATAAGAATTCCTTTGTTGATCGCTGTAGGAAAACTCATTCCCTGCATTAACCGATGCTAGACATTAGGAGGAGTAGGGCCTGGGGAGCAACTCCAGCTGTAAGGCAGTGCCTTGTTCAAGGGCACAGTGATGTGAGTATTTACTCAGCATGCTTTGATGCTGGAAGGAAACACAAGCACAAACATATCATGAAAATGCCACACATAACCACTGAGCCACCACACTGCTAAATATGTGATAAAATACAGTTAGAACTTGAGCCGTTCACCAAAGACAAAGTTCAATTTAACAGCTATCTTATGTAATAAACAACAACCTTCCAAAAAAACGTTTCATTAAAAAAGCTTTTTTTAAGTGAGTTAAGATGTCATATAAAAGGATATTTCTCTGACCTACATGGAAATAAATGGTGAAGTATCACTTTCCCACATCACAGCAATACATTTCATTTCAGCGGTCAAGGTCATTTTAATAAGCTTAATGTTGACTTTCCTGAAGCAATACCGATGTGTCTCCTTGGAGGATAAGTCAGAGTCAATCTAGGAACCCATCGGCTATCGTCTGCAGACTCAGCCTCAGGGAACAATCACCAATTTTTTTTTTTATTTTTTTTTATTTTTTTAAGCTGTCAGTGTAGGAAGTGGATGTCCCGGCCAAAACTTTCTGTTTTGGCTAAATCAAATAAAAAGCAAACTCATCATCAGAGAATATTGCATGTTTTGGAGACTGCAGTTTGACAAACAAAGTTCCTCATTTTCTCTTCATGTAAACTGTTTACTAGGAGTAAACAAAGTCGTCTCAAACATCACAGGTTAAAAGAACACGGAGTACAAACTGAGACCACGTAGGCTTTCCAGTACCAAAACTTTTGTTTCTTATCTATATTCCTAATCATACACAGAAATTTAGTAATTGAGATTAACTCTGTCCAAGAAAGGTCTGTCAATTTCAGTTATGGTCTGCTATGTGCGTCCAACCAACTATTTTCTTCCTATTATCCAAAGTCTGGTAATGCTGGCAGCAGTCGGGGAAGGATATTCCAGAACTCCTTTCCTCCAGCTTTTCCAGTTTTTCTTGAGGGATTCTGAGGGATTCCCAGACCTGATGCTTCCAACACCTTCTCAGCCTAGCCTGGAGTCTCCTCCCAACTGATAGTGTCCAATTAAACCTCCAAGGGGAGCTGCTCAGGACAAATCCTGATGAGACACCAAAACTACCTCCTTTTGATGCAAAGGAGCAGAAGTTCTACTTCTTGATGTCAGTGCTCCTCAATCTATCTCTAAAGGAGAGGCCAGCCACCTTACATTGGAAACTAATCATTTTTTTTGGCTCACTTTCTAGCTCAGATATATTTTTACATTCTGGTACAACACCTTACAGGCTGCAATGCAGGGTGGAGTAATCCACCGTTTTTCAGCAGAGGACCATTGACTCAGACTCTCATTCCACACATTCGCCTGAGAACCCACTCAGAGCGTGCTGAAAGTCATGTTTTGATGGACCCAATCAAACCTCATCATCTGCAAAAAGCACAGATGTAATTCTGAGATTCCAAAAAAACAGTACTCATTTTGCTTTCCCAGTAGTACTATTCAGGAGGATTTAATGAGAATTTAATAGAATAAATTCTCAGTATTCATGTTGTTCAGAAGAACAATTTCAGAATATATGTGAGAGACTCCAAAACTCTGTTAACAGTCCTGTGGAGCCTTTCAGTGGTTGAAGTATAATTCATTAAATTAAAGTGCTATTGCTACGTCCCTTATTGTTGACTGTTTTTTTTACCACTTTGGAACAGTAAAGAAATCAGTTGTGAACACAGTTCTGGCACATTACAGTAAACATGTTGGTGAATATTTTTTGTGCATGTTGTGCTCTTTCCAGGCTAATATTAGTATCATTAATACAATGAAATAATTATAGTCAAGGTGTTTTTTCTCTCCATATTTTGTTAAATTAAATAAATTAAATTAAATTCAAAAATTGTATAAGGCAAAGTGTCTGTTGACTGCCTATATAGATTTGGGGTTTTATCTTTTTATTTGAGTATTATATTATTTTATCATGCTGATATTTCTCTTCTGATCTCAGCTTTGGACCACCTAACACATGAAAACATGATCTAGCATTGTTTAAAACTAAGTGACTTGACATTCTTCAGGTCCAGAAGGAAAGTGACTGTGCTCACTTTCAACATGATCTCTAATAATTTCCACTTGCTCTGATCACTTCCTGCCATGTCCAATATTACACTAAAGGGACATCATACTACTGCAGCCACTGGCTGTGACACTAAGTTCATCTAAACGTGTCTGAGCGAGCAGCCTGAGAAGGACCAGAACCCTGTGCTGAGGTATTAATATGACAGCACAGCTCTTTACAGCTTTGACAGCCCTGCAGCCTCGGCACAGCTCAGCGAGTGAGCCCACGCTCCCTTAAGCAGCTTTCCATGACTGTCAGTCTGGGAGTGGTGCTGCTACAAGCAAACTGCATTGGTGGGTATGATAAAGTGGGATGACACAGTGCTTCAGGTGGAGTTCAGCTGCTCCCTACCAGGACTGGATTTACTGTGTGACCGAGGATGACACTTTATTTTCTAAAGTGGCTGTCACATTCATTTTAGACTTAAATTACAGAGAGCCACCTAAAAAATTCATTTTTAGTCACAAATTACACATCAAATTCCAGATGCCAGTAGCACAGCAGCAGACATACATTGATCAGCACCATAAGCCATTGTTGCTACTTCCATTCTTTGCTTTGAACTGGGACCATGACATGAGACCATTATAAGCCAAAATTATGAAACCGTGACTGAATTCAAAATCGAATGAAAATAAATCAGAACACCATTGCCTTCATTCCTATAAATTTATAATCAATTGCTGCTTTTCTCTCCTGCTGGCTACCAACCTCAAGATTCATTAATTAAGAGATTTGATACCAGCAGCTCACAGCAGCATGTTAGTCAGCTGTGGAGACTGATTTGGGAAAACCCACCTTACACACTTGAATCGCATGCACGATTCATTCATATGCAAAGTGAGAGGATAATCCAAAGTGTAGGGTATGTGGGGAAAAAGTAGTGGTAGTAAGAGTGGGCAGAGGAAATGGGGAGGGGAGCGGTACTTTGAGTCATCAGTGACACTCGGATCTTACCAGTATTATGCTGATCCGTCTCTCTCTCTCTCTCTCCCGTTATTCTCTCTCTGGCCTGCCGTCACTGTGGGCTTTTCGTTCTCCATCAGTTGAATGCCCACAATAATGATCAGCGCACATGCTGTAAGATGCAGCGAGCATGTGTCCACCTGGCCAGCTGCATGCAAGTGTATGTCACTGAAGGGGAGGAGGATACCTTAACCGGACTCTTCAGTGTGAGGCTGAAATAGAACCAGTGCTCCCCTCTCTCTATCCTTCCCCCCCACCTCTCTCTTTTTCCTCCACTCTCTGTCTCCTTCTCGGTGGCTGGCCAAGCTCCTCTCCTCTGTGTCCTGCTCTCCACCTGGCCTCCATGAGTTTAATTGAGGACAAGCCATTCCTCCCTGGAAGGTAAGCAGCGTAGCCGCGGGGTGTCAATTTTCAGAGCAATACAAAGAGATTAGACAATAACAGAAAAAAAGAGGGGGGGATCAACAATGATGTCGCATTTATGTGACTCCCGAAATTTTGCTTGTTTTTTTTTTTAGTGTTTACTACCAGTGAACAGCGAGATAGGCGCTGACATAGATCAATATATATATATGTTTTGTTTTCTTTTATTCTTTTAGATCCGCTTTTTTTTCCTGTGAAAATGTCTGGTAGTTTTTCCTGACTTGCAATTCTTCCTCTAACATGACAACATCTGGATATGTTAAAAGGTTATTTAGTGAAGGGCATTCATTTAAGGTTCAGATACTAAATCAAGGGAGCGAAAATGAATTGTGCAAGCTGTAATAATGATGAAGATGAAGGCTCAGACCTCACAGCCGACTCGTGGGACCTCCGGCAGGATTAGTGACGAGATCCTGATTATCCCACTCTGTAACAAACGAGTGCTTTTCTTTATCTGGTGGTCCAAGTTGAAGCCGTCACAACACTGACCATTTGCAAGACAGCCTGCCTTGATCCTGAGCCGCTTGCTGCACGTTGTTTATCTGGATGGGTTTGCCTGCATGCATGAACTGTTTGCTGTTGTTTTCGTTGTTGCTTGTGCAGACATATGTGATTGTGGCTCACTCAAAGCTCTCTTCGCAGAAAATCAATAAGTGTGGACAAAGACGGATTTTGTTGTGAAGTCCTTCTGTTGGATACAACATAATTTAACAAAGTGACTGAGCTCCAACTGCAGATGAGAATCAAAGGCAAATAGGAAATGAAAACAGCTGTTTGAGGGCATGACACTGACCTAATCAAAAGTTTCTTTTTCTATACTAATCAGAGATTAATCACACAATAGTTTGTGTGATATAGACTGATGAAGATGGTGATGTGCACATAGCCACAGAGGTCCAACTGAATATTATAAAACAACTTAACATTATAAAGCTATTTTATAGCATTGTATATTAAAAAATATTTATGCCAAGTTAATCCAATTAGGATGAGCGACACGTCACATGACCAAAAGTTTGTAATTGCCTACTTGCATCAGACCATTTATGATTAATTGCCTCAGTAGCAATCAGCTAAATGGCAATCTGTCCTCTATGTTACCACAACTGCAGAAGGTCTATGCTACAATCAAATCATGCGCCATCTCCCTTTGCTTAATTTATTTACCCGTATAATTCTGCTGACAACTGATTCACAGTTACATTAATATGATGCAGTGCTTGACTTCTTAAACACATCATGTGAACGCAGATTGCATCATATGTTAATTCTCCAGGTTACATAAGATATGTCGTATGCCCAGCAATGTTTGAAGGAGTTGCCTCCAACCATGCTGTCATGCCGCTAAAACTTGCTGTAAATATTGTACTGTGATGGCACTCGCTTGTCACTGTCAGTCACTCTCAGATGAGGTGGCAGTTCCACACAGCGAGGGTGACAGTTGACTTTAATCTCACAAAGGTTCCACTAGGTCGTCGTGGCACGTACCACACAACACACTGGACATCATATTTGCTGCTTTGATTTTAAATACTGCTCAACTCAAAGGGCTTTACCACCGATTCCCAGCATCTAGTGTGGTAGAGTGCTGCTGGGTGAGGCTGTCGGTGGTATAATTATGTTGCCCTGAACTAGAACACAAGAGTTTGAGTTGTATGCACCATATCTTGCTTTCTTTTTTTCCCCTTTTTTCTTTTTTTTGTTGACTGGTTAGGCACCAGTCAAACAGGCCTAAAGACTGGTCAGCGGTCCTTGACAACCACCAGTTGCTAGGGAAAAAATGTGTATTCGTCAACCAATTGGCAAGTGGTTGCTGGAGGCTATGGGCCATCTGTGAAACTAGCTGCTAGAGCCACCGTCACAGAGGCCTAGACACCAGTAGGAGGCGCCCGGGCACCCACCAGTCAACAGGGAAAATATATCAATTCCTCGTCTGGTTGGTAAATGGTTGCTGGAGGCTGAAAGTGGTCACAAACAGACATTTGGTGCTGCACAAAAAAAAACCTCCTTGCAATTGCTTTGGTCACTAGTCAGTTGGTACAGTTGCCATAGTTTATATGGAAGATGCTGACTTGCCTGTAAACACTCGCCTAATGGTAGTGAAACTGTCTAGTGCTATGCTGTCTATTTGACTTCAGTGAAAATAAGCTGTGGATCACACATTTGTGATAAGTGTTTCACATCGCTGGGGAGGAATGTTGGCCCACTCTTCTTTCCAGAATTGTTTTAGTAATTCAGTCAAATTGATTTAAGTTTTTTGGTTGAATTGTTGTTGTGTTTCAGATCATTGTCCATAACCCAAGTCCTCTTTAGCTTTATGGTACAAACTGATAGCTGGATATTATCCTTCAGGATTTTCTGGTGGAGAGTAGAATTCATGGTTTTAGTGTATTAGTTTTACACCAGCTATCTGAAAATGTAACTTTTGTTTGTTCAGCCAACAGAATATTTGCCCAAAGTCTTGGGTAGACGAGCCTTTGGGTTCTTTTTGGTCAGCATTGTTTTTTCCCCCATGCCATTTTTGCCCAGTTTGTTTAGTACTGTTGTATCATGAACACTCCCCATAAAAGGAGACAAGGGAGGCCTGAAGTTCTTTGGATGTTTTTCGGGGTTCTTTTGTGACCTCCTGGATGAGTTGATGACGTGTGCTTGGAGTGATTTTGGTAGAACATCCACTCCTGGAAGGTTCACTAGTGTTCAACTTATCTCCATTTGTGGATAATGGTTCTCATCATAGTTCACTGGAGTCCAAAGGAATTAAAAGGATCTTTCACTGTAGACCGTGGTATGATGGGTTGCTTTTAGAGATCTTTTAATTCTATTCAATTCAATTCAAATTTAGCTATACAGTGCCAAACAGTTGCCTCAAGGCCCTTTTAGCCTACTTCACTTTGTCAGGCAGGTCCTATTTACATGAAGTATTGATTCAGCAGCTCTGTCAGGTAAAAAAAAGAAAAGAAAAAAAGCTACATTTTTTATTTACTCTGGTTACATTTGTCTAGTGTTAAAATTAGTTTGATGTTCTGAAGCATCCTACTTTTAGAAATACTAAAAAAAAAAGAAAGGAAAAGGAAAGGGTCAAATACTTTTTTATGGCACTGTACACTTCTGTTTCACTCTAATAAGGATGATAATTTATAAACTAAACATAATGTTAAACCTGAAATTAGTGAGTGACACTATAAACCCCCCAGGAATTCATTTACAGAGGTCATTTCCCCATAGACGTCTATACAACCAGGTATTTTTTTCCAATCAGAGGAGACGTGCCTGCTGGCTATTAGAGGGAATACAGGCTTAAGGCACTTCCACACTGGTTTCACTTTTCAGGTTATTTTTTTCAAGCATATTTGTAACACAAAAAGGCATAAATAAGTAAAAACTGTTCAATACTGCTTTGAAATGTACATATATAAACAGTGTAAATGCTCAAGGGACAGGGCTGGTAAATCAAGCCAAGCATGCAAAATTAAATGTGGCACTTTGCATTAAGTTCACATTCGATCACAAACATTTTCTGATTCATAATGTCAATGCACATACACTGAGAGCCATTATAATGGCAAAGAGGGTAATTTACTTTAGATAAAAATACGAATCCTGATGGCAACATTTTCTGAAGGAAAGAAAATGCTGGGTAACAGATTAACATTTAAACACAAATCAAAAATTGAGACTGGCTGGAAACCTTGCAGATACACAACCATTGCTCTTGAGCATGTGGTCTCTTTGCTCTTTCACTCGCTGACATGCCTGTCAGCCTTTAAATGGCTGCTCATCTCTGCTGACTACAGACATTTAATGGTTATGAGTGACAGTTCTACTTTCAGTGGCACCGCAAATCTCACAGTTTGATAGCTTGCCTCAGGCAAACTTGTTGCAAACTTAATAGATAACTTGTCATGCTGACAACAGCAGTAAAACTGCAGAAATATTATTTTAAATATCCTCTGCAAACCACATGATTCTACAGGGTCAGAGAAGGAAAGGATAGAGTGCACATGTGCGTGAAAAATTAAATAATAAGTCAGGTAAGCAGGTGATATAAGGCGCACTTCTCACGTCATCATCTGGAGGTCAAAGTCCTCGTGTCCCTGTATCAAAGGCGTCCAATTATTAGTTATTCAGGCAAGCTCAGAGACATGACAGTTGTGTCATAGCCCACTCAGCTTCAAAATACTCAATCTATCACAGCAGACCAATGACAGAGTTTATCTTTCCATAACAGCTCCCTTTTCATTTCCACACTCGCTATGCTGATCCGAGTATTTCATAAACTGCTGATCTGCTGGGATTTTTCCCACACAGCCATGTCTAGTGTTTACAGAGAAAACCTCCAGTACACGGCAGCCCTCTGGGTGAAAGCACCTCGTTGATGCTAGATGTCAGTGGATAATAACCAGACTGACTTGAGCTGATACGAAGGCACCTCTGAATGCAAAACCTGTTAAACCTTGAAGCAGCAGAAAACTCGTCAGCAAATCTGCAACAACTATGTGACGCTATGATGTCAAAATGGGCCAAATGGGCCATGTCCACACTAATACATTTTCATTTGAAATCGCATCCTTTTCTCTCCATTTTGGCCTTCCATCCACACTGAGACGGCGTTTTCAGTCAAGGAAAACGCAGTGTTTTGAAAACGCTTTCCAAAGCGGATACATTTGAAAACGCCGTTTGGACAGCGAACCCGGAGCCTTTTCGAAAACGATGACACATTTTTTCTATGCTCCGCTGCTTTTATATATAATTAAGAATGGGTGTCTCTAATATATCTCAGACACAGTTTAAAGAAGTTGTACCCACCTGAAAACGTATTTATGAAGGGCAACCCATCAGACAAAAGTTGGCATAAAGGGACAGGAGCTTAAATGTCTTTTAGCGTCAAACAGAGGAGCTACACATAAACCCAATATAACATAAATAAGGATCATATTTTAAAATTTGAACTATGCAAAGCTGCTTTTGTTTTATTATGGAGCTAATGCAAAAATAAGCATATTATGATCCAATTAAAAGGAAGATGCACGCTTTCTCAGTTACAGAGCCAATTTTAAAAAAAAGAAAAAGCTCAGTCAGTGATTGTTGAGAGTGCTTGAGCTTAAAAACCAGCACACTTGAGAGAGAAGCATGTGCACATTCAGATCTGTGCAAAGGATGTTTATGATTAATATCAACTTTAAATCTTCCAAAACCTGACAGTTTCCCCTCCCAAGAGATCTCATGAGATGAAAACATGTTTTGCACAGATTTGAGTGAACACACATTTTATCAGAACACATGCTCTCACAAACTGTATCTATCCCAGCAATAACAGGGCTGATCATTAATGTGGTAACAGTGTTGCTTTTAATCAATACTGGAGATTAGATGCTGAAAGAAATACAAAGAATTGTTTCTTCAAGGTAATTAATTTGGGGAAGAAAAGGCTTTGGAATGATAGTAAACGTATGCTACGCCAGTTCCATCACTGATTCCTAAAACACCTGAGGGGAAATTTACTTGACTGAGAATCCATTATTGTGCTGACACAAGAATGAAGTTCATGGAGTTGAGTGGTACTAAAATGGGTCACAGCTTTGTACTCCGCTGAGTCTCCTCCACTCAGACTGACTGGACATTTCGTCATTGACTGGCGTGCTGACTTGCATAGTAATGAAGCTTCATCCCTGTGATTGCCTAAGTCCTTGAACATCAATATTGCCTCTACATCATCTCTGGTAGCTATCCAACTCTTGCTCCGCATTTCGTCCCTGCACCATCCTTTCCTTCCCAATTTCCATTGTATTTTTCATTTTCTATCAAGCAAAGTGATGCACTGAATAGCAATCATTATCTTGGTTGCAAATAGCTGGGTAAGAAGAAGCCGACTGGCTAAAGAATATGAGAAGCATGAATGCCTCTGACAGTTTTCAAGTGATGGCGAGAAGACTCCATTAAGAATCTTCCAACAATGTGTTAGAAATCCTGGAGAGCCTGTCAACTCTGTTTCATGGCAGGGAAAAAAAAGAATCACACTCTCACCTCGGCCCATTATGTATCTCTTCGATCACTTCAGTGTCTGGATTGCAATTGCATGTGTGCTTGCTGAATCATGCTTAGACTGCAATTTCACAAGCTTTTTATTCCCAGAAAATCTGAGCACATTTGGTCTTAATCATAACTGTTTTGTTCCCTCAACCGCTTGTACCCCTGTTGTAAATCCTAAAAATGACACCGTGCTTTAATTTTTTCCATCTGTCAATGCTTTTTAGATATTTGTGTTTAATATGAACAGTCCTCAGCTTTTGCAGAGGATTATTTTTCTTCAAAACGGCTTTTTTAATTTATTTCTACATCTGATCCTGTAGGCTGCAGATATTTCTTGCAATAACAGCAGTAGGACAGCTTGCAGTGCACTACAGACAGTGTGCAGTGTTTGAAATGCTTCAGAAACAAAACAGTTTGCATTGATGCGATTTTACATAGTGACTATATATACTTCCTTTTTGCATGTTTTCATTTTTTTAGGATCCTAAGTTGAGTATTGACTTTTGTAAATTCCTGGATTATTTTCAGCTTTATTGACCATGAATTAATTCGAGTGGTGACATTTCAGATGGGAAATGCTTCAGACACGTCTGCTGTGTTTACCTCCACCATCTCCAAGGAGCATGACATCTTCATGGGTTCAGTCTACAGCTTATTCTGTGAGTCCACACAACATTTTTTTTATGCTTTATCCATCTTTAGCACAACTCAATCTCCTTTTCTTTCACAGGTGTACTGTCCATCATAGGCAACTCCACACTGCTACTTGTTGCTTATCACAAGCGGTCAACCTTGAAACCAGCAGAGTTCTTCATCATCAATCTCTCCATCAGTGACCTTGGGATGACACTCACTTTACTTCCACTGGCCATACCATCGGCGTTTTCACACAGGTATCGTAAAAGCTCCTTCTATATTTTTATTTCATTTCAACTTCAAATTCATTTATCAGTAATCATTAATTTTTTTTCTCTATTCACTATAAATAGCTACATGTTATAGCAAAAAAATGGAGATTGATAAACATTTTGTGTAGTTGTGGGCCTTAACTATATTTTCAATCTAGCCCCATGTGGAAGGGCCTCCACATTTAGTGCCATTCCTAACAAACTGATGTGAATTCATCAATTTCCTTCTGCATCAGGACCAGACTGTGGAAGCCTTTTACAGTGAACTCGTTGTCACGTTAAGAGATATCAGTTTGATTCGTTTTGTGACAATAAATAGAACCAAGATGGATCCATGCTTTCATATGTCACAGCAGAAACTGAGACTCATTAACATTTTTCCAATTTTCCTATTATCTAAATTTGGTAAACCGGTGTGAACTGCAGCCTCAGTTTCCTGTTGTCAGCAGACAGAATTGTCACCTCTTCTGCTGCTTTAGCCCTTCTACTTCAAGGTTCAATGTGCTGTGTTTTTAGAGATGCTCTTACCTTGGTTGTAACAAGTGGTTATTTGACATCATCATTCTCCTCAGACATCTGGCTTCACTCAAAGAACTGCTGCTCGCTGGATATTTTCTTTTCAGCTCGCGCTTGGTAAACCCTAGAGATGGTTGTGTGGGAAAATCCCAGTAGATCAGCAATTTATGAAATACTCAGACAAGTCTATTCAGCAATCCAGCAAAAGTAAATCCGCATTCTTCGGCATTTTGATGCTTACTTAAAATTTCAGCAGGGTGTCTTCATCGTGCCTACATGCCTAAGTTAATCAACATATTGCCACGTATTTGGCTAATTAGATATTTGCTTTAATGAGCAGTTTAAACAGTTATACCAAATGAAATGCCCAGTGAGTATATGTTACAACATGTCTAACCTAAAAATCTATAAAAAATGACTTTTAACAGATTTCCTGTTAAAGTTTGTGCACTTCCTTTTTTCTGTCTCTCTGTCTAAATACCTACTTACATTTTCATCATTGACCTCAAACTCCAACTCCTGCTGGGAAAATCAACAGTGCAAAACTCTGAATGAAACCGTTTTCAGTGGAGGACACTGCAGTTTCCAAGCCTGACGAAGACGTGTTACGTCACGAGCATTACCAGGTGTTTGCTTTCGGCTTTGTTTTTTGTTTTTGTCTTCACACTCACAGAGTTTTGCACTGTCAGTTTGCCCTGAGTTCAACAGCTACATCCCAAGAGAGGGCATCTGGCAAAACTGCGGTACATGTCATGAAAATGTCACCATTTCGGTAAACAAAAATAAATCTGTGGTCTCTGTCACTCACCACCATTCTTAGTTGCCAGATTTAGCTGCCTGTGAGTTGCTCTTCCCAGAAACTCATATTCAAATCGAGGGTCTCTGCTGTTACAAGGTGGAGGAGATCTAGTATGCATTTCATACATGTAAAAGTGATCATAATCTGACTTGCAAAGAGCAATTCCAGCACTGCAGGAGAGCTTCAGTGCTCACAAAGAAACATTAAGGTGGAGCACATTTACGTGAGGTCTCTTGTCCTTGTTTTTTATTGACACAGTCTTCCATGTTATATATCCAGAGGTCCTTTGGTGCAATTAGCTTAGCAAACAGTCAGAAAATAGTCATCTATCAACCAAAAATATACTTTTTAAAAACAAAATAATGCGAACACTTTTGCAGACACAAGATACATGATGGCCTCCAGTAATAATAATGTACCTGATTTAAAATGTATTGTTCTAAATTATCTTAACTGAACCTCTGGTTTTGAACAGGGGCTTATTGTTGTTAGAAGAGATTAATAATAACCAAGAAAGAATGAGAATGAGGAAAAGTGAGAACATTTTGGAAAGTGGTTTATTTCATCCTAAATGCCTGAATGCAACTGAAATGGATCATGTTCCAGCAGGTACTCTTAATACTGTATCAGATTGCAGAATAAATATAAACAAATTATATTGGAAATCTATGTTCGGGATGGAGAGGGCTTCCCAAAGCTTGTTGTTATACTTCAATCCTCACACTCAATAAAAAGACCCTCCAAAGCTGTGACTGAAACTCTACAGTTACACTCAAACAGGGAGCACTTTTCTGGGCCCTAGCCTCTATTACATTTTTTTACTCATTGTCTGTGTGTACAGGTGGCTGTTTGGAGAAATCATCTGCCAGGTGTATGCTATGTGTGGAGTGCTGTTTGGTCTCTGCAGCTTGACAAACCTCACAGTGCTTTCCTTAGTGTGCTGCCTTAAAGTCTGTGTCCCAAACCACGGTGAGGGTGGAATAAATTGATACGCATGATGTTGTCAAAGCTACAGAAAGTTTACCAGCAGCAGGAGTAAAACGAGCATAATAACTTCAAGGCACCTTTTTCTATTTCCTCTCTTATCAGGTAACAACTTCTCCTCGTCACATGCCCACCTCCTGGTGGCTGGAGTTTGGTGTTACGCGTCTGTGTTTGCTCTGGGGCCACTGGCACACTGGGGACATTACAGTCTTGAGCCTTATGGGACAGCGTGCTGCATTGACTGGCATGCACCCAACTATGAGCTTTCAGCTTTGTCTTATATTATCTGCCTTTTCTTCTTTTGCTATGTAGTCCCCTGCACTATCATCTTCCTCTCCTACACTTTCATTCTGCTGACCGTGCGAGGCTCACGTCAGGCCGTCCAGCAGCATGTGTCACCACAGGCCAAGAGCACCAATGCACACACTCTCATTGTCAAGGTCAGAGGTTATGGCTGTGTCGCTTCAGCACCACTGACTATAGCTTTTATAGCTAACAGGATCTGAGTAGGATATGAAAACATAAATAATTAGAAGGTTATAAATTAAAATGATTACTTTCTTTATCTCTGTACAGTCTTCTGATGCATATGTAGACTTCTGCATGGATAGATTCAAAACTAAAGTTATAATACTTAAGATATATGTTTTCATACAAATTTGCCACTAACATGAAACTAAATTCTGCATGTCATGTTTTTTGTTCAATGTTGTTTGAATATCTGCATGCATATGTGTGAATGCTCCTTCTCCACAGCTGTCTGTAGCAGTGTGCATAGGCTTCCTGGCTGCTTGGTCTCCATATGCTGTCGTGGCCATGTGGGCTGCTTTCGGGGATGCCACGCAAGTTCCTCCTGCTGCTTTTGCCCTTGCTGCAGTGTTTGCCAAGTCTTCTACCATCTACAACCCTATGGTCTACCTCCTGTGTAAGCCCAACTTTCGCGAGTGTTTATACAGAGACACTTCGATGTTACGACAGATGATCTACAGGGGCAGTCCGCAGTCCGAGCCGAAAGAACGATTCGGATCCACATCACAGCGCAACAAGGACATGAGCGTCTCCACGCGCTTTTCAAATGGACAGCAGGAGAGCTACGGGGCGTGTCTGCACTGCACTGACAATGCAGCTCTGTGTCATGTGACACCCCAAAGGACTGCCTGCATCCTGACTGGATCCACCTACACAGAGGTGACAGTCGGCCAACTCTCAGCCAAACCACAGGCCGAGTTCCTCTAGTGGAACAGCCTGATTCTTTCATAAAGCAAACAAAGGACAACACGTGATCAAAAAGACAAAGAGGTTACTGAACAATAAAGTCTCAATGAGACTTCACCACCTTTGCAAGGACCTTTCATGTCATCCTTTCTGAGTGACTCTTTCATTGTGAAATGAAAACATGATACAAAAACTTCTCAGAAGATTTGCCACAAAAAAGTATACTTGCAATGTCTTGACGTCTACTTCTGTGTCAGCTTGTTTCCTGTTTCATTTAAATGTGCAGTAATTTAACAGGATTCCAAGAGAGCAGAAAATGAGACAGCAGAACCCCCTCCAGCTTAAAGGTTAATTAGGAAAATGTGTACCTCAGTGTGCATCATGAGGATAAACTATGTTTAATATTCCACCAGCGCCAACTGAGTATATTATAAGAACGCATTGCAGTCAAGGACTCTGAAAAAGATTGTTTAGGTTTCTTTACATTGAGGACCGTGATACTGTACGTAAAGGGGTATTCAACCTAAAATGATCAAGTATTCACCGCCTGTAGGAGTGAATGTCTGATCTAATGTTTTGTCCTTGTCAATAGTGGGATGTACTGTAACTGAGACATAAAATCAAACTGGCAGCTGCAGTTTTCTGGGATGAACAACACAACCAAATTTCCCCACTTCGTCCAGTCTGCAGGGTCTTTGAGAGGTTTAATGTTAGAGAGAGTGCTGTAAGCAGAAGATCACTTCAGTCAAGAGGCCTGTACTTGCAGGGCTCCAGTGCAGCATATAACCTGCAGTCATTTTCTAAACAGAGACTGTAGAACAAAATAGTTCCACATTAATTTGTACATAAGTTTAGATTTTTATTTCATAAAAAGCACTGCATGTGACTCCCTTTGGTTTACAGAAACTCCCATTTCAGTTGTGGGGCCTCGCTTCTCTTCTTATTTAGATCTTAGCAAACCAATATTAAAGGGAACCCACGCTATTAAGAAAACTTAATAACCTGTCATTTCAAATTATTCTATTTAAACAATCGACTGATTAGGAATCAAGGAAAATCAGTTTCAGCAATATTTTACATCAGTACAAAGAGAAAGATTTCCAAAGTAGGCCATGGTTAAGACTGAAGGTCCTTGAGAATTATTTTGCTTTACAGAGATTTTGTCTTGCAGTTTATTTTCTGCTAAAAATATGCATTTACATCCATCAGTTAAAAAAGCGATTCCTTTACAGCAACGATGATGTCTTTTCATCCATGTCAATGCAAAAATACAAAGAACTATGTTAGATTTAATTTTAGTTTCTTTTATAATGTGGTCCTGCGCTGTGTGACATCATGTGTATGTATATATGTTTAAAAAGTATCATGTATGTAAAAGTTCTTGTTTAGTATTATTTACTAAAAACACAAAAACAAACGGATCATTGCACTGTTTTGGGGGCACAGAAAGTTGCATCATCTGACAGAAAGCGAGATTTCAGAAAGATTGAAATAATTTCAAATTATTCATAAAAACACTTTAAAACATGAGGGGAAATTGTAAACACAAATTTTACTGAAAACGATCGTAGAACAGAGATTATAATCGAATGTTTAAAATCAGCTCTTATTTTCTGTGAATGAGGCAATCTTTAATTTTTTTTTTTCCGAGCACTTTAATTATCTGTGAGGAAGCTGCTTTGCTGGGTGTTCATTAACTTGGGAGCACAGCAGGTTCAAATTTACTGCCAATGCAATTTTCCATAAAGCAGTTTATTGACATTATAGGAGACACCTCTGTTTAAAATTCCTCGGATGGTGTGCATGTTGAGCATGAAATTTGCTCTCAGTTTTTAGAGAACTGCATTAGCGTTTTTGTGAAGAAGCTGGATTTGAAAAATGAAGCCAAATCATCCAAATGTCCTGCTTGTCCTGCAGTGGATATGGCATTTCTGGAAGGGAAAAAGGCATAAATAAATGAATAAATATTGGTCTGAATGAGGATAACCTTGGACAGCTTTGGTTTTAGGACTTGAGAAACAACCATCTTTGTGTGCCACACACAACATTTCAGGAGAAATCTTTCTGAGAAGGCTAATCAAAAATCAAAATTCACGTTGATAGCAAAGCTGCAACTGTGAGGTTGCCTTTCCTATGACGATTACATGCATGTGCGTTTTAAAACATATAGGAAGCCCCATCTCTGTAATGAAAAGTAAAATCTATAGGGCATATGACCTAAAGTGATGTACTTGTATTTTTTGCTAAACTGAGCTGAAATGAAAATCTTAACCGCAATCCCAACAGGGAGCACAAGAAAATATGCATGAAGGATCAACTTAGATGCAAAGTAATTTATTTTCCCCCAGTTTGAAAAAAAAAAGTGCCTGTAGGATAAGCTTTCACTGGCAACCAATATAGGGAAGCAATGAGATACAGCCAGAGGAGGAATTAAAAGAAAAATAACTGATATGGCACATCGCATTAAGAGAAACTGGCAGCATAGTCCTACTTGGGTGCATACTGTAGCTGGGTGCATTTTTGAAACTGTGTATAAAAACAATTATTTACCTTTTTGATTACTGAGACTAATCATGTGAGATTCTTCATTCTGGTCCGTGCAGTCTGTTTGTAGAGCCAGATGGAAATTGATCGGTAAACATGATTGAGATTATTACTGAGTACACAGTTTTACCATTAAAGACTAAGTTTACCCAGCACAGCACTCAATTATGAAATAAAGCTTCAATTCAACAGCCACTTCAGAAATAATCGCTGCTTCTCTTATCTTCATGTGAATTTCCTCTTTTCAGTCCCAATCTCCATCACCAACTCTCTTATCCTCAGTTTGTCTGTTCCTCTTAAAAGCCCAGACTATGACTTCCCATACCAACTGTTCTTGTGCACTCAGACAACTCAAGACATCATTTTAGTGCAAAACACAATTTATTTTGGCGGGTTTAATTCTCTGCTAGTCGTCACTGCCTTGAAGGTCACTAGAAGAAGGATTTTTGCTCTTAAACATGGATATGTGAGAGAAAGGCAGGTCTATGAGAGACAAAGGAGAGAGATTAAAAACTCCTCTATGAGTTTAGGCTCTTTCATCTTACCTCTGGTCGAGGAAAACCACAGTCATACCTGGCAGAATCACCCTGATGTCAGGCTGTGACCTCCTGTGTAAATTAAAATGTATCTGGTTATTATAGTGGCGGCTGTGGCTACAATGTAGCTGCCATCACCAGTGTGTGAATGTGTGCGTGAATGGGTGGATGACTGGATATGTAAAGCGCTTTGGGGTCCTTAGGGACTAGTAAAAGGCGCTATATAAATACAGGCCATTTACCATAGTGCACTGAATCACATATTTTACTAACACTGAACTAATTTTTCAGTCAATTAGTTGATTAATCAGTCTATCAGCTAAGATTTCTGTTGAATCAATGAATTGCTTAATATGGAGCCTATTTTCTTTCTTGGCTCTATATGATGTTAGGGAGAGCAAATATCCATAACATGGTCATCCAGGAGAATATCTCTGACTATGACTACAGCGGTTCCACCCAGCTGTTATTCACACTTCCTCTTTATGAGCAGCATCCAATCAGATAATAATTTAATTTGGAGGAGAAGGGACTGAGCTAAAATTGCTTCATGCAAAACAAGGATGAACTTTATAAGATAAATACTCATTATTTTGAACCGTAACACATGCACAGTGACTAAAAATTTGGTGCTGGAAATGAGCAGAAAAGGTCCATTTTATTTTATTTATTTATTTTTTAAATTTTTAAGTGGAATTTTAAATCAGTTAAAATCTTGGAAAATGGGGTCAAAATTTAGCACTCTATAATACACAAAGTATTTACGGTAACTCTCTAAGTAAATTAGTGTTTAAGATCCAGGACATGATGTTAAAAAGCTGACATAAAATACGTTTATTAAACACAGTATGTTTTTATTAGAATAATGAAAAGAAATATAAAGAAAACAAATGACCTGAAAATGATTATTCAGCAGAAAAACCAGACATGAAAGTTAGTGTTAGGTGCAACACTACACCTCAGCAAGATTTAACATTACAACTAAGGTCTGCAATAGACTGTGAGTAATTACTGTGCACTTCTTGTAAGGTTTCACTATATTTCATCTTCAACAGAGGGTGAAAGTTACATTCTAACCCAAACTTTGACACCATGGCTCTGCTTGGTTTTTCCCAGCATGCTGGTGCCCTCTAGTGCATACAAACAGAAAGACAGTGGAAAGACAATAAGCCTTCGTTTAGTTATATGTAAACAGATATTGTAGAAAGGTGTATGATTATTATTATAAATTTTGGGGGGAAATAATACATTTTCACATATCAAAGGGGGGAAAAAACAAGGAAGAAAATAAAAAACTGAACCACAAAGAGCAGAGGAACAAATGTGCTGTCTATTGATTAATATACACACTTTCTGGCCACTTCATTAGATGCACATTGATAGTACCTGGTTGGACCTTATTTTGCCTTATTTCAAAACTGCCCTAATTCTTCATGGTATAGAAATGCTGGGAAGATTCCTCACCGATTTTGGTCCATATTGAGATGATAGCATCAGTTGCTGCAGGTTTGTCAGCTGCACATCCATGATGCTAATCTCCCCTTCCACCACATCCCAAAAGTGGATTGAAACTGGCAAGTTATCCTGCTGGAAGCAGCCATCAGATGATCTGTACACTGTTCATAAAGTGATGGATATGGTCAGCAACAACACTCAGGAAGGCTGTGACATTTAAATGATGCTCAGCTGGTACACCATTAAACCACCACCACCAGTTTGAATCAAGTCTTTCAAGCTTTCATGTTGTTTACATCAAATTCTGCCCATTTTGCAGTGAAACTCAGACTCATCATACATGGCAACACTTTTCCAGTCTTCTGTTGTCCAAATTTGGTCAACTTTTGCGAAGTGTAGTCTTCATTTCCTGTTTTTAGTTGACAGGAGGGGCACCCAGTGTGGTCTTCTGCAGCCAATCCCATCTGTTTCAAAGTTTGACATGCTGTGGGTTCAGAGAAGCTCCCCAGTATACATTGGTTGTAATGAGCAGTTGTTTGACCTCAAAGTGGTTGTGCGGAACATGCCAATAGATCAGCAATTTTTAAAATGCTCAGCCCCCCATCTGACTCCAACAGTCTAGTATCTTTCGTCCTCATTCTGATGCTCACTCTGAACTTTAGCAGGTTGTCTTCACTATGCTTACATGCCTAAATGCAGTGATTTACTGCCATGTGATTGGCTGACTAGATATTTGTGTTATCTGTGTTATATCTTTATCTCTGACCAACGCCCGGTCGAAGATAAACATATCAGGTCAATGCTGATGCACATCTGAAACAGGCAGTTCATGCTTGAATTTGTTGAACAGAACAAGGGAACAGGAAACCTTAAGAACAAAGTGGCAAATAAAGACTAACACCTCCTTCAACCTCCTATATATTGGAATAACATTAAGCTACATAATCTTTATTTTTCCAATACCCATAATTCCATAAAATTCATCTTTATGTATCCTGTAGCTGTAAATAAGTGGTGGATAAAATTACTTTTAAACTTATTACTGCATTAACACATCCCAAGCAGATACTGGATGTCTGCAGACACTGTCCATTGCCTGGGGATGAGCTCCAACTGAAACAGGTGATCAAACCTTCATCCCGCATGTGTTTGAAGGAGAAACTGGGGAAAACATACACGATAACAGGTAGCACATGCAAACTCCACAGATAAGACCGCTGCCTGAGCATGAACTCTGCTGTGAGCACTAAAAACTGAGCCACAATGTTACTGTGGCAAAAGAGTCAGTACGTCAGTACGTTCCAAAACTGGTATTTAGGTTTACATCTTAAGATGTGCTTCTGCATACTGGCGCTTTTTGCAGAATGCAAGCCAGCATGTTTTTGAGGGGTTTTTTGTCTGTGTCAGCTACACATAATGCATGACTGTCAAAGTACAAAGTGCTGTTATGATGGAGTATATCCCAGTTGTACGCCTTCTGCATGCAGCAATACATATTTTGTAAGAGCAGCTGTAGTATGCATTAAAGGGAAAAAATATTCAGTTTGGGATGCAGCCCAGAAAATTAAAAACACCTGTGTGTGTCTGTGCACTCCTAAATAAGATACAGTATGACAATCTCGTGCTGCACCCTCGTGCTTTTCCTTCACATGTCCACTGGTCATTAGGACCAAAAATATATTAAATCATTTTGAGGATTTAAACACAAGTAGAAGAAGTAGAAACACCAAACATCAGATTACCACATGAGAAGCATTTATGATGGACTGCTTTAAGAATCCACACCTGATCATGTGTGAAATGAAACTTGTCAGACTTTACAGCAGTAATCGCAGTAATTTGTTACTTTTTCTTTCAATACAACATCTGTCAGTGAGAGAAATTATATAATCACATAGGTTTTTAAATGACTTTCCTTTTTTTACATGAATAAGTTAAGAGTCTGAGGACAAACCAGTTTGACTCACTGAATTTAAGCCCACTGGGGCATGAAGCCTCTGAAAAGCATTGCTTGTGATCTGTTTTCTTTAAGACATAAAACATTAGCTAATTTGTAAAAAAAAATTGAAAAAAAATTGAATTGTTACATGATTCTGAGTGTGCTTTAGTTTTAAGAAACATCAGTTTAACAGAAACATAAAACAGTTATTTAGTGCTTTTCTTGCACAAATGGACAACCTAAAACTAAAAAGGAGTCATGCTGTCAAATGTGACAAACAGTAGGCCAATTATATCTTTTTTTATATCAATACAATTGCATTTTTTTACTTTGTGATTTTCTCCCATTAATATCTCTTTCTTCAGATCTAAATGTATAAGGTCTTCATCTTAAGCAGATGTCACTCAGATATGCACAAAATATGAAGTAGCTTATCTTAACTGCATCCATAAACTGTGCCCCCTCAATCATTAGCAAATAAATTAAGCATAGAATAGAATAGTTTAGATTTTAGTGTAGAAGTTGGAAGCAGTATAACATAGCATTACCTAAAGTCTAAGTAAAACCAGGGCCATCACTGCCTTCTGGTTGGCGCCTCAGGTCAATCTGGTCCCACACCTCCAGACTCACAAACAGCTTCTTCCCCTGGGCCATTCGGACTGTCAATAAACACTATCCCCCCACACCCCACGCACACGCACCTCACCAATCTGAGCCAATGTTTGAGTAACCTTATCACTCAGGCCACTCACACACGGACTCTATTCAGACCAAGACTTTTCTTTGCACTACCTCCAAGCACTCTGTGACTATTTTGTTCTCCAGTGTGTGACTTTCTATTATTTAAGAGAGCATAGAATAGAATAGTTTAGATTTATGTATATATATTCCCTTGTTTTGTATATATATCCCTCTTGATTGATTCCTGTTTGCTATTTATCCCTACTGTCTACTATTTATATTTTATTCTGGCACAGTTGGTGTGCAGCACCCACAATTTTGTTGTACATGTACAGTGACAATAAAGGACTATTCTATTCTATTCTATTCTATTCTATTCTATGTAGATTAAAGCTCTCCTTGAGGAAAGTACTTACATATAACAAATTAAGAGTTGTTTCCATGCTGTTATCATACATTATCAAACATTATATTGTATATTAAATAGTACTCTCAACTGGGACTGGTGGAAAAGTTGAGAATTGGGAGTGGGCAGTTTTATGGAGTACTTGCATATATGTATGTCCTGGTAACTTTATTGTAGTGGTGATTGGGGCATAAGAGTACTATAGGTACTTAACATATGGGATCTCCATGGAGTATGACGTTGAGTAGAGTAGGGAGCAACTGGCAGACAGCCTGGAGTGAAGAAGAATGAATGTCAGCAGACATAAGACAAAATACATGTGTGCAAATGACAGGGAGAGATGTGTCAGAGTGAAGCTGCAAGGAGTAGAGGTAGTTAAGGTAGATTAGTTTACCTGAGAGAGAAGGATGTTAGGTTAGGGTGAGATGGATTCAGATGATCTGTGGCGACTATTAAAGGGAGCAGCGAAAAGGGAAAAAGAAAATAGGCCATATTTTCTGGATAGATGGATGGTGTTGCACTTTGCAAAAGTCCTTGAGCACTACTTAGACAGCTAGAGACCAGTATTGTTAGAGGAAGACTAACTTTAATGACGATGAACATAACTAATGGAAAGCACTCTTTTGCTGTTCTAATAAGGTTTCTTATGAATAATTGATTAAAAATTCTTTAAATATGTGAATTTCTTTTCAACTTAAGCTTGAATAGTGAAATGTGTGATTTCTTTTTTTTTTTAATACCACAGGTACTTTTATAATGTTAGTAGTTTTAAAAAATATATATATATTTGTGGCCATTTATATCAACTGGCTGTTGTTGTTTGTTTTTTAATTGACGTAAATGGCGCCAGAATAACCCCTGGCGGTGTTATGCTGTTCAATGTCAAAAGGCGGCACTTTCAAAGTTAAGGTAGGCGGCTGTGTTTGTGTCGGGCCTTTACTGCGCTTGTGTAAAATTAATTATTATAACCCCTTTATGCTTTTAGCGTCACTGATAACAGTAGAAGTTAAACTCACTTGAAAAAATTCTGATAGGCTTACAGCTTCGTAGCTAACTCTTAGCTAACTTAGTTAGAGGACATTGACAGTAGAAGTCAGGCTTAGTTAGCGGTCAAGGAAACACCTATTTTCTAAACTTAGCTAAATCAGCATGAGAAAATTCAGCCGAGACGTGAAACATAATTAAACAAACACTGATATTTCCCTCACAGGTGACAGCTAACTTACCAACATGATGTTCTACACACAACTCTTCACTTCTAAGCGCGGATCACTAGCCAAAATCTGGCTAGCAGCCCACTGGGAAAAGAAGCTAACAAAGGCCCATGTTTTTGAATGCAACCTGGAAACAACTATCAGAGAAATAATTTCACCAAAGGTAAACGTTTTCAAAGCGCATATCCATAACCACATATTATGGGATAACTTAAGCCAGTTATTATAGTTTTATGTTGACATTAGCTTTATGATTTTTCGTTGTGCTTGAGCAATGAAAATAAAGGACCATTCTATTCTATTTGAACTGTTTTCATTTCCGTTTAGTTTCAGTCAGTTCCTAAAGTGAATTTGCTTGGTTCATTTCGGTTTTTATGTTATTTTTAGTTTGGGGTTTGTTTGTTTTTTTTGTTTTGTTTTTTGTCTTTTTAATTATTAGAGTATAGGAGGTATTTTCCCATGGGCAAGTAGATAGCACAATATGAACGTGAAACTTTACAGTGAAGGCAGCTGACACACAACACAATCAGACATCCCAGTCTTATTAAACAAATAGTTTTCTTAACAAATTTAACCACAGTGATAAAGACTATTGCTTTCCCTTTTCTGGGTTTATACAGAGCACAGGCAGGGTGGAGATGAGTGTCAGGTGTCTACTTTTTTAAGTTTAAATAAACACACTTTTTTTTTTAGTCTTTGAGTTAAATAATCATGATTTTATCCCTGAAATGACTAAAACGCTTTTTAATGGCTAGTTTTAGTTAATCTTTTATATTAACTATATAAAGAGTGAGTCTGAGACATCAGTTTGTGTGTTCTTTGTAGGTGAGAATTGGTTTGCGGACATCTGGTCATCTGCTCCTTGGTGTGGTTCGAATCTACTCCAGAAAAGCAAAGTATCTCCTTGCAGACTGCAGCGATGCCCTGATTAAGATTAAAACAGCTTTTAGGCCAGGTAACCCCGCCTTGTTGAAGTTTGTGTGTGTTTGCGCGTGTGTGTCTGTGTGTGCGTTAAATAATTTAAATTCTTTCAGAATAACATTGTAAAATATTTTTAATCGGAGCAGCTATTGTTGTACAGTTTATGTGACAGTTCCTCGTAAATAAATAAAGCTAAAACCTGAATTTTAGCGGAACCACAACTTATTTCACAATCTGATCAGAATCAGAAAGGCTTTATTTATCCCCAAGGGGCAATTAAGATACAACAGAGCAGCATGATGTTGAAGATGAGGACAGGGCATAAACAGGCAATAGGAGTGAGATAATAAATACACAGAATATACAGTATATACACAGTTTTAAAATTAAAGTGACTGAAAGGTAAATAACTGTAAGTGACTAAAAGTGAGTAAAGTGTTGGCAATATAAAAAGAGTGTAGAGTAGTTTATGTTTATGGGTGTGGGAAATGGTCTTATCGGCTGATAATAAGGAAAGGATGGTTTTCAGAAATTGATTAACTGCCATGTAAAAAAATTTCCATTCAGATTTTAATACGATTAATCCAGTCTAACAATCCTACAATTATTCCTGGGTTTATTAAAGTTACAGTGTATGGTACATAAGACTGTGTGTGTGTTTGTTTTGTTTGTTTTTGAACCAACCATGTAATCATTTATTTTATATTAGCCATTTATTTGTAATGCAGCAAAAAGCTTCAACAAAAATGGCATATTGCAATATTCATGAAAGGAGTATTTATGAAAACATGCTCTATGTGTTAGAATGCATTAGTTTCACTTATATGTATCTAAAGTGGTAACAGACCGTATCCCATTTATGACATAAGTGCTTAACCAACATATTTTAAGAAGGAACGTTTTCAACCCCAAGAACTTGAGCTGATTTGTGGTTTTCTCATGTACACGATCACAGCAAACAGTCTTTCATCAAACCTATGGTGTGAAAACTTAATTTACCTGCATGCTCTTTCTCTCATAATACACCAGGTCAGACAGATCTGCCGGTGGAGGGGCTTGAGGCCACAATAAAAGCGATTACCTTGGTCGAAGATTTCACTACCTTTGATCCCCAGCTTCCAGACCCCAGGCACTGTTTTCCTCACTTCTCCAACACGTCTAACCTGTCATTTATAGAATTGATTTTTATGACATGCTTGTCAATATAAAAGGATATGAATAGAAGGATTGCTCATATAAAATATATAAAAAAATATAAGGCTGATTGTGGACTTACCTATTTTCTAAGTTATAATTCTGTGTTGACTTCCTAAAGTAAGGCTGCCCTGCAATCATACATAATTTAATTACTTGTTATTTATTTAAACCTGATGAATAAGTATTCTGTTTGTGTCCACACACCAGTGACATAGATGTTGTGGACCACTTTTCACTGAACCAGTGTCGATTGGAGGAAATCACTCTGAAAGAGGATTTTGGAAATAACTTTCTAAACTTTGCAGACATTGGTAAGAGCGGAGTTGTTTTCTTGCTTAAGTTGAGTTGTTATTGTTTTTGTTTCTGTTGAGCCTGATTTCATTCTGTCATAGAATATTATTAATTTCTTCCCTTACTTGTCGTTGATTGTAGGAGATGAGCGCCAAAGTTATCATAATGTATTGATGGATGTGAGCTTCCAGAGCTTGGCTCAACATGGAGATGCATTCGGGGATGAGGACCGAGGATTTGACTTACTCGGTATTCCATCCATCCATTTTCTTCCGCTTATCCGGGGCCGGGTCGCGGGGGCAGCAGCCCAAGCAGAGAAGCCCAGACCTCCCTCTCCCCAGCCACCTCCTCCAGCTTATCCGGGGGAACACCAAAGCGTTCCCAGGCCAGCCGAGAGATATAATTTCTCCAGCGTGTCCTGGGTCTGCCCCGGGGCCTCCTCCCGGTGGGACATGCCTGGAAAACCTCTCCCAGGGGGCATCCTTGTCAGATGCCTGAACCACCTCAACTGGCTCCTTTCGATGTGGAGGAGCAGCAGCTCTACTCTGAGCCCCTCCCGGATGGCTGAACTTCTCACCCTATTTCTAAGGGAGAGGCCAGCCACCCTTCGGAGAAAGCCCATTTCCGCCGCTTGTATTCGCAATCTCGTTCTTTCGGTCACTACCCACAGCTCGTGGCCATAGGTGAAGGTAGGGACGTAGATCGACCGATGAATTGAGAGCTTCGCTTTTACACTCAGCTCTCTCTTCACCACAACAGACCGGTACAGCGTCCGCATCACTGCAGCCGCTGCACCAATCCGTCTGTCGATCTCCCGCTCCCTTCTCCCATCACTCTTGAACAAGACCCCGAGATACTTAAACTCCTCAGATTTGGAGGTGCTGATTACTCGGTAGTCTTACGTGAATTGATGAGGATCAGTTTACAGTCAGTTTTTAGCCAGAAGAACATTTAAAAACAGATCCCTCTCTGGGATACTGACTGACTCTAGTGTTACCTTTACTGTAAAGTTGTGATGCCAGAAAATATTCTTTCAAATATATCAGTATTCAGCAGGCCATTAAAAATTGGTGTTTTGTCACCAAATGCATACAGATCAAAAAAGGAGTATAAACCATTCTTGCAGTAGGTGATTGAGTAAAATGTCACAGGATATGCTATAAACTCAATCAAAGCTCTCCTTTGTCCAGTGGTGTTTGCAATCCTTGTCCTGGTTATAAACTGAAATGTTTGACCTGGATTGCTCACATCTGCTATTAGCTTTGGTGTTTGTGAGAGGAGACTGTCTGTCTGGGCCTTCAGGTCCTTGACAGGACTCGTGTTCATGTATTCTCTCAGGGATCCAACATCTGAACTGTAACACAAAGAATAAATAGCCTTTGAGACACGGCATGGCTCCTATCTGCTTTTTAGTTTTTAATAATGAATGGTTGTATGGTTGCAGATGGTCTCTTTTTTTGCTTTTTCACATAGCAGAATTAAAATTGAATTAAAATAAAACATATTAATTATATGTTTTATTTTTTCCTTCACTGACTTTGTAGATTTTCTGGCGCAGTCCAGTGATAATGCTGAGGCCACAGAATTCATCCAGCAGAATCCACAAAATGAAAACCTGCCGAGCTCGCCTTTATATGATCAGCAAGGTGATATTTCATTGTGACTGTATTTTACATTAGCTATTTAAATCACATTTTCAATTTAATTTAAACAGCTGCAAGTGATATGCGCTTGATTGTACAGCAGCGCAAGGGAATTGTGTTGTTCATTAAGAAAGTAAAGAGCTGTGTTTGCTCTGAACAGAGCCCATATGTTTGGCAGATGCTAACAGAACGGATTCCATGGAAGTAGAGACCCCGATGGCGAATCAGACCACCCTGCTCGCTAATGAGGAGGCCTTTGCTCTCGAACCTGTGCCCATCACTCGTAAGCACCAAGCATGCCAATCAAAAGCCACTCACATCAGAACAGCTGAAATGCCACTCTTTTTCTCACATAAACTCTTGTATGGTTAACTGTTTTTCTTCAGCAAACTCTGAGAGGAAGAAGGGGAAGAGGAAACGCAAATTGGTGGTGGATCAGACTAAAGAGCTGAGCAACGAATGCATCAGAAAGCAGCTTTCTGACTTTTCAGATCTGGTCACTCCTTTGGACATGGCCCCGCCCACTGTGCAGCTAATGCAGTGGAAAGAGAGCGGAGGTGCAGATAAACTCTTTGCACAGCCGTGTTCCACTGTTTTATCGCTCCAGATAAAGGAGGTGAAACCCTGCTACATTCTCAACAATATTAATCCCACAATAATATCACCACTATTGTCTGTTTTTTCTGGGAGTCACATAAATGATTTTCTCCTTCAAAAACCTTTTCTGGTCCACTTCCAGACAGCTTCCAGCGCTGCTATTTAAGCTGAGCACTCTGCAATTTCACGACAAGCTTTAAACCTATTTACAGAGGAATCATTCGTCTTTTAAACTAATGTACCTTTTGGTAATGATAGTGAATTCGATGGCTAAAACTAGTTTTCAGGTAAAGCCCGAAAGACCAAAAGCATCACGAGTGGGACCGGCAACATGCTTGTTGCTTTAGCTTGTGTTGGGTTTTCTGGTGGTTGTCTTCATCTGAAAATCGCTGAGTTATCTGAGGGAGGGCATACAGTGGAAACGCTGTAATGATTACTGCAAATACACGGTTTGATCCAAACGCAAGAGACTTTTGGCCACACTGAAACAATCATAACTCGTCACTTGCCAAATTTGCTTCCCTGTGAGTTCCTTCAGTTGCACAAAATGTAGAATCAGTTAAAGGATTCTCATTTTGACACGCTGCAGGAGATCCAGCATTCATTGCTGATGTATATAGTGCGAGAGGACACAATGAGACTTCCACCAAGTGGTCTCAAAATAGCAGCCGTGCTCGAGGCGTTCTGGAGGTGCATGGGAAGATAATAGATAAGCCAGTTTAAATCAAGTAAAGGCTTTTTGATTTTATGACGTGATTTTGATTAAACTTTGCATTTTGGCGCATAGACAAAGGTGAATCCCTGCTATTAATGTTATGTCACATTTTACATTTCCAGCTTTTTGCTAGGAGTTTTTTCCAAGTGAAGCGCCGTGGTGTACGTGAGGATGTTGAGGAGATGCGCCACGAAGAGCATAAAGGTATTTTATGTTTGTTTATTCATTTCTATGGTGTTGTTTCTGTTATTACAGTACATGTGTAATATAACAAAGTTAAAGCTTAGAGGCAGAAGGGTAAAAAGACAAAAGAATGGTGGAGAAAGTAGGAAAGATTATAATAAAATGATCTTTCCTCTGAGCTTGTTTCTGCCAGAGGCTTCTTCTTGTTGAAATTGAGTTTTTCCTTCCCACTGCTTTCAAGTGCTTGCTCATAGATTTCTTTTGTTGTTGTTGTTTCTGCATTATTGTAGGGTCTTTACCTTACAGTATAAAGCGCCTTGAAGTGACAGTTGTTGTGATTTGGTGCTATATTGTTTTTAATGTATGTGCTTTGTCCTGCTCCTTAGCTCAGAGGGAACGAAGTGCCCTCACTACAGAAGTCAGTGTCATGGATTTATCAGCTGATCCTGAAAAAACACACAACACTGAGCTGACTGAACACGATCACGTCAACGACAGCCAGCGTGAGAGCTACTCACAGCTCACACAAGTAAGTATTAACATGTTATGTAAAAAAATATATATTTATTATAGTTCCCCTGCTTTCACTGTTTTTCATTGTCCATAGCTCATAATCTGTGCTCTTTGTACCAGGATGAAAACAGGTCAGAGCTTACTCATCCATCACTTCCATCTGAAGACTCCATATTTGTCCACCCGCCTTACTTGGAGCACAGCACGCAGTCAACTTCCCTCCACACTCAGGTGCTTGCGGACACAAACAGTTACAAATAGAAGCAGGGCAGGAAACTGTCCTCTGCCAACCTCTGCTTCTCACCGACCTTAACTGTGGAATGAAAGTGAACTAATAATGGATGATTGTGTGTGAAAATAGCTAATACAGTAGACGAGCTCCAATCTATTAGCACTTGACAGATGGCGGGTGTTCATTTCCCACCCTGCCTTGGCGATGTTCCCAGCATCACTGACTGAAATATGGTGCCTTTCTTACCTCCAGTCTATGCTGAATAGCCAGGACTTTGAGGAGAGGAGGATAACCAGGCGAGCACAGAAGCTTCTGAACGCTCTAAAAGTAAGACTCTAAAAATAAATGGTTGGACATTAGAATTAAAGTCGCACCAGCTACTCCATCTTGGATGTAACTGGAATTAAAATAGATGGGAAGAATGCATGTTCAGGACACAGGAGTGTTGTTTGTCCCATGGGGTCTACTTAATTTCAGTTTGGATGTTACATAAGCTGACTTAACATTAGTACTTGGTTCCTGAAAAACGCATGATCGAGACAAAATTCAGACCTGACTGTTATGGTATAGATATGATAACAACATCCTGATTACTCTGCAAACATTTCAGTGTTGAGTAAATGACAGCTAACAGTCTTGGCTTGACATCTGCGATCCTGCTACTGAGGGTTTAAATAGGGCACATCTGATTGTTCAAAATCAGTCACGTGGAGGTTTTGAGTGTGGCGTCCTCTTTGCGACCAATTTTATCTAGCGAGTGTGAGCAGCCTCCCACAACCACTCGAAACTATGTGAAGAAAACACATTTTTCCCTAGCAACCTTTGGTCGCCAGGAAATCACTAACCAGTTTCCAGGTTTAGGAAAGGGTTTGGGGTTTTTTTTAATACTGGTTCCAAGATGAAAGTTGTCCCAATGTCAATGACATAACCTCACCACCTTCTGGATATCATTGTTGGCCTTAGGGAGATGTTGTATTCAAGAATTGTTTAACGGTATCCTTTTACTAATTAGAATAAAACTGAACAAATCTTCTTGACCTAAAGGAGAGTAGCAAAGTCCAGAAAAAGCTTAGCATACCGGGGCCGTCTCTGTTTCTCTTTCTGAAACTTATTTGAGTTGTTACTATCCAGAAATGTAACTTCACCATGCATTAAAAAGAGAAAATTAACATATACATAAATGTAAAGGGATTAAGTTTTGTTTATACTTACCAAAAAGAAAGGACCTGCTGGTCTGTTGGTTAGCACATCTGATCGCAGCCATTTAGTAACAAAATTAGTTGACAATCAAATTTTACTTAATAAGTTTATTTTAAATGTGGACACCCTGTACTGTGTTTTTCTGCCCCATGCCCTACTTAACCCTGAATATCAGAAACTGTAGTCAGCGTGGACAGGAATTTAACAATGAGAGGGATGGGAGAGGATTAGGGGTGATGTACAGGAAATTAAACTCTTGTCTATGTGTGTTTGTGTTTGCAGCAGAGCCAGCATGACAGCAAAGACCCCACGTTCAGCCTGCAGGGAATTTGTGAAGGAAGCAGTCGCTGGCAAGCTGCAACCACCTTCTTCTGTTTCCTCGTCCTGAAAAAACAAGAAGTCCTCCGCCTGTGTCAGACCGCTCCCTATGAGGACATCTCTGCCACACCTGGACCCAAATTCTACAATTAGTAAAAAGCAGAAGTCAGTCTTCTAACATGCCAGCTTGACGCACAATCACTGTGTCTGTTTAACTCTGATAAGATTATATTAAAGTTACTGAAATAAGCTTCTGGAATAAATAGTATAAACTGCATTAAATGAACACATATTACTCTGTTTATATGTTTGCTTGTTCTGGGTTTCAGTGAAGGAACACGTTTCCTAAAATGCTTGGCCATACTGTTTTATCAGGTCTCTGATTTTACATATTCAATTCTCTATATGTTTTAGTCTGCTTTCTGCTTTTTCTGTCGTGTATATTTATTCCAGACACAAGATCTCAGAAGTTATTTCTGTGACCAGTTACACAAAAAAAATGTCACATAGCTCTTTGTTGTTTTATCTGAAATGTTGCTGTTCTTCATTCTTCAAAACTTTCTTTAACAACGTATTTAACGTGACTCTTTAGCAGGTAGAAATATGTTGTTAAAGTTAATTATTTAAGTAGTGAAAATTTAGAAGTTTCTCTATTCGTGCTGTGTCTTGTATTGGCTGATGCATTGTGGATTGCATTAAAGTAAATGCATATATCGAAGCACAGACTTGTATTTATTTCTGTTCTATGCAAACAAACTTTGCTTTATCTGTGAGTTGGAGCATGATTTTCTTTCTGCAAGTCCGTCCGTCACCTGGGTTGTTGAACAGGGAGCTCAGCAGCCTGCTTGTCTTTATTAGAATAAAGGATTCACCTGTCAGAAAACGGAGACATGCGGGTAAATCCTGCCGGATGAGGCTTTATGATTCCCTGCTGTCACTTTAAGAAGCAGCGATGCAGCAGACGCAGTCGCCTCATTAATCTGCGGGCTTCATGGCTGCAGGATGGACCCTCATCAGCACCACCAGCATCTTTTCTTCTTGCTGCCACCGGGGACCGTTAAGTCAGGCAGAAACCGAGGCTTTTCCGCGATGCACAGCTGCCACCTGCCCAAATGGTACCGCTTCACATGCAGGTTGTTGTCGGTCTTTTGTGTCTGCAGGGAACGTTTGTTTTGAGCTTCAGAGACATGGTGATATACCCTTGTTTAGTAACCGTATCATATGGTTACTCAACATGATCGTATGTAGGACACAGCTGGGGCGAAATGTGCTTGTCAGCGGTTTCGATTAGAAGCGTTGTCTTCGGTAGAAAGTACCTGCTGGGGTGTTGGGTGTCCTGTTTAGGGACTCGCTTGCAGTCAGTTGGCCATGCGAAAGTGATGAGACTTCTTTAACTGCTTATCTAACAGCGTCTTATTTTAGGCGACAGATGTTGAAAATCATGTGATTCAATACCGTAATGATGACTCAAGGACAAAGCGCACCGTCCCCATCTCTCCTTGTGATATTTATCCGGAAACATTCCCGGCATCCCCCACCTCCTGGATCCTCTGCAGAGTGCCTAAATGCTGCTTTGAGTACAGTTTTATGCACCGGCTGTTTGATGCTGCTCGCCTACACAGTGAACACCGAAACTCACACTTACGTAAGATGATTGCGTATTTCTCGCCAGCTCTTAGCACTTGTTGAGCAGACGGAGGAGAGGGAGGTGAGATTTCCTGCCTCGTCGTCCTAGAAATTAAATATAGGGCACAATGAGACTCTTCCGGCTCGCTGGGTGCGCTTTTCATTAGCGGCAGTGTTACAGGTCTGTTGTGTCTGCAGCTGCCTGAATTGCTGGTACATTTTGAGCGTGGATCAGCAGGTTTCCTTAAGCTTTACGCAGACCTGTGAGACTTCTGAAAACAGATGAGAACATTTTGTCCTCATCTTGGATTTTTTTTGCTGGTTGGGCTGAACAGAAATGGGCTGTAGCTACCATTAGATCACCTTGATTATACAAGAGATTTATCTGCGAAAAAATATTTTTACCTATGGGATAATTAAATTCAGGGAATGTATATGTATTTAGATTCTTTTTCATTATCAACATGTATCAAACTGCTTAAATTAGTAAATACGTAGCCTGATTTACAATCACAGTTATTATAATATCTAAATATAAACTTTAAATAAAAAGCAGATATAAGGCTCTCAATTGTACCATACAATATTTTGTAGAAACATTTAAATGTCTTAAAAATAAGTATCAAAGTTAGGGAAGATGCAGTTATGAAATATCTGATAATAATAAACCGAACAAGTCTAAATTCTGAAAAAGTCAATACGCAATACTTGCTTTCAATCCAATATACACTCACCGGCTACTTTGTTAGGTAACCTGTTCATCTACTCTTGAACTCAGATATCTCATCACCAAACCACAAGCCAGGATCTCGGTGCATTTAGGAATGTAGACATGGCCAAAACAACTTACTGAAGTTTAAACTGAGCATTAGAATGAGGAGGGAAGGCAGATTTAAGCGATTTTAAACTCAAGTTGTTGGTTTCTAAAACTGAGGATCTACTGGGATTTTCCCACATGACCATCTCTATGGTTTACAGAGAATTAATGAAAAAAGAGAAAATATCCAGTGAGCAGGAGATATCTGGGTGGATATTTCTTGTTGATCAGAGGAGAATCAGATCGGAGAAGAATGGCCAGACTGCTTCAAGCTGAGAGGAAGGCAACTGTAACTCAAATAACCACTCATTATATTATAATATATACAGAAGAGCAGCTCTGAAAACACAAAATGTTGAACCTTGAAGCAGACAGGTTAGGGCAGCGGAAGACCACAGCAAGTGCCACTCCTGTCAGCCTTTTTGCTTTCTACTCTTTTGCAAAGTGTCCTTGGGTATCTTGAAAATGCTATACACGTCAAAGTTCTTCTTATTATTATTATTATTATTAGCCAAGGAGAGGTAACTGAGGCTAGTATTCACACAAACTCACTAAAATCGGATATTAGCAGATTGAAATAATTCTGTCTCGTATTAATGGTTCATGCCGGTGTATGTGCAATGATGTGGGGGATATTTTCTTGGAACACTTACTGTTGCTAACTACATCCATCCCTTTATGACCACAGTGTATTGAGTTTCTGATGGCTACTTGCTGCAGGATAGCACGCCATGTGAAATAATCTCAAACTGGTTTCTCGAACATGGCAGTGAGTTCACTGTACTCAAGTGCCCTCCACATTCATCAGATCTCAGTCCAATAGAACGCCTTTTGAATGTTAGGGTGGAACAGTAGATTCTCATCAGGAATGTCCTGCTAACAAATCTGCAGCAGCTGCATCTCCGAGAAGTGTTTCCAGCACCTTACTTAAAGATGGAAGGAAAGCATGGAATAAGTCAGTTCTGAGGGCAAAAGGTGGGCCAGCCCAGTATTTCAGTCACTAGTCAGGTTGTTTTGAGTTTTAATACCACGGCTGACATTAACATTTTAAACCTGCTGTTGTGAAGAAGGGATTCAAACAGATTCAAACCTTCATGTTGGAGAAACAATCAGGAGTGCCTGTATAGTTCTAAAGACAGAAACGAAATATATTAAATTAAATATAGAGATTAACACAGTTGAAATTACAATAGTACAAACACATGCAGGAACAATCTCTGTTCCACTATTTAAGTATTTGTGAACAGTTGATAACCCCAGTGACTGTTGACTCTACCAGCCACCAAAAGTGAGGCTTTGTCTCTGTTTTATAGCTTTTTATAGCAATTAATGTGAAGTTTCATCATGTTTGCCTGCAGCTCTGCAGACAGGGAGGACACAACGTAGAGAGAGGCAGCTGCGCTGATTGTAGACTTACTGTGTCGCCTTTGTGTCAGCAGAGAAAGGAGGCTTTATCTGCTGCTGCCTAGACTATTTATTTTACAAGTGTTGGCGTTAGACTTTTGTCACTGCCTTCCAGCCTAGAGCCACATAATGGCCGCACACAAGACACAGTGTTTTAGAAGCAAAACACGCTCCTTGTCAGGTTTTGGATTTCAGTTTTCTTCATGCTGGTTTTACCTGTGATATGTTTGTGTCTGTAACGGTGATTACAGCGCAGCTCTGAGGGCTCCTAGTGTCCCTCTCTAGAGAGAGCCGTGGAGACGTTGGACATTCCTTTGCACATCGATGTCTCTAACTCCGAGTCGAAAGCCCTCCTCAGGTCAGCGCAGGTACTGTTTCTTCTCATTTTTCTCTCTTTTTTTTCAGCCAAATGGCAAAAAATATTACGTATTGAGTGTAGCATTAGTTCAAGCTCAGCTGTCACCCCAGCAAATCAGCACCTACCAGCTCAGCAGCTATCTTTCTACACATCAAATTGGCTCATATAGGGCATGCTATTTAAGCTGCTTCAGCCTGCTTACAGTTGCTGCATATCTGCAAGCTGCTTTGCGACCCACTTCCACCCCAGCTCTTTCTTGAATGTGCGTCTCGACTCTGTCTTGTATCTGTTGCCATTGATGTTTGCTTTTTTAAATTTTCTCCAGTTATAAATTTTTGCACATCGAAATAAAAATCCTCTTACGATTATAGTTGTGCTGATTGAAATCTGATTTTTGTCATTATTAATAATAATATTATTAAGTAATAATTTGATCTCCCAACAAGGCGCTCGGTGGGAACTAGTGGCGGCAGCGGGCGATATTCCCACAGCGACACATCAAGTACTCACACCTACCCTGGTCGAGTTAGGCCACCAGAGGGCAGTCCTACAGCCCGGACTTATCCCAGTACCCCCAGGTAACATGCAACTTACACTCCTGTAGTCTAACAGTCGGAAAATAAGACACCAAAATGTTACTAAAATTACCCCAGATCTTTTTATACTCAGTCATCTTCTCATAAAACATTCAAGTTCAATGGACTGCACACGGAATTGCCCAAAGCTATGGATGTAACTGACTGTCTGAATGTGTTAGTCTTGTGTCGGACTGGCACGCTCTTACAGGGGATTTGCCAGCTGAGACTTCAGGACCCCTTGGCTTCTGCAATAACTGTTGAACTGAATTACCAGTGCTGACACAATGTCAGCAAAAACTGGCTGATATTAATCTAGAGTAAGGGTTTATTGGAAGGTTGTTGGATTGGTTTGTGTTTTATTTTATATCACCAGATTTCTGTTTAATGCTACTATACTTTACTACTCACTGTCAGTCAGCTATCAATTTATACTCATCATATGTGATTAAATCCAACCTTTTTCATTCACGTGTGATTCAGACGTCAGGTGAAGCACACAGCTTGCAGCGACAACCATGGGATCAGGCCCCCAACCCCAGAGCAGTACCTTACACCCCTTCAACAGAAGGAGGTGTGTATACGACACCTGCGAGCCAGACTGAGGGAAAATGTGGAAAGGCTACAGCACAGGTTAGTCTTTTTCTCTATACGCCTACTTTCCTTGTTGTGGTTGCAGTTGTTGTTGTATGAATGCTATTTCATTTTTTGCTCTTCCCTAGTGCTTCCCTACACTGTGTCTGTGTATGAGTGACTCTGCAAAGATAACTGCTATTCAAAAATCTTTACTTCCTCATCAGGGACTGTGAAATAGATGAGTTAAGGGCACAGCTGTACAGGATGCAGGAAGACTGGATAGAAGAGGAATGCCACCGTGTCGAGGCCCAGTTAGCCCTAAAAGAGGCCCGCAAGGAGATCCAGCATCTCCAGGAGGTGGTTGAGTCGGTAAGGTCCAACCTGGGTGTACGGCAACAAGACTCCCATGACCACAAGCCATTCTCAGGGTTGCAGGGAGGTCGGCCAGGTGGGAAGTCTCGCTCCTGTGGATGTTCCCCAGCCAGCACTTTAACCCGCAGCGCCGGCCACTCCAGACTGAGCAGCGAGGCTCTGCAGCTGGAGCGCGGCTCAAGTGCTCCCGAGCCAAGCGGAGCATCGCAAACAGCAGGACAAACTCACCTGCTCCTGGACGCGGCCCTGCTGTCAGAGCAGCTGCCGGCACAGAGCCACATCCGAGGCCCCCCAGCTGTGCCACGCTCTTCCACCTATGAAAGGTTGTGCAGCGGTGGGGCTGTGTTGCCAATCTCACACTCCTGCCACACTCTCAGTAGCAGCTGCAGGTGCAGTGGACACACCTACCTCCCCCACCATCACTTGTTTCTGCACTTACCTCAGGAGGAGGCCCCAGTTACAGCTGCTGCAGTCCCGGTTACGGCTGCTGCAGTACCGGTTACAGCTGCTGCAGTCCCGGTTACAGCTGCTGCAGTCCCGGTTACGGCTGCTGCAGTCTCTGCTACTGAGTCTAACCCCATTCCTGTTCCTGCAGCAGAGAAGAAACCAGAGGTCCGCTCCCAGGCCTGCAGCCCCACCATGACCTGGCTTTGTGAAGAAAGCAGTGCAGAAGGCCCAAGTGTAATTTCTTTAGTCTCAGCAGACATAACGCCATCAGAACAACAACGATTTCCATCATCTTTACCTCCTCTATCCCTTCCTCAGTATATTTACAATGCAGAGCCATCAGAACCGGACAAACCAGCGGGACCTCAGACCTGCCAGCCCCACCCTATAGCTCCACTACCAGTTAAGCAGGAAGCTACAGTAGTGGAGATAGAAGAAGATAATAAGGATGAAAATGGAGGAGCTGGTGAAGAAGGTCATTCCGCTCAGCGGTGCCACTGGAGCCGGTACTTCCTAGTAGATCTCTTGGCTTTGGCAGTGCCGGTGGTTCCAACCATGGCATGGCTGTGCCGAGGAGCACCACAGGAGGTCATGCCGGTGTACCACATCGGGTCCTTGCTGAGAGGTTGCTGTGCTGTGGCTCTCCATTCACTTCGACGTCAGGGTGCAGGCAGGGGCCGCAGACCCGCCAGCATGAACGGAACAACATCAATCTGAAACTTTCAGCCACGTTTGGCATTAAGAAAAGACTCCAAACCTCTCCAGGCACAACACTGACTTTACTTTAAAACATTTCAGTCTCAACCTCGCATTGGATATCAAAACTTATAAGATTTTTAGAGTCTGTGATCATGCTTTGCCTTAGAGAACAAAAGATTAGTTGTACATCAAATACTTTCCTTACTGATATAGTCTGTATTTACTGCTACTGCCTGCACTTTAAGTGGTTTTCTCTTTATTGCGGTTTGCATGTAACCCACAGTTTGTTTGGACTCTTGCTTGCATTAAAAAGCCCCTTCAGTATGCGATGCCTTCAGAGCAACAATGTACACATTATGAAAATAAGAGAAATAGTGTGTGACTGAATGCTTCTCTAATTTCATCATCACATTTTCTAAATTGTTCACAGAGAATGTGAGAGTCACAGTCATGAAATTCCTTTGGCATCACTGATGCCTCACCAAAGCAGAAAAGTACGTTAGAGTCAGCTCTTTTGTGACGTGTTCAGAAGCAGTTAATAAACAGGGCACACAGGGTGTGGGTGCAAAAGAGAGGAAAAGCATTCGTTTTTGTATCACAAACAAGGAAAAAAGGTTTTGGACTTTCTGAGAAGCAAAGATGTGAACTGACTCTAGTGAGAGTGAAACAGACAGATGGATGATTTTTTTTTTAAATTCCTACAACATAAGGAAAACTGTATAGACTCCATTTCAATCCTGCTGGGACACATGAATAAGGAAGAGCATCCGTGACCAAGGATAGAGAAGCAGAAATCTGCAGCTTAATACAAGGTTATTTTACATAATGGAGATAATGTAAAGGTCTAAATTGTGAAAAATACTTTTATAAGGACAACATTTATTACATTTTGGATCTTAAAGCTAACTAGCGTAGTGTGTGTGCGTGTGTGTGTGTGTGAAAGAGAGAGAGTCTGATTTGCTCCATCCTTTAACGCACACTCAGATCATTTATCTACATTGTATCTTAAGGAGATAAAGAGGGAAAGTTGGAGATTTAGTCACCGGTGATCCACACAGATGAATGGCGTGAGTCGCGAGAGCACTTTAGTGAATTTGTAAAGAGATAACAGTTTGATACAGGTATATATTTTCTGATTTTACATGAAGAAAAAAGAAAAAGAAAAGATGTCTGCACAGCTGCTAGAAAGAATTAACATAATTATTTTTGGCATCAACTGTGGCTTCTTTCACTGTACTGCAGTCAAGCCTAATGCAGTGTATCAGTGTTTGAGCATTAATGTTATAATGTATCTATTTCAAGTGGCCCTTTGATGTGACTCAATTGTAATCACAAACTATGACGTGCTGTAAATGTAGTTACCGATTTCAGCCTTATTATGCAAAAAGAACAAAGGTTTGGCTTTCAGGGATCCTTCCAGTGAGGTTTTTGAGAAGTTTAATCAGAGGTTCAGCGTGAGGAAGAAGCAGACGATTTTACTGTATAATAAAGTCTGTTGGAGCAGCGCACAATGTTGTCTTCAAATTTCACGCTATTCGTTTTTGGTTGACTTTTGTTCCGAAGCAACAGTATTTCCTTTATGTATTTGTATTTGCTCAGTGTCACTTCAGTCATTAGAAACAGCCAAATATTGCAAAAAAATACTGTTTCCTTTGTTCTTGGAAATAAAACATGCTTCTGTTTTCTATTTTCTTTTGTTAGTGAGACATAATAATATGAATTATTAAGGCGAGACATTACAGGCAGAAACACTTTTTGCTCCATTGCATTATCTATGCAAATGAATGCATATTAGATAATACATCAGCTCATCTGCATATTTAAATATAAAATTTCGGGAAATGTGCAATGCCAAACCTTTTTTATGTCAATAATTATTAGGGGAACTTTCATAGTAACTTACCTCTTAAGGTTTTACAAGAACATTTTTACAATGTATATCTTTAAAGGTTGCTTTGATTTTTTTCCCTCACATATTCTGAGCCTGATGCATTCACCTAACAGGTGAAAAAATCCCCAGTTCAGTCCTGGGAGGACACAGAAATCCCTTTGTAGTTGCAGCATTAAAGGGCACCCGGCATAAAAACTGCCAAACCAAACGTGGAGCTACCTGCTGTGGCGACCCCTTGTGAATAAGGGAACAGCCCAAAGTAGCTTCTGTATTCTGAGCCTAGAAATCTCCATTTAAGTAGCACTTACATTCTTTAAAATCCCCAGCTCGATTCTGTGTTATATTATTGAAGTTTCTAAAGATTTATAAATATATCAATCTGATTCCTGAAAACATGGTGAAAAGGTCATTTTTTTCTGTCTGGAGAAACAAGAAAATATATCAAAAATATGCTGTGTAAAGAATCTTTTGATTAATTTGTCAATAAAATGAAACAAGAATATTCCAACAACCACAAAAACAATGGAAACAAAAAAAATTGATGCCACATTAGAAAGAGAATGAAACTAACTCAAAGTTTGGAATACAGAAAAAACAATAATTTTATTTTTTTTTAAGACCATTAGAAAAACCAACAAACACAAATATAGCTCTGTAAAAAGCAGCCATCAAAAACTGAGCTTTGTCCAATTTTTGCTCAAAAAAAAAAAAAAAAAAAAAAAAAAAAAGTGAATATTTTAATAAAACTAAGACTTAGAAAGTATTACACTCAATATTCCTTACTTAAGATTAATTGGGGGAAATAACACGGTGGTATTTTATACCCTGTTCACCTGTAGAGTCTCACCTTATTCATGCATCAGTGCAAAGCCCCAGTAACAGGCCTAGAAGCCAGTTGACAAATTAAAGAATCCTGCAGCATCCATTGAAAAGCTGAATTTAACATTTTTATACCCTACGTGGTTGCATCAGAGAATGCACATTTTTCCCTAACAACTGCTGGTTGCCAGGGTCACTGGGCCTGTTTGACTGTGGCTTAAAATGACCAAAAAAAGGGCTATGAAGTGACACAGAATAACTCTGAGGAGAAATAAACATCATTTTACTTAAAAATCACTCTTTAATGTATTCGAATAAGCCATTCCTAGAGGAAAATTTTTCCCCTTTAGCTGTGGATATTAAAGCAAGCAGGTATATTTGGCTCATAAATTAAGACCATCTTACAGGTCCTCTAACGCTCTTCAGGAAAACGTTTGATTTTTGATCCCCTGATTATGACATGCTCTGGGCATTTTTGTATTTTAGAGTACATAACAAAAGTAATTCATAAAAATATTGTGTCAAACAATTTATTCTTATTTTGAATCAAGACAATTCATTACCCGCAATCAATACGATTTTATTGTAAAGGCCACAAAGCCACAGGAATGAGACTCATTCAGTATTTATGACACTTAAAACATGGTCCTGGTGGCAGACGCATTTAGTCAGTCAAACAGCGGCAATAAAGTCAATTTGAAGTCAAAAAAAAAAAAAATACGACCATAAAAATACAAAGCAGTATATGACAAAATACATGTGATAAGATGGCCTATGACTTATTACTGTCTGGAATCTAAAGTATAATATAAGGGATAACATTTTAAAGCAAGTGACAAAACAGAACTTGTATATAAATGTAAAGGAGAGTGAAATAGTGTAACAAAAGACATAGGTCCTATGCAGGAATCAAGAGCAGGAACCATCTGTTAACCTTTTTCCTCCATGTTCCCGAGATAGGAGTCAACCTGCAGTGAGGGGGAAGAGGAAAAAAAAAGCTCAGAGCTGTGATTAAGAAGAGGAAGAGTGGATTACTGACACTAAAGCTTGTTATATCCATACTATTTAATCTCTGGACAAAAGCAATAAAAGATAACTGTAGAGTCACTGTAAGCATGTGGGGAGCGATAGTACAGTTTAGGATTATTAATACATATGTTTCCCTAATTGCGCCGGGTGTTACAAATCTAATCATGTTGATTATTCACATTATTAAACACGTCTCACCCTGAAAATCTGAGTGGAATTAAAGTTGAGTGCACAAGTTTCAGGCCTCCAGACCAATCAGCTCCACATCAAAGGTGAGAGTGGCATTTGGTGGGATGATCCCTGGGTGACCTTTGCTGCCATAGGCGTAGTCTGGTGAGCAAATAAGCTTTGCCCGCTGACCCACACTCATCTGTGGAGAAGATGGAAATGAAACACTGCTGCCGCAATCGAACTAAGTAATAGATTTATTTAAAGGCCTCTTAATAGTACAGGCTCTGTTTATCTTAAACTAATGCAGTTAAATGCAACGGCAATCCAATAAACACATCACCACAGACTTCATAATGTTAGTCTGTGGTGATGCTGAACTGCGTTTTTCAAAGGCATTATTAGTAAGGATGGGCAAGCGCGCGGGAAGAAACAAAACTGAATTATGTAACCATGTGTGCCTGGAGTTAATTCTTTCAGATTTAACAGCAGCTGGGAGGATGTTGTGCTTTACTACTGCCAGAAGGTGGCAGTAACGAGCCGTTTTCCAACCACCATTGAAAAACAAAATTAGACAAAGAACACTTATGGGAGCGACATTTAAGACGCTGAGAGTAGATGGCGCACAAACAGGAGTAACCTGCAAATCCACAGATTAGCAAAGCTTTAAATAAGCCATGTTTAGCCCTTCTTTGAGTAAGGAAATGAAAACAAGGCTCAGCGTTAGCTTGGCCAGGGAAAGCTAGCATGTCACAATCATAAAAGAGCAGTTTAATGGTAGTGTGCAGTGATCGTGTTTCCTGTGTTTCCTCTTATTTTCTGTCAGATATGTACAGTTACAGTGGTGGATAATGTTTATTATGAGGTCGGCGCACAAACAAACAATGTGAGGCAAAAGCTCCGGCGTCAGATTCCCCCCCCCCATGACACCAAAAAAATGGGGATATGCCTAATATAGTCAGCTCAGGCCAGGAACCCAGAAACTCAAACCACCTACGGTTCAAATCTTGTTTGATGGCAGATACTCCCTTCACCCTGGCCAAAAAGGCTAAAATGACCCAAGAAAAAGTGGAAAACAGTTAAACATGAGAGGTTTTTGGACAAAGTTTGTGTTTTTTCCATTGTTTAAGCACTGCTTCCAGCCAAGAATGATACCATATATGCCCCATAGCTGCAGAAAAGGCTAACATTGTTATCTTTTTAAAAAAACAAACAAAACAGCTGAACATGAGAGGTTTTTGGATCAATTTTGTGTTCTCCATTCTTTAAGCACCGGTTTGAGCACCGTTTAAGCACCGGCACCATTTCAAAAGTATCGGTTTGGCACCGGTATCGGATAAAACCTAAATGATACCCATCCCTATCTGGGAGCGACAGCCATGGGTCATCCTCCAATAACGATTTAGCACCTAAAAACTTTAATAACCTCCAACAGAACACAGTGTTTTACAAAATATGCAACAAAACTATTCATGCTGCGGGTGAAAACAACAAACTTGTTTCGCCACTTGTGGCAAAAACAGACAACCAAGTGCAACCAGGCTACAAAGAAGCAGATACTAACATCTCATGATGTGCAAACCAAATGTCCACAGATCACTTCAACAAGCATCGCTGGCTAGCCTCACACCACATGAGTGGAAGCACAAGCAGTGGATAGAAATTACTGACATGGTTACGTGGTGGAAAACCAGGACTTTAAGCAGAAGGATAAAAAGCTTGACCAAAGACACAACATCCTGTGCAGCTTCAGAGCAGTTATGAGACTGAGTTAATTCAGTTATTGTTAAACTAAAATACTGAGCAGTTCTTTTATACTTTTACTTAAATTTTCTAGGGAAGAACAAGTGCCTAGGCTACTTTTGTGCTTGCATTTGATTTATGCTGTGTCACTGGACATAATGCTGCTGGCAACTTGTTTCAGTACATTCACACTTGAAATTAGGAAGTGTGCCATCAATGACAGTAACTTACTAGAGAAGAAACATAGAAAATTCACTTCATTTACATTCACTTATAAAAACTGCTGCCTGCAAGCATCAATGAAACATTTTTCCAGCATCGCAGTTCTTGTTATTGCAATTTTTTGTGAAAAACTGTAATATAATTTTAAGGCTATATCACCCACCCCTTGTAATCCTATAATAGCTACTTTAGTAGAACCCGTGAATAAAAATATAGAGACTAAATTGGGCATAATAGGTCTTTTGTTCACCCATCTGATCATGCAAAATCCCCAAAAATCTTACATGGTTCAATAAAACACAAGCTGGAAACAACAGAACAAACATCACAGCATTATATCATTAAATATAAATCATTTCTAACAGTAATAATTGCAAAATTACACTGGGTTAATGGTGGCAAAGTATCATAACAGCGTGTTAACAGCTGGAACAGGCTCTGTGCCACTTAAAGCAACAGGAAAGGCAGATAGAGGATGAAGAAAAGAGAGCAGAGATGCTCCAGCATCACTTGAAACCACTAAAAGAGCTGTGAGTGCTATTTGGATGCATTCAGTTCTAATAAAAGAGGCTAAAAAAAGGCCCACTTATGCAAAAATAATACCATCAATCTGGAGTAACACAAATTTATTTCCATACTCGTCACTACTGACAGATGTTACAGCTGAGATTGGGCTAAATACCTCCCAATATAAGCAACGCAGTTAAACGCAGTTAAAAGCATTTCATGCGCCCCAAGAGAGAAAGATCACAATCGTTACTTTTAGCCGTTGTAAGGAAAACATAGCTAGTTAAGTAATACCTGCATAAAGGTATTCATTGCGAAAATCTTGCTCACCTGGGCTACTCCTTCTTCCCATCCCCGAATCACCTCCTGGTGTCCGATCTTAAATTTGAACGGCTTGCCCCGGGACCTCGAAGAGTCAAACACTTTACCGTCTGCCAGTGTGCCTGGAGATGAAATAAGAGTCCGAAGGCTGGTTAGACATGTATGAATATCTAACTCGACACAGAGCTCGGCTTGTTGATAACTAATCCCACTTTTCTGCACCCGGCTGTCTTCTCCAACATGAGCTAACTCTTTAGCCGTGATGCTAGCGTTAGCATAACGGGTTCCCGGATAGTTTACGTTAGGAGGCTTCAGCTCAACGAACTTAACTACTCTTCGTTCCCTTAAATAAAGACAATTCTGGCCGGTTTAAAAGACCAGGGGGTATAATAAAAGTATGCGAGCATCAGAATAGCTGATGATAGCCCAACAGTCAAAATAGTCAGTCTGTTAACAGAAGCTAGCTACAATGCTAACCAGCAGAAGAAGCAATGGGCACTCGGGTACTGTTAGATGAAACTAACTTGTCTCACAATTCACCCAATCAGACACCTTTCACCCAGGTAGGGGCTAGAGGAAACATTCAAAACGTTAAAGAGCATCCAAATCTCGGAGCTCCAGCCTCCGCACTCACCAACATAGTGCACCACGACGCGCTGCCCCTTCTTCGGAAAAGTCCGCCCTGGAAACAGGAAAACAGAGAGAAAAGTGGCAGAATAATGAAGCGAACACTCTCGGGATAAAAACAATATAAGGCTGTTTAACAAGTCACATAATTCTCACCGTCACCCGGAGTTATAGTCTGAATTTCTACTCCCATTTTCGCTCCGCTGTATCCTTCTTCTGGACCACCCTACAATGCGAGCGGAAGCTGGAGACATGGGCGGCCTCCTGACGAGCGAGTGGGCACGGATGGAGGAAAAATCCACCAATGAAGCAATATTATAACAATTTTATAAGAATATCTTACTTGGAAACAAGGCCCAAGTAAGCGTTTTACGTTTTACGATTGCGTGTGTACTAAGACGAGCATTTAAGTCAGATGATTGGTCATCATCCATATATATATATATATATATACATACATACATATATATATGTATGTATGTATGTATGTATGTATGTGTGTGTGAGAACCGGTTGAATATGTATATGGGGTTTTTTTTTTGGGGGGGGGTTCTGCATGATTTAAGTTTTAAGGTCATACCCCATCGGGAGATATCCCAATTAGGAAAGGTCTCATTTGAGATGACCATGACCATGCGGGATTTGGATTATTAAAAAATCAATCTAAAGTAGTATTAGGTTATCTTGGAGGAGTCATGTTACTTGAACACTTTTCAGTATAAATGTATAGGCTCGTGCAGAGATCAGATCTTGGAGGAAATGCGTTGCAAGAACTGACACAGTGAAAAAATCAAATCACTTTTAAGAGTGGATTTTTTGCATTCCAGGCCCCTTCGTGCATTGTATTTTATAACAGCTAATCAAAACTCAGATGAAATTAATCAGACATATTGCAGTTGAAACTTGCATACCTCTACGTTTTCTACAATAAGGGAAATGATAAAGGCACAGGGGGGAACTGATACTGGCACTGGTATCAAAAACTCTTGTTAATATCCACCCATCTAAGTAACTGCTGTCACTTATTGCAACTCTGAACCTTTTTTTTCAGCTTTTACATCTATTTCACATCTATTTCATATCTATTGTGTTCCTACAAATTTGGAAACGATTATCATACACAGAGCAGCAAAGTCAAAAACAACTAGGTTCAGCATTGAAACTGTAAATCTGTGGTTGGGATAGGTGTTTACAGCCTGCATGACACTGTTTGTAATCTGGAACATTGTTAAAAACTTGAATGACTGTTTCATTTCCCATGTTCCGCACCCCACCTGACTTCTTTGTTGTTTCTTTATCGTGATGGGATGAGCTACAGAATGCCTGCATGTATGCACCATGTTTCGCAACAAAGTGAACGCAACACTGTTACATGTTCAACACATGAACCTACTGACATTAGCACCGTAACATCCTGTTATTTCAGATGAGGATGGAAAATGAATTGATGTGACTTTTATTTGTGATGACTGAGGATTTGCAGTATTGTTTTGTTTTGTTTTTTTACTATATGGAAGCAAAAGAACTGGTTCTCCAGGCTCTCCAGACTCTCCAGGCTGCCATGTCACTCATTTTCAATCCAGTCCTGAGCATTTTTTGTTTGTTTGTTTTGTTTTGTTTTGTTTTGTTAAGCCTATTAACACTGACCTATGAATCATATAAGCATAAAAATACACCTAAGTCAAGGGATGAAACAGTCTTTTGTCTACACATAACAGGCAACATTAAATTGTATATTTAGGGACTTTGTTACTAGCAATCTGTTGCAAAATCACATAATTACTAGTTATTTCCTCAGTTAAATGTATGAAAAATGCCAACGATAACGCAGTTTGACAGGTATAAAATAATTTTTTTGCACCACTAAAGTGATTCCCAAAGCGTTATTAGCCAAAATCTTGGCATATCTGGACAACATGTCCTCAAAGTGGAGGATAAATAAAGAAGTGTCAGGTCTAAGAAACTATCCACAACAGATGAACAGTATCTGAAAGTCATGTTTCTAGAGAAAAACCTCCTCGCAACTGCTTTGATCACTAGCAGATTGCTGTGGTCAGCCACAGTTTGCATAGAACACTCTGACTTGACTGCAAACACTCGTCAAATTTAATAAATGATGGCACAAATAAGTGATTATGGACATAATGTATTTATATGAAATTCAGGAACAGGAAATCTGCTGACCTTGGTCCAACTTAAAGAACAGACACTGACAACATGAGTATACTATCACAACTTTACAGATTTATATTATGACCTGTAGAATTTTTTTTTATTTAGTTTTAAATTGTGAACTGTTGTCTATTACTGCACTGTTTTTTTATTGCGCTTCATAAAGTGTTGAAAACTGTGTATAAGACATAAAAAAGCTCTAACTCTCACCTTCTCTCTGCTCATCACAGCAGTGTCCTGCAGAATATTTCACATGCATTACAGCTTAACACTATATATACTTTGAATTCAATTAACCAAGTGTCATGCTTCTTATATACATCACATCACAGTTGCTGAAAGAACTTCCTCTAAGGTTATACCTGTGCATCCTTGCACGTCCGCTGACCCTTTTCTATTCTCGTACTCTCTACTGAATATTTATTTTTGGAGATGAGAAATCTTTCACGATGCTTCACTGAGAATGACTTTTAGGTCACAGGCAGGAGGACAGAGTGGAGATGAAATGAGGTGGCACAAAGTAGAAAATTAAAGAAACCTATATATGACCTTTGCCTGTACTTTTCCTTTACGTAAGTTATGTGTAATCATTTTTAGCTCTATATAATATTTTAATATTTTTTGTGTTTACACTCACTCTTTCAATATAGATGCAAGTAAAACACAGCAGAAAATAAATAAAATCAAAGACTAGCGGTCCTTTTGCTCTATTTTCACCTATAAAGCAGGAGTAGGGCAGGCGGAGGTTTACCCTGGTGCAGGTGTGCCGCGGCGGTCAGTGGAAGAATCCGCGAGTTTCTCTGTGAATTTCCCATTACGTCTTTGCGTACTCGGTGCTTGCTTGGAAGTTTAGGGGGGGTTTTTTCGCTGTAAAAAGAAGTTTTCTTCCCACGCACACCGGACGCTAATGTTTTTGTCACTTTTTATGGAATCAAACTTAAAGTAAGGTCAGTACTTCCACGCTTTAAACGCTGCACGCTCATACTCTCTCCCGCACTCGATATAATATCCACTGTTGATCTGCAGACAGCTGTTGTCACAAACGTAGCACTTGTTTACGTCACTGTCATGAGACATTCTCGCAAAAAAAATCACGGTTTTAGTAACGCAGTAACGCAGCGTTCCTACGGGAAAGTAACGGTAATCTAATTACCGTTTTTGCAATAGTAATCCCTTACTTTACTCGTTACTTGAAAAAAGTAATCGGATTACAGTAACGTGTTACTGCCCATCTCTGGTTAGGAGTGATGGCACCATAACACTAATGCCATAACCTGATTTGTGTGACACATTTCTGCTAAAGAACATCTGCTGCCTAACTGAGACTAACTATTGTCTCACAATAGTTGAAATGTGTAATTCCCTGGTATTCCTATTCCTATTTATCGCTATTATATACTCTGTGTTTATATGCGTCTCTGTATTTATATATGTGTATATGTGTATATATGGTATATTTCTATTTCTGCTTACATTCTTTTGCAGCTTCTGTTGGTGCTGTGCTACTGGAAACAGAATTTCCAGGAGGAACCGAACCGAGGGATTAATAAAGCTTTATCTAATCTAATCTAACCTAATGTTATTTGTCTATGCTAAATATAATGCTAAAACAGGTCAGATTGATACCCTAACATAAAGACATGACCTGTTAAAACAATTTTTCCACTCAGTGTGTGCAAAGAGTTTGCAGGGACTAAGCTTGTGTTCTGCAAAGATTTCTTGGCTGGGCCTTCTGTAACTCTCTATTAGTTTCTTAGCTATGCATTTTGTACATTATGCCGATCCAATGATATGCTAAGATAAGTGAACCAACTCCCTGCTGAAGCATCAAATTACAAAGTACAGACATGAAGGTTGTATCATGTTTAAAACAGGCTAAAACAGTTGCTGTGGGATGTACTCCTCAAACCCATGACACCTTGGCTCTCACATGCGACCTGTTAGAGGCAGACTCGCAATGATTCTCAGGAACATTTATGCCCAGTTTGGCCCATCCTGAGCACTGGTGAGGGCTTTGTTCATGACATCGAGGACTTACAATTAACCGATCTGCTTTATGCCTGCTGCCATTTCCAAAAGATCTGTTGGAAACATTTGAACAAACAGACTTGACTGAATTTTTTTTCTCCTGACTGTAACAGTGTGGTAAGTTCTCAAATTTTAATGTGTTTGAGTCATAATGTGATGTTGATGTGACTCCAGCGTGGGCCTGCTGCAGGATTGTTGGCAGCTCTGTGTTTTCTCTTCGCTCTGAAGATGATGATGTAACTTCTGAACTGGATAAAGAATAAAAAAATACAAAATAAATAATAAATGTATTATCGTTAATATCCATCTTTCATTTTAAAAGTGGTATGTTTAAGTCCTGCAAGGACTATTGTAAGGCTATCTGTTAAAGCATGTAGCAAATGATTCTATTCTGCTGCAGAGAATGATCTCCTTTGATTTACTTTTGCTCACTATGTTGAAGGTTTATGGAAAACTTTTTTGGAACAATGACATCTGGGCATACTCATGGAAAAAGAGCTGGAAGTAAATATGGAATAATGACTCCAGCAAGATGCCCATACACTTTAGAGGTGCTGTTGGGCACGCTTGGGTCAGATTACTTTGTGTTCCGTGGCTACTTTGTAACCAGTTAATGAACACAAGTTGCCTGACATTTTAATGAGCGATGTAATCCCTGGCATTACAAAAAACATTTAAACAAATCTGATAAATAAAAATAATAATAACACACCTTATACTGCAGATGGGTGAACAAAATGTGTTCTTACAATGTAACTAAAATCTCATTTCACATCTTTCTAAATGTAATCCTATTCCCCAGCCAATAAACTGTTTGTTAACACAACTCAGCTCACATGGCAGATTTCTGTTGTTATTCATTCTAGTATGTTGTTGGCCACCTTTTTTCACTATTTTGTAGTTCAAGTTTTAAGCTTTAATCCACAAACAAAACCAGACCTCCTTCACTCTTATTCTTTTATGTTCAAAATCCATATTGATCCAAGTCTGTGTGACAATGCTATTTACATTCAAAGAGTTTATAAATTTGCTTACACATTCTTTGATATTGTAGATGCTGACATATTGAGCAGCTGAAGTGAATAACTGAAAATTTACAATCTGTCTTGATAGTTTACTGAACTCTTCATCCATATAATAATAGCAAGCATGATGGCGCTGTTAAAAAGATCATTTGGGGGTCAGTTGTATGTTTATAAATTTTACATTTATTGTGCAAAAGTCTTTAGCTTTACTATTACCAAAGACTACTTAAAGAAATAATGAGAAAAGGTTCAGGCCATCTTGACAAAGGTGGTCATACCAAGCATAGTCTTTTGAGCTTGTTAGAGTTGTACAAATACCATATTGTACTTGCACACATTTCAATAATTCACTCTAGCTATTTCCAGTTCTCTAAGCAACATATAGAGAGTTCAACAATCCCTTGAATTAAATATTGAATTTGCCTATCCTTCTGGCCAATCCATATGGGCAGAGTCTCAGTGCTTTATATTAAAATGAACTCTCTTTAGTGATTTCACTCAACAAAGTCAGTTTATTGCGTTATACTTTTTAAAATTACACTTATCCTTTGAGATTTTATCTTTTTGTGTTTTTCATAAATCCCAAACTTTTTTTTTTTGCAGCTTAGCATATCAGTTTCCCTGTTTCTGGTCTTTGTGCTATTCTGAGCACAGCGACTCCCTCTGTATCATCTCGTGCTCAGAGAGTAGCCTGTTAAAAACCTTCTCAACAAACTCTTGGGAAAATAACTTAACTTATGACTTATTAACACCAAGACTTGACTTGATCTTAAATCTGTGAGTGTGAACTTGCTGTGAACATGCTATAACAGACAACTATGAACTCAGTATTTAAGGTTTTACCTCAACCTTAATGGCTAAAAGTCTATTTTTCTCTCTTTTCTTTTTGATATCTCTTTTGCAGCTAAATTATTTCACGTTTCTAACTTTTTGCTGGGATTTCATTTTTTACTTTTAATTTTTTTTTAATGTATTTGTTCATTATATTGTACATGAAGTGGCTGAAAATTATTTACATCTAAATATCTATATATGTAATGAGGTTGATCGTGTGTCTGGCTAAACATTTATGATTTTATCAGCTATGTTGGGTATCTAAGTTGATTGTTCTACTTGTCAAATATACGTCAGAAATAATATTGCCTGATGAAGAAAAAAGGGATCTTTCCAAGTTAAACTGTGTGGGAGTCTGTTTGCAATGCTGGATCTGTTTGTCCTTCTCCTACGCATCTGTCTTACAAAATAGATGTGCGAAGAGTCTTTTTTTCCTGAGATTTCTGCCATGAAATCAGTTAAGATGTTGTGATACAATGAGCTGAAACTAAAGCTTCAAAGGTTCATCAAAATGAGCAACTGTGAACTGTATATAAAAGCCAATGAAGAAGTGCCTTAAGCATATGCAGTTGTACGGTGTGGTGTTGCTTGTTTCTTAAACAGTCACTCTTCACATCTAGTTTAAAAAACACCAAAAAAAAAAAAAACCCACAAAACTAAACAGTGGTGGACTTCACAAACCAGCAGTTGATATCTCAGTGGTTTGGTCCATCTTGTATAACAAATTCCAGTATTGCAAACAACTTGAAACATCTCCAGTCATTTACTTGGGATGTTATTTAGAAGCATTAAAATTAATTTAATTAAATAATCTTTAATTTTAATGGTCATCACAACATAAACAATGTCATGGTCTTGGGTTTTGAACCCAGAGGTTTCAGTTTGTGAACTTTGAATGTTTGCGTATTATTTTAATGTTCTATTTAGTTCTTAGTTTGTTCTTGTCCAAATTCTTGAGCCTTAGTTCCTTGTTTCAGCCGAGTTTTGCTATCAATATCCCTTTTAGGGTTTATTCTGTTTAGTCTTCGGTTATTTGTGTAGTTGCCCATTTGTGTCTCATTGTGTCAAGTTTGTCTCTGTTTAGTTACTTTGTGCTATGATTTCATAGTCATTTGACTTCGGTGTCGTGTTTTAGTTTAATTCTCTCATGTCTTGTTATTTTGATTTAGTTCAGCTGTGTCTTCCAGCTGTTTCCTCTCCTCCTCACCCCCTGTCTGTCTTCTTTGTCCCTTGTTACATTGACCTTCAGTGCTGTGTGTTATCCTGCTCTGTGTTCCTCATGGTTTCTGTATATCTTGATCGTATTCCCTGGTTGGTGCTTTGTTATTTAGAATAGCCGACATTAAAGGCTCACTTTAGAATTGACCCCTGTGTACCCCATGCATCTGGATCTGCAATCTGCCTCCTACACAGCTAATCCTGACAAATGTCAAATCACTAGTCAAACAGGATTTTGCCCAACAATTACATTTTAGAAAGATTTTTGTCCTCTGAAAGTTATATTTCTACCGCCATCTTTGCTGTTGTAGGGTTCTCCCATGATTTCAGTTTTACTCCTCTCTGTGTGTCTTGTGCACAGTGCTTCAGTTTATAGGCAATCTATGTGAGCAACTCTTTTAATGCTGTTGTTTTCACTTCTTAATTTGATGCTTTTTCTAATGATATAAATCTCCATTGTAGCTGTTTCAAAGATGACACGTCTGAGCCTCTTACTGGATTTGTTCCCGGAGCTGCAAGCTTTGCCTCTCGTTAATTGGGTAGAAGTGAAAAAACACCATCCCTATCAGCAAAAGTGTGATGGGAACTGGCGAGAACAGTACGATCAGAGCAGTCGCCACTCTGTCACCATGGTTACAAGCACCTGCTTCATAGCCCACAAACCTGCAGACGAGGAGAGCACATAATGTGACAGACCAAGTGATGTACCCACGTAACAAAACACAAGAAGTGAGTGGACTGGAGTCTGACTCACTGTAATGTCATGGTTGAGAGTCCAGCAGACAGCCCTCCTGTCAGTTTACTGCAGAAGGCATAGCAGGAAAAAAACAGAGGCTCTAGGTCCTTACAGGACGGGTGTCTCACAGCAAAGTCATCCACCACGTCTGGGAGCATTGACCTGCAGCACACGCACAACAAGTTGACATATCACATGTCAAAACCACATGTCAGTTTTAATGGAGAGTTCTGGCTGGTCAGCAAAGCACATCGTTTCTGGAATAGTCATCACTGGCCAGGGTTGAGTACAGACTATGAATGATTCATGTGCACCGCATTCATCTCTGACACTGATTAGATCTGACAGGGGGCCTTGGAAAGGACCTCAAACTTTGTGTTCAGGCTGGGAGCTGACTCACCAGGGTAGCAGGAATATGGTTGCCACACTGAATCCCATCAGAATGCACATACTCAAGAAGACCAGCAGGTTACTGGGAACACAGGCAACTATAATCACTGCTGGGATGAAGAGCTGGGAGAGACAAAAACGAGGATTCAAGGTGTGGAACATTTCTCTTATCATCAAGTTTCAGAGGTCTTACCGACAATCCGATGAAAACGGTGGACTTTTTCCCAATTCTCAGAAGAATTATTTGCCACACAGGAACTGCTACAGAGGCAGAAACCTGTGGAAATGTTGACTGAATTTCTATTTTGAACTCAAATCATATCTAAACTGGCCAGAAAGCTACTGAACCATGCAGCAGAGCAGGGTGTGAAAGAGTCTGTTAAGTTAGCTGCACCTTACCAGTAAAACCAGCAGGAGGTGCTGGAACTGGGCTCCCAGCCCAGCAGCATGACTGCAAAACAGCGCAAAGTTACCCAAGGACATCTGAGATCAAAACAGATGGTAAGAAAAGAAAAGGACAAATTGTTTCACATGTGACTTTGAAGTGAATAAAAACAGAATTAAGAAGGAGAAACCATATGCAGAAATGATTACAAGTTGAACCTGAAAGGCAAATGTACTAAACACAAAGCCCAGCACCAGCCTTTGGTAAGGAACGTGGCACGTGAGCATCTTCAGCGAGCTCAAATAGGAAGGTCGTACTTTATCTTCAGAGCAGCGAGAGGCTGGGAATATAACATATGAGAGAAAAGAGTGAAATATCAGACTCATGATTTTACTCTGTTTGTGGAGTAAAATCTTTGGCTAATTTTACATTTTGATTAAGTCCTCAGCTACACCTGTCCATGCCATGCATATATCAAACTAAATTACTTTGACTCAGCATAATTATGTTTTCATTTAACAAAAAAATGTTCACTTCAGAGGTTCAAAGGTTTGTCTATACGTATAGTTTAAGCTTTGACAAGTTTATTATTCTGTTCACAAACGGTGCCAAAGCAAAAGAAAATGAAAACATTTTTTTTTATCCTCGACAAATAAAGGTTTGAAATATTTGTTACTAGATCCTCATGATAACATGATCGCCTCTGCAAAGCTGTTCAACAAGAACAAAAAAACTTTTATTTATTGTGTTTGAACGCTGACTGTCTCTGAATGACTCACCCTGCTTCTCCTTCACCCCGAGGAACAAAATCAGGCTGCAGAGGAAAAACAAGGCACCCATGATCATAGCTGAGGTCAGGAAAGCCTTTTGCTGGGGGGCAAAATGCACACATGAAATCATAACTTTTAAACAAAGCATGTTATTCTGTCTACAAAGTCTAGAGGCTTAAAAACAGAAGTTTTTCCACTGTAAATAATTGTTTTATAGCATTATAAATAAACACAAAAAGCGCAATGGTGTTTCTACAGGGAGCACGTGAAATACACAAATCAGCTGTAGATGTCGATCTCATTCGCATAAAATCCAAAAGAAAATGCAAACTACGTAAAGATATAGACTCACTGGCTTTTGTTAGGGACACCTGCTCAACGTCTTATTAATGCAAATAATCAGCTGGCATTTACATGGCAGAAGCTCAGTATATTAAGGAATGTAGACACGATCAAGACGCCCTGCTGAAGTTAAAACTGAGCATCAGAATGGAGAAGAACAATGAATTTAAGTGACTCAAATATGTTATGGTTATTAGTGCCAGACAGGCTTGTCTGAGTATTTCAGAAACTGATTTGGATTTTTCCACACAATCATCTATAGGTTTTTCTGAAGAATTATCCAAAAAGAGAAAATATTCAGTTAGCAGCAGTTCTCCAGGTGAAATGACCTTGTTGATGTCAGAGGACAGGGAAAATGGCCAGACTGTTTTCACCTAACAGGAAGGCAACGGTAATTTAAGAAACCACTTGTTTCAACCAATGCGCAATAGCATCTCTGAACACACAGCATGTCGAATCATGAAACAGAAGACTTACATTTAAATTTAATTTAATAAATTTTCCAAAACTTACTCTAACTATTAATCAAGATGTCACTCGACATGTAATGGATTCAGTTATGAGGATTTGCAATGAAAGTGAGCACCCACAATGTGCCCATATATCTCCATAATATGAGTAATGTGAGTTCACCTCAGACACACAGAAACCCCACAACAATGGTGTATACATCAAGCAAAGAGCAGTAAATTACAGGGTAACAAGATATCCCTGAAACTATGTGAGCACAAAAAGAAAAAAAGCTTCTGCTCTACTAATGAAATGTGAGTCCTATGAAAGGGTGAACAATTTTTATTTTACATTAAAGGGGACCTAATATGCTCATTTACAGCTATATATTTTATTCATGTCACAGAAAAAATATTCAGAGCTCAAACATAATTCACTTATGGAGCTAGACTGTATATACTGGATGGGTGTGGCCACCATGACATCATCAGTTGTTTTGCTGTCTCATTTTTGAAGCCTCAAGCTGGGAGTTTCTTCTGTTGCTGATGCACATCTAACTGACACTGCGGGGGTTTAGGTTAACGACTTATCAATGAAAAGTTCTGACATCCACACTGCTTCATGACTCTTTGGGACACTACCAAAAACAATCATTTACAAAATTAGCATCACATTGTATTCGCTAAGCCTTAAAACTAGCAACTGAGATAGCTTTAAGGCTTTCCTAAGTAAATTCACCAGGAAAGAGTTTACTGATGTCACAGTTAAAGAATCCTTTGCCTTTTTTTTTTTTTACAGTTTTATAAAATCAGACTTTTTATATCTGGCAAGCGGCACCTTATGACAGACTTGACATCAAGTGGACAACTGTCAGCTTGCTGTCACAAGCTGACAGTTGCCCACCTTTTTTTGTAACCTGGTACGTTGTGCTGCTGCTGGATTGGAGACACGAGTGTACGATTATTTCAGTGTTTACTGGTATTTCAGTGATAATCAGTACAGAAGCTCAGAGAGTTGCAGGTAATAAAGAGGATGACGCAACAGTTTGAAAAGATGAGACTTTGTGGAAAAAACTTTGCTTCCAGGTTAGCTTCTTCTCCTCCTACACCAACACCTATTGTTCAGGAATACCGTAGCACCGAGAATGCTACCTGCTACTCGCGCAATCGTGAAAGGAGGTGGCTGTGTGATGATGACATAATCAGATTGGCTAGTTTGTAAAGATCGGTCAGCAAATGGGTGGGGCTTCCTCAGTGACATCATACAGAGCTAAAAGTAGAAAAAACTGGTGTAGATAAAACAGTTGGTGTCTAGATCAATCTGAAGCCTGAACGTGCTTTTATATATGCTTGGCCATGTTTAATATGAAAATCCAAATATAACAGGGAATAAAGAAGAGTGTATTTGCCGCCCCCCCTGAGAGTAGCATACCGTCTGTTGAAAGGAAGCAGTCTGTGATGAAGACGTGCTTTGAGGTGTTTCATGGTCCCGGCAGGCCTCCTGCTTCTCTGTATTGTACACAGCCACAACTTGTCCCTGAATTACTGATGCCAGCAGCATTGCCACCATCTCCACACTCATTCCTGGCCAAATAAGTAAAGAAACTCAAAACACTTTTCATTTAGTTTGGGGTCTGATGAGGTTTCTGAATGTAAATGAGTCAATATTCTTACTGTAGGCTGTGGCAGAGTCCCTGTCTCTCTGATCTCCTCCCAGAAACATATTCAGTGATAGGTAGGGGACGTTGTAGCACTGTTGACAGGAAGAAAAATGTGATGCCAAATGACACTTCACCATTGGTGTGAAACTCAGTAGCCATGGTGACATTGCTTGGAGCAAAAATAACAGTAGGATCAGAGTACTATGAATTTCAGTCACCAGAAAGATGACCAAAGAGCTAACAAGCATTCTGAGCTAAAATTCAGAATTCTCTTTTATTTTTTTGGCCCTTTGGTTTCTGATTCCTTGTTCTTAAGTTCTCTTTATTTCTCAGGGTGTGATTTCTGTTTATTCATGAATTCCTATCGTTCCTTGGTTTAGGTTTTATTGTCACACATTCAGTAGAATTCTTTTCTCTCAGTTCCTGTCTGATGTTCGTGTTAGCTGCATTTTGTTTCTGTTGAATTGTTCCTCCATTTATTTATTTTTTGCTGTTAAATTCACCAGTGTGCGATGTTTCACATTTGACTGACAGTCACTTCCTCTTTTGCTTTTTAGTCATTGTCTCCTGGTGTCTAGTTTTGCTTCCTCTTGGTCACTGTCCTCGAGTAAGTTCAGCTGTCTCTAGTTCCCCCAGGGGTCTCCACTTTCCTCTGTGTATTCAAAGCCTCTGTTAGCTGCTGTTCGTTATCAGAGCGTCTGTGTTGCCTGCCTGTTATCACACCTAATGTTTATCTTGCTTGAGCTGCTAAGCGCTAACAAGAGGACTCTTTAATTAGCTAGTCCAAATGTCTTTTCAAACTTCATGCCGTCCAACGTATCTGTGTGCGATTTAAAAAAGGGTATTGTATCTTGTCAGACTGTGCCATGTTGTCTGAGTCGGCCCAAATAAAAACAACAAAAAAAACCAAAAACATTATGTCTCATTTGACTAAATTCCTGTTACCCCGACACCTTCCTCCTCTCCTTTCTTGCCTCTTTTGCCTGCATATCTGGTGGGAGGGACTAAGATGTGAGAAGAGGAATCCAGGATGTGCGATATCAAAAATGAGAAGGGGGAAAGGCGTGGTATCATGACCTCACTAACCATACAGTCTATGCTATGGGTGTTGTTTGGTAACGAGTATATCGTGTTCTTTTTATGTAGGATCTTGATTTTCAAACAACAAGCTGAACTTTTACCTATGAAATGTACTGGAAATGAAAGTGATTGTGCCTGCGAACATCCAACAACTTACAGTCATGAGGGACTCGAATAGGCAAGCCGCTGTGAGGAACCACAACACGCTGACAGACATCGAGCCTCGTGGCACAAACCACAGAAGCAGATAGGACAAGATGCCAAATGGGGTGGAAATAACCATCCTGTGAGATAAAGATTGATGGCTGAGCACAGTGCTGCACCAGGAATCTAAATTCAAAGTGAAATGCGTGTTAAATGTGTGGGTCAACCAACCATGGAGTGAGTTTGCCAATGGGCGTCCAGTTACTGCGGCTCACAAGATATCCAACCAGAGGGTCAGTCACAGCATCCCAGGCCCGACTCACAAATAAAATCATGGAAACATAGAAGGCCTCCATCTGTGATATTTTACCCACTTAAAATTAGAAGCAGTATAGAACATTATATTGTGGAAAGTACTGAACTTTTACCTTTACAACATCCAGAAGGAAAATTTGCAAGGAAATACCAATAGCTACTGAAGTAATCAGATGTGGGACCCCACCCACAGCATAACACAGCTTGCAGGCCAGAGGAATACCACCTGAGTCCTGTGAAAACCAGAGAGAGGATGGAGGAAAATCCTGAATGTGGTTAGTTCAAATAGTTCATTTGGCTCATGTACAGTCTCTCCTCCACGGAGGGAGTGTCAAACAAAACTAAAATAAATTCAGAAATATCAGTTGTCTTATTTTCAGTTATTAATTAGATTATAATCCATGTAACGTAACAAAAGCACTATTTAACAAGGGTGCTAGTTTGTAACATTTTTGACTCATGCAAGGGTTCATTTTTTTTTATGAAAACAAGAATATTTTGAAGCACCTTGTGTAATTTTTTTGTGTTTTCTTGCATCCGTGTTTGTTTTATTTTTCTTCAATTTCTTAAAAATGTTGTTGAAAAAAAATAAAAATAGAGTAGGAAACACAAAGTTTACTTTGACACCGGTGTTGAAAGTAATACAGTAGCTAGCTGCCACTGATTTCAAGTGAAAGCTTGTTTGAGAGGACAAAACTAACATATTTAATTGAGAACAAGCTTCTGCAGCAAACATTAAATCATAATATTCAAGGGGAAATTGTAATGCTATCACTATTACAGATAATTTAAAAAAAGAAAGAAAGAAATGAAGGGTTTGAATGTTAATGTAAACTCTACGAATAAAGAGAAACGGTCCTTACCCCCTGCTGATCTTTCCTGCACGAGTTCCTGTTTGTGTTTTGCTTGAATAAAATCCTTTTAAATGTCTGGAAGTGCTCTGAAAAACTCTTAAGGCAATTCATTGTTAACACTTGAGTATCACTGGACATGTAACGCTGTCCCTGCACACACAGGTGAATGCCACCCGTTTGAAACCAGATTCTGGTTCAACAACTCTTTTGTGTTTTGAAGAGGGGTATTCTTATTCAGTACAGCTGCTCAGACTTAACAATAAATGAGGTGGCTCAACAGCAAAGCATAAGAACTACCAGTGCTGCAGATCTGTTTGAAACTTCAAACTTGTGGAACATGTTTTAAAAATATTAAAATTAAAATGACAGAACTGTATTTCCACAGCTGCAGCGAGAGTTTCTCTGACTCTGGAAAAAGGCCATCGCTTTCACCACATTGTCAGTAACTGCAGTATACTTCTGTACTGATGTGCTGTATTGGAGTGAGGTAGTGTGGGTGGCTGTGACCTCTTGTGGAGCTTCAGTGAAATGCAGGTAAGATTGTAAATATGGGTATCAACGTAAAACCCATATTTACAATCTTAGTCAGGTCAGGTGGTTTATATCACTGGAAAAGAAATTTACCACAATAAGGCAAAATTTCAAACTAATTCTCATCATTTTTTATTTATTTTTTCATTAGTTTGAGTTAGTAAGCCAACATTTTGAGATATTAATCAGAAATTTTGAGATTACAACCCCCAAATTTGACTTGTCAAAATCTGTTTTACAATAGCGGAAACAAATGTCTATATTGGTCTGCACCAAATGTGGTTATTGTTATTTATTCCTCCACAGAGATGAGTCCTAACATTTGTCTCGGTTCAGTGGAGAATCAGCAAATATAATTTTTTCTTCTTCCAGTACTAGTCAGAGTTCTTCAGATCTTTCTTGTGAAAATTTGTTTTGGCAACTGAAAGAAACATTTTTTGTTTTTTTTACCATCCATAAGTCAAAGTTTGGGGTTTTGATGTCACAATTTTGATTCACTAAACTTGGGAGAAAATAAGTAGAAATTGAGAAAACACCCTTAAATTATGAATTATGATGTCAAAATTTTAAATAACCTGAATTGTTTTTGATTTATTCATGGCAGAAAAAAAGAGGTTTCAGTGGTGGAAACAAGCTTCAAGCCAAAGCTTGCCGCAGAACAGACACAAATGTGAAATAATCTCAGGACAGAAATCAATACCACTCATGTATTGGTGCAGAGTAATGACATTTTTGTAGAAGATAGTTTTTAATGCCTTTTGTTTATTCACACAACTGCAAATTCTACATATCAAAATACCTTTGGGTAGGAATTGCTTTGAAATCAGAGATGGAAGATTCAAACCTTTTAAACTGAAGACTGAAGGGCTTTTGCATCAGAGGAGTTTTCAGAGGTGGTGGACAACCATGCCAAAGGTCTGCTAAATGGTTGTCTGCCAAGGGAGGGCAATACTAGTGTTAGAAGCCAACTGTGCACCAATTGTTTGAAATCTCACTTTTTTCCATTAAATTATTGTTCATACATCACCTGCACATGTGTATCTGCATTGTATTCTCTACATAACAGGGAGAACCAAACAACTTTCATGCAGCATTTTCTCTTTAATGGCAGCCATTTACAGCACAAAGTGATTTTTTTAAATGAAAATGTCACATCTTTGCCAGACAGCCTGGCTGTGACACACAAAAGTAATACAGCATTGAAAAGTCAAAATAGCACAAGAAAAACCTTCAGAACAAAGATTGTGGCTCACATTTTCTAAGTATGGTGAAAAAGAAGAGATATAACAAACTCACTATACTTTCCCATTAATAAACACTCTTCAGTGTAATAACAGGTTAGTAATGGAGCTCCATCAGTCAATGTCTTATCCAAGTTAGTTCTTAAAAAATATTAAAGTTGGCATTTTTATTTTTAATACAAAGCTTATAAATGACTTGAACCAGCCTATAAATTGGTGCTCTTTGTCGAGTTGTCCTTTGCCTGCTTGATTCCATAGAGCCACTTGATCACTCGTGCATTTCTCTCAATGACAGAAACACCGTAGGGAACACGATTTGCAGCTTTGCCAGCCTCCTCCTCATCCTCCTCATCCTCGCCTTCTCTGCCAGAGGCCGCGCACTCGGACCCTGGAGCGCTCGCGCTGCGAAAACGAGCCATGGAAACAATGTCAGAGCTAGAACCAGTCAGCTCCTGCACATCTGCGGGGTCCAAGCCGCACAGGTTGAAGAAGCGCTCCAGCTCTGTCCCAGCTCGGGAGTACCTGTCGCTCATGTCCGACTTAGACCGGGTTAGAGAAGGGCGTTTCCTGGAGCTGGTGGAAGACAAACGGGTAATTGCTGGGGAAGGAGGAGGTATAACAGGGTAGCTTGGTGTAGCAGGAACTGGGGTCTCGGCTGCAGAAGTAGAAGAGGTATCAGGTTTTGACTGAGCAATAACAGGTTTCAGAGGAGAATGACCTGGTGTTGTTCTAGGGAGAAAGAGATGCAGGTTTGAAGCAGTTGGGCCGGGTCGAAACTGAGACTGTAGAGATATTGGCTGAAGGGGCTGTCGAATTAACTGAGGTCGTCTGCCTGCTGTCCTCACAGGGCTGGCCTGAGGCATGACATCCACTCTCCGTACCGTCGCTGCAGCTGGAGACCCAGGAGAGCTCGTGCTCTCTACGTTGGCAGGGTCAAATGCTTTTAATCTTACTTTAGCTGCAACTAACCTATCAGGACGTGGAGGCGGACACGGCTTCTCCTTTTTCTGCTGTGCCCCTGCAGGAGTAGGACGGGGAAAATTGTGTACAGCTGCAGCACAGCAAGGAGGTTTACTGTCGTTTGGCTTTGCAGTTGCACCGGACCGTGGCGCTTCATTCACTCCACTGATGAGGTTACTCAGGTGCTCCATGTCCAGCTGTAATCCTTCCTGCTTTGTCTTTGCTGGGTCTGCGGTCTTTCTGGTGGGCCACAGGGCAGAGCTGGGGCTGAGTAGAGGCTTACGCACTTCAGGAGGCCTGACTGGCTGCTGCTTGGTAAGAGCTACCTGACTCTTGACATATTTAGCCTTGTCTGCCTCCAGCCTTTCCACAGCACTCTGCTTTGGTCTGCTCGCAGCTTTTTGGTACTTCTGGTAGAAATCTAGCCCCACTGGCCCCTTGGGTCGCAACCGTGGGGGTGTATGAGCAACAGCAGTCTTTGTTGGTTGCCTCACGGAGTGTTGAAGCGTTTCCACAGGCATTTTGTGGCCAGGCAGTCGTACCTTGTCCACTTCCCGAGCCACCTTGGAATTCAATCTGTTTAGTCCTCACTGTTATCCTCTGTTTATGTGGCCGTATGGTTCTCTCATGATCACCTTAATGGCATATTTGAAGTGACTCAACCTCGGCAAGTCAGCTGATCTCTAGCTCCTTGACATTTGGACTTCCTGCGAAAAAAACCCAGTGTCAGTCAAATGAGAAGAAAAGCAGCTTAACAAAATAAAAGACCAGTGAATAGAAAACATTTACCTTCAAACACAAGCAGAAACTTGTGTGGAGCTACAAAACTTCACAAAGACTCTACAACCACAAACCCTCCCACTTATTTAAAACTGCAGCCAATCGCTCTCCTGAAGCCCCATGCTTCTAACAAGTTCATTGGCTGCCATCTCAGAGAGATCCGAACAATTACTCGCAGTCATCCATCTCTCCGCAGACAAACACACAATAAAACCTCATTTTCAGTCAGTAGAAAGGCTGTGAAAAGAGTGATACAAGTGTGTGTGTGTGTGTGAGGGGTGATGGGGAGATGGATCAGGACAGCTGTCAACAAGCTATTGTCTGGAGGGAATACAGAGCAGATCACACACACCAACAGCTGCTAGGGGAACAATGACTCTTCATCTTTAAATATAGCAGCCTGTTGCCAACTACAAGCTTCTGTGGAGTAATTAATGTTGAAAAAAAGAAGGAGCCTACTATTTTAAGTCCATAAATAGTGAAGGTCAGACTTCTTCTGTGCATACTTAAGATCCTGTAGGTGCATATGGACTATGCTGCTTGAACAGTCTGCATCCAACAGTCAAATTCTCTACATATTTGCCATTCCAGCCTAAGCCGGGCTAAACTCCTGCTGACATAGTTATGAAAGTTTTAGTAGAGCTCCAGGCTTAACTGTTTTTACGTCTCCAGGTCCCCCCAAAATGATCCTCAAATTATCTACAGTATCTCATTAAAACAACCGGCCGGCTTACAAACACAATGGGAATTTCAGGAGTTTAGTCAGACAAGCAGAATTAGATCCTCTAATTTGATGTTTCCGAGTCAAGTGCTGGCACGTTCGTCTGACAAAGGGAGTGAAGCAGGAAGCCAAGCACAGACACCCGGGAAGGGCAGGTAAACAAAATGGCTTACACACTAGTCTTGCCCTGCCAAACTCACACCCAGCCTTTCTGAAGGTACAAGTTAGTAAAGAAAGCTTTTCTTTCTATCAAGAGGAAACTCACCTTCACAGGTTGCCTTGAGTTCCTCAGTCTCACCTGGGTTTCTCCTTCGTGTGTTCGTGTATTTCAAATCACACAGGACAAACCTGTTTGACAACTCATGTGTGCTGCTCCTGAGCCCACCCCCTTCTTTTGATTTGTCCAATCAGTCTCTTACAAGGAAAAACACAGGCTTGCTTTTTTTGGTCACGTGACCCTATCATTGTCATCTGCTCTCAACAAAGTGATAAGCACCGTTTCCCAGAATCCAAGAGTGGAGCAAGGAAACTGCAAGCAAAGCACCAATACGTACTGAAACTGTTACAAAGGTTAAGTCGAAAGTTGCTTAAAAATAAATAAATAAAAAAATTAAGTATTTCTCACTAGTAGTTGAAAAACACAAAACATGTACTTTTCCAATCCCTCCATGATTCCTCTACATTATATCCAGACAGTTCCTGCTGTTCAAAGGTCGGTGCTGAGACTGTACACACATTTAGGCAAACAAGTTAAACAAATTTACTCATATATGCAGCATACAGTCAGAGAAACACAAGGGTGTTACAGACTCTTGCTTTTGCCCCAAATAAAACCAGCAACAACAGTGACCTACACCAAGCATAGAAAAATAAATGACACTCCAATGACGAGTGAGCACAGACTTTAAGAACGTTTACAGATTTTGCAGCGTTTCATTTGAACTATACAAAAAAAAAGATAAGCGACCTCCAAAAACTCACACAAATTACACTTTTGATTTTCAAAGTCTGAAACAACCACAGTTTGCTGAAGTCATTAAACGTCACCTCCAAACTACTGGGCTATTCAGTGTAAGTATAACTGTAGTATTTTACAGCCACATACAGATTGCACATAAGAGCACAGGAAAGTGGTTACAGTAAGTCAGACATAAAAATATATTCTTTTTACAAAATGTGCTGGAGCCAGTTTAACAGATATTTTTGCCTGGTCTGCAGTCTTTGTCCCATCTTAACTTTGCTCTTAAGTCAGTTGGATATAACTTAGATGCAGCCTCCAGGAGTGAGAGGGCTCAGGAGACAGACACCCTCTCTACATTTGTAATTAAGGCTGAACTGGTTAATCCAGAACCATACATCAGGACTTCCCTCAGGGACTTTACATGAGCATTACCATTTCTTCTTCACTCCCCTCATGTTTATAAGCCATTGTCGCATGTCATTAACTTTTAACCGCGCTCTCTTTGTGTTTTCTATTGTTTTTTTTGGTCTTCACCTCTCTACAACCCTCTTTTTCCTCTTCTCTTTCATCTCACACCTCAAACTGGTTGCACCACACAACTGCTCCACCCTGATCCTGGTTATGATTTCTTCCTCCTCGCTGTTGTCAAGTGCCTGCTCATATGGGAACCTTGGACTCACTCTAATATTGTGGGTTGTTCAAAACAGAAAACACAGCGAGTTGATGGTTGCATCCTGAGCTTGACTTGTGTGTTGTATTTAAAGTAATCATCCTTTGTATCTTCCATTTTTTCCGGAAGAGAAAACGCTTTCTGCAGTTAGCTGTGCAGTTTGAGATGGCCCCTCAGCTTTATACATCAGCCCGACTTTAATTTACACTGTATCATTTAGGCACATTTAAACAACAGTGAGAGCTTGTCTGTAAAACTGGCCCCAGGTTACATGTGTTACTGTGTGTTATGGTAGTGTTTAAAAGTTCAGTTCAAACAAGTATGAGCAAACTTACAAAGGTGTGTAACAAATAATGACTCCACATTGCTCCATTCATCACTGCCTGCATGACTCATTCACCTCAAAATGAGGCGTCAACGGGAGGCAGTGACTTCTCTCAGGTTTATTTTGCTTCCCTTTGCTAAGTCAGGAACTTTGGCTGTGGTTCACCCTTGGATAAGTCTAAACATGTCATCTGGATCTGACATTACATCGCTGTCACAAAGCCGATAAACATCAGAATGATGATGGTCATTCGTTTTTTCTTGTGCACCATAATCTAAAAAAATAACATGCTGTGTTTTTAACGTGGTTAGCTGTTTGTGGTTAGGAAATAGCACAGTTTTTATCTTTGTCCTTTGCACCCAGGCTGTGAGCTCTTCTCCGCCTTATGCTGCCCCTCAGGCCAAAGTCCCTCTGCCCCTCCTTCCCCTCCTCTCCGCCTACGTCTTTGCCCTCCTCGGGTGGCTGCTTTCGAAGTTGCGGGGGTAGAGGAATGGGCTGTCCCAGGAAGTAGCCCTCTTCCTCTGAGTCTGAGGATGAAGAGCAGGTAGAACAGCAGTCTTCGTGTTTGTATTGTCCTGGATGGAGAGTCAGAGAAGAGCCACTGGAGCCGCCTCGGCTGTCTCTGTCTTTCTCGCCTCTCCAGTCCAGGGAGTCCAACCTGGGCCTGTCGGATTGCGAGCGTCGAGATCGCCTCTCTGACCCCTGGTGTAGATCAGGGTCTGAAGGGATGCGGGAACGACCCCAACCTCGCCTTAAATGGCGTTGCTGGTACGAGGATCCATCTGGAATAAAAAGAATGAGTAACTATGAGAAACACACACAAAAGAAAACTTCATTTGAATGAGTTAATATTCAAAGTGCCTGAAGACATACCCAGCAGATCCATGTGTGGGGGGACGCCTTTCTTCAGATGTAACCTGCTTCCGAAACCTCCCTCCCCCTCATCTTCATCCTCCTGGTTTTCCTCACCCTCTTGCAGCCCCTCCTTATTCTCATCTTCATCCTCATCCTCGTCCATAGAGTAGCTGCTGCTGATTGGCTCTCTGAAGCTGACTCTGGCTGTGTTGCTGCGAGTCAGCGGGGGTGGAGAGTCACAGGGTCTGTCCTCTGGTTGCTGGAGTTTTGGTGAAGGTGAATCCCGGGGGAACAAGTCACGAGACTTCACGGGCAGGGGAGGTGGGAGGACCGAGGGGTTGTCCAGAGGAAGAGGAGGCGAGTCAGGTGAAATGAGTTTGTTCACATGAGAGTTCTTTTGAGGAGGATTTGCTGAAGAGAGAAAAATAGAAGACATATTGTAGTTAAGAGACAATGAAAAAAGGGTTATAAGAAGCATATAATAGTCATGCCAGTATCAGTGGTTTCTGATACCTTGCATAACTTTATTTGTCTTTTCCACCCAAGTCCTACAGTCAATTTCAGTAGAGGTTCCTCTTGAATTAAGACCACTTAGTCCAGTACTTCCATTTAGCTCTCCTTCGGGCTGGGAACTACTGCCTGGAAGTTTGATAGCACAGTTCCCTGGAAGTAAACTGTAATGTGGAATGTCACTGGGCCAAGAAGGACCTAAGCCATTCCCTAAATGAATGTGTGGAAGAGGTGAGTACGAGCCTCTTTGACGAGGATGATGACTGGGTGAAGGAACTCCATTCTGAACTGGAGCTGTGCAGTGGACACCTGAGAGAAGCAGAGAAAATAAATGTGTTACAATAAGCACAAAAACATAATCCATGTGAACTCACTGCACAACAGCTCCACCGTTATTCACCTCTGGTTTCCACTGCAGTATGAATGCAGTCTTTTGCAGGAGCTATAATGGGGTCGATGCCCTCTAGTGGCTGCAGTGGAGAACCACACTGTAGCTTGTGGTGTTTCTCTGCTGTCCCATACTGTCTGTTATGGTGAGGCGATCTAGTCTGCAGAGCAGAGTCGCAGGAATCCGAGTTATTGGGGTCTTCTCCCAGAGAGCAGGACCTGGAACAGAAAATAAGGCCCCTGCGAGGGAGGAAGGGACGCCCCAGGAGAGGTAGCTGACAGCGGGCGCAGCAGAAACACGAGTCCACAGCGTGCCAGTGCTGACCGTCGTATGTCATCTGACCCTGGTCGATACCTGAGGAAATATTTGTGTGTCAGCTGTGGAATTTTAAAATCAATCTTTATTACCTCAGAACACATTTAAAAGCAATGCATAACACTTTATACTATTGGTCAGTAGTTACTTGTTAGAACTCTGACATTAGTGATGCGAGTGATGTGCCCTTAGAGAACAAATATGGTGTATTACAGGCTTCTTTGTAAGAATATACCATCATCAGAATAACTGCTTACGGGATACATGTAAAAGTTTGCTTAAAGTATCACGACGTGTCTTTGCTTCATCACAGCTAACACCTTTCTCACTCAGCACTACATCCTACATGAAAAAGACAAAGGGTCTCTTTAGCATGCAGGAGATCACATTACAATGATGCAGAGCTGTTATTAAAATGATTCACAATTTAAAAAAGGCAGACATCATCTTCATGCTCTCAGGCAAGTATTGCAAACTAATCCAGATCCAGATTTTTTTAATTAATTCATGCATGCTGATTTTTTAATTTTCAGGCATGGTGGAGGTGTGCAGTCTCTAGCTGCTCTTCTTGATATATTAGTAAATTATTATAAGTCCTTTTGTAGGCTCTGATGATGAATAACAACATGCTAAAACTATGCAATATTAGAAAATAGTGACGTCAAAAAGATGGAATGATTAAAGACAAATAAACACTTACATTGCTGGTATATACAAATTAGGCTGGTAATGTGAAAACATGGCTTCACTAAAAACTTAATTCATTAAACTTAGTTCAGTACCTATGTGTTCTCCACAGGTATCACAGTACTCTGCGTACAGCGACTCGTAGCAGGAGCAGCAGTACGGTCGACTCTCTCTCATGATGTAACGCTGGCCGCCCAGAGCAGCCTCACATTCAAAACAGCAGAAGTGCTTCATGTGCCAATATCTTCCTTCAGCCTCCGTACACTCATCTGCTAGAATAATCTAGGTTTAAAAGAAAGTGAGAGACAGAGAGGTAATTTCACAGGTACAGAAGTAAGTAAACTTTAGAAGACTGAAGAACTAGGTTAACAAAACAGAGTACAAAATATCCAATCAGTGCCGTTCTGTTTGTAGGCTTAGCCACTCCCTGGGTCTAACCGCCAGTTGTAGGTCAGTTGTGGTAGATCCATTTGTCAACTATCTCAACTAATCCCTTAAGTCACAGCGATGAGCTATTCAAAACCAGAAGACACCAACAGAAAATTCTACAAATAGCATGCACTGATTCTGGGAAACGCTAGAATACAACAATAGCCAATCTGGGAATGGCTACATGAGAAAGGAAAGATATTCGAACTGGATATTCTGAAGTCATGCACACTTATGGCCCTTATTATTTAATGACAAATGAAGCAGACATAATATCTGAAGCTTCCCAGTTATACTAATAGCCTCCCAAGTGCATTTAGAGACTTGACATTTTTTATTTGTGTTGGAGAACAATGCCACCTGTGACTAATTGACTAATGCCCTCACTATGAAAATTCAGTCACTGCTAACTCTAACTAACTCACTAATGTTTCACCCATTCACGTCATGTTTTATGACGTTATGCTGACTTGCTGGCTCATTCTCATTCAGCTGCCTGGGGATGGACTCAAACTCCACCATCTTGGGCTGCAGCTGTTACTGTAGCTCTTGTTCTCCTTTATAGATTCGCTGCTAGCTAGCGGGCCACTCTAACCAGAAGTAGCAGCAGGTGGTGCACCGACACTGAGCTCACGCAGGCTTTGGACACGAACAAAGACTATCATCACCAACTTCTCTCCAGGATGATAGAGCTGGCGTGTGGCCGTGGAGAGGCAGTTATTGTTTGTTAAAGTAAGTCTACTCTTCCTTGTACACCTCATATATATAATTCTTTAAAAACACAAGTGTGCACACTCCCCCTTTTGCATGCACTCATGTATACAAATAAAATACATTACTGTGGGAAACATTTAAAAACATTTAATACTGTTATTGCTGAGATTTTATATTAAAACAAAACAAAAAAAAGCAAGAAGATTTTGGGGAGACAGTCACCTCATCGCAGGCCTGGCAGCGGGGCTTAAGCCTTTCAGCATGGTGCCGACCGCAGTATATCTGTCCATCCTGGTAGAAGTAGATCAGATCGACCAGCAGTTCGCTGCAGGAGGCACACTGGAAACACTGAGGATGCCAACAGCTGCCGTGTCCTGCCCGACTCGCAAACACGGCTATATCACCCCCGCAGATCTGTCTGCCACACTGGAAAAATAGATGGGTGTGGGGTGGTGCAGAGGGAAGCAAGTTAGGTGGTATATCCTTTGACAAAATGGTAAATGCTCCAGGTTGCACAGCAATTTACTTCCACAGCCCTGTAATCATGTGGCCTGTATCTACTTGCACCTACACTGACTTCATTCTACATGACTTGGACGTGCTCTTTTTATGCATTCATATGTGAGGTTTATAACTTTATGTCAGCCTCAACAGGAAAAAAAAAAATCTCTACCTGCTGGCAGATTGCTCCAGTCATAGTTACTGGGAAAAGTCTTACAACGCCCCGGCCCAGGTTTTCTCTTTTTCTCTGCTGACTGAACAGACGCAGCTCCTTTTTCTCCTCCTCGTCCAGAGAATTACAGTACTGGGGCTGAAAAAGACACAGAAACTCACATCAGCATTCAAACAACTAGACCTAAAGTATGTATGTATGAAGACTGTCATTAACAATTTATCTGTCAATTATTTTAATGACAGTAAAGTGTAAAACTCTCATCCCAAACCAAAAGATAGCAAGTAAGAGTCTGCGTTATCCATGTCCCCTGTATTTATTTTCAAGAAATATATTTCTCTGTTAAAGCTGACATTCATGTGTTGCAGCTGTGAAACCTTTTCATTCTTTTCTTTAATATATTTGTTGTATAATTGAAGCAGAAAGGACCATTATTAAGGATTAACAGACTATTTTATTGTAAAACTGGCTTTAAAAATGAGTATAGGAAGAGATTAAAATATAATTTATTTTTTCCAAAAGTTGTGAATTTCCTCTTTACCTACCAATCACCCAAAAAAGAAAAATTAAAAGAAAGAAGCTTAATAAAAAGAAAAAAGGCTGGTTGTTGATTTTCTTTGTTGCTTTTTTAAACTAAAAAAGGCACGTCACCCCTACATTCAAGTCTAAAGCATCCAAAGTCAGAGTCGCAGAGATGTTACCTCACTGTCGTGGGCTGGAAGCTGGTGCAGCAGCTGTTTGATTCGGTATCTCTCTCCTGGACTGTTCACATAAGGCACCCTGTCCTCTGGTAAGCAGCTAAAATATTGGTAAACCTGAATGACAAGACAATTATGCTCATATAGAGAATATAAACACCCACTTATCCAAATATAGAGCAATTTAATTTACAACCAGTCTATGCACGAACATGTCCAAGTAAATGAGCATCACGTAGGCCTGCACAGCATTAATTTATGTCTCGACTTCTCTTGTGCACCCTGATTGTTACCTGTTCAGGCTTGAGCCCAGGTGGAACCCATGCATACTCCTCGGAGGCGCAGCCCGAGTCGTCATCAGAGATGGAGTGTCTCTGGAAGTCAGATACTAGCTTTGTCATCATCTTTTCCAGCTGCCCTGGCACCGGGCGCACAGCATGCTCTTCTCGTACACACTTGCAGTGCACACAAATCTTCCTGTGGAGACAGAGGAGTTCCCGAGGCAAAACTGAACTAATGTCAAAAATCTTTGTAAACACAACTCCAAGCGTTCTCCTGGATCTTCGAGTGGCCAGGTGTAAAATACAAAGTTTTTAACCTGATTTCAGATGTATCCGTAAGATTTTTTTCACTGTGACCATTAAAACATATTAAACATTTAATTAAGCCAGACTTTTATTAGGATTAGGCCACATTAATGCAGACACTTCCACTGTGCATAACCATATTATTTATGAACACACGCTGCGTTGGAAACATTACGTCACAAACCGGCCCACACACTCTGCGAGACTCCCTGCCGTCACAAATTACTAATACAGCAGTTGTCACAATCTGATTAGGGGCTACGCAATCTACAGATCACTATCTCAGACCAGTTCATGCCCTCATTACACCAAGATCTTACAGGATCTGCATCAGCACCAGCACATCCAGAGTATTTTTCTACCAAACAAGCAGGAAATCAGGTCATTGGCATAAGCTTAGCTGTCAATCCGGGGCAGTTAGGACTGGGAGGTGAAGACGGGAGCAATAATCTCCCTCAGCCTCGTATTACAACCTATCTTGTCCTCAGACTGTTACAATCAATCTGGTGGTGGGTGTGCCTGTGTGTGGGACCAGTAGAGTCAGAATAAAGTGCCCTGGGCTAACAGTGAGGCGTGGGTGTCACGTTTTTTGTTGTTGTTTTCTGGAGATTGAACAATATGTCCATAAGCAGCATGCATTGCATGTGTACATCTCTGTTGCGATTGCATAACAGTCTGCCAGCTGGCACTTGTGGCTCAAGTTCACAAGGCACAAAGCTGCTTTATATCAGCGCCCAACCCCCACACGACCAAAAAGCCCGCACACACCATCACACAACTGCTTGTAAAACGCATGAGCACTCCACCTCTAATCAATTGCCTCATAAAAATCATCCAGGTGACAGCCAGTAATCACTGCATGTCTTTACCCAACACAAGGTAATTCTTGAATAGTTGACAAAACAGAGATGAGAAGTACTTCTATGGGATTCCAGTTCCTTTTCTCAGGCCCAGAACTGCACATTCAGTATATGCAGCTGTCTTGCATTGGCATGTTCTATGCACATGGCTGCCAAGCAGTTAGCACCAATATAAATAAGTATAAACACAGCAAGAGAGCTTAAGCTAAGCTACAGTGGCACAAATCTGTTTCCCAGCTGTATTTATGTGGATTCCTATGCAAATAAAAGGTTAGGGGAATGAAGATGCTCAGCAGGTGACCTGGCACTATGGGACACAGATGGTAGATTCTCCACCCTCTCACCCCACCAGTACCACCAGCAGTCTGCGCACCACGAAAGCATTAGCAAGTGCTTTAATTACAAGCAGGTGCCAACTCTCACATGCAACCTACAGTTACCGAGACAAGAGCCAATTTGGAAGTATGTGGGGTATAAAGGTATTACAGGAAAATCTCAAATTATGCCTCTCTGTGCAAATGCCTCTGCAGGTATTTCACCAAATTAGGGTCCCTGTTTGAACAGATGCACATGCCAAATTATTGACGTTAGCTTCATAGCATAAGTGCCTAAGTCATTTTTTTGTGTTTTGTGTTTCAGACGGACAGGATGATGCAGCAGTGGTAGGGGAGTAAAGTTAGGCAAAAATCTCAATTTGACCAAAAAATGACTTAGGCACTTATGCTATGAAGCTAACGATATGCTACACTTTGATAAAACACGTTCTGTCTGATATTAGCCCTGTTTTGTCTTTTATTTACACACATTGTCACAGATCATTGAAATATCCATTTGTTTACATTTATAAACTAATTTAAAGGGTGATTTTTTTTAGCAAGATTTCTGTTCTGGTGGATGAAACTGTATGAATTAAATCAAGAACAGGCTACAGAAATGTGATAGTAGTGTCTAGTAGTGCCTTTCGTCTTTTATACAAAGATGGGGTACACGCACATGTTCCAAATGCCCTGTAAATATACAACCATAAATATAAAGGCAGTAACCCCAGTATATGGTTATCTGCAGTTATCGTACAGAAACTCAGGAAGCTTTTCTAAAACATTCCCATTTTATGGCTCTTTTGCAAGTAGCTGTTTGATCATGACTTTAGAAACACACAAACAGGTGCTGAGCCTCGTCCTGTTCTATTACTTGATTCACAAGCCTCTGATGTAACACATCTGCGCTCTGTCCCCTCTGGATATGTGCAGCGCCACGTTGAGCACTGATGAGTCAAAAATTCTACCAAGAACAACCAAAAGAGACAACATCCAGTCAAAAATACTTGCCTGACATTTTTAGAGCAGGTTCTGCTGAGAGTTGCAATGGTCTCTGTCGCCTGCTATTTTGCAAATGGCAAAAAGCACTGAGGGTTTTTGATTGGGTTACATATCGTGAGTGGTGCCTTACTTAACAGAAGTCTGCCGCTTAAATGAATTTTAAGATTGATTCAATGATACCACTTAAACTGGTTAAAAATCCTGGTGATTTAAAAAAAAAAAAAAAAAAAATGTAGTGCTGTGCCCAAACTTTTTAAATGCAAGAAAAATGCAGCATTAATCCAAGTGCAACTACTGCATGCAAACAAGAAACACACCACTCAACAGTTTGTAACAAAAGAAGCCAATGTGCAGTTTTTTAGTGGGTTTTTCTTACATGTGTAAGAAAAAGTTAGTTTGTTTTTATTAAGACATGGCAGATGACGCTTTCACACTCTGCCTCTAAAGTTGCTTTAGCCAGCCAAATCACAATCACCGATACGTCCGGTAAAACTGATTCTGTTATTGTTAATGGTGTATCTTTTGTTTGTATTACTGGCTATAGCAACTGAATAATACTAAATGAATTTAATAGTCTGACTGAAAACATACAGATAAGAAGTGTGTGTTTTTCCACCGACAGAATGATTAAATGGAAAGATAAAAAAAACGAAACTAATGATTTACAATTTCTTCCCTTTGGTTACTGGGCTAGCCAGTAAAACTTCACCCTGCACTATCACTGATTTCTAAGTCTTTAAATAAAGCCGCCCTTCTATTATGTTACCATGTCCTCAAAAGGTAATGCGCGATATATAATAAGCCAGTTGTGTACAAGGAGGGATTGAGTAACAGCAGTATCAGTACATGACCTCATATTGCACACTATACAGATAATTTTACAAAGTGTACAAAACAACATAAAGTTGTTAGCCTAAGGAACAATAATCATCTAAAAGCATTTTCCTTCACATCTCCCAACTTAATTATTATTTGAGTTTCTTTTCTGTCTAATCCTAACAGTAAAATCTGGTTTCTTCATTACCTGTTGTAACCATGACAAATTAGTCCGGCTTGGCCTGTTGATGGAGTCCCATGCAGACTTGTTCTGTTCTTGCATCCAGTAGGTTCCTACTGCCTTGCCGTCTGTCTGTCAGTGAGAGCAGGATATTCTTTGGCAGGTCCTTTCCATCTGATAATTTCTCTGTCTGAGCAGCTCTTTTCAATGTCCCCCTATAGCCCCCACTCCCACGCTCCTCCGCCCCGATAGTAGGCGCAAACAAAAGGCTCTGAACGGAACCATACACTACACAAAATGCAAACACAGATCTCAAAGTACACACAAGCCCTGTGACTTTTAAATCTGCCCACAAAGATAAGCTAAAGTGCACATGCCATGAACGTTTCAATTAAGCCTCTCAATTTACTCACGCTGCCTTTGAAGATATGAAACATCAAGTGACAATCACGATGCATAAAGTCACTGCGTCTTTCCTCCCCTGACCAGACTGCTGTAACTGATTCATAACAGATGGACTATCTGTAGCTTGTATGCAGTTATTAATCATAAGCGGAGCAGATTTTGATCCTGTGAGCAATGCTGTGCTGTAGAGTGGAGTATTTATAATGTTATGTGATCAAGATGGCCATGCATGAGTACAAAGTGTCTCTAGTGATATATCAAACCGACAGCATGGCTCATGGTCTCTGTGAAGTCACGACACATCTCCGAAGTCATAGCGGCTCATCCGACTTTGGTGAAGATGAATGATGAATGAATACCAGGAAAAACATGATTGCTCAAAAAGACGCAGCGTGATTACAATCTTTTAATAGAATGATCTGTTTTCTCTTTTTTTTCAGGATCAGCATCCGAGTCATCAGAGGTGCTTCAACAAACAGTAGATTATCCCTTTAGTCTACTGACAACAAATCAATCTGCAGCTATTTTTGACCTCACTGTTGCTTCTTAAATCTAAACACTTGGTGCTCATAATATAGTCCAGAGATTATGTTTTCATTTTGATGGTTACACAGACAAAGAAATGAAAACAAAAATTTACTTTACTACTGCTTCACCTGTTTCTTTTGCACTTTAATGGCAATATGATTGATCAGGAAGATAATCAGAAGACTAATCAATACTGACAAATTTGCCCCACTACAACTAACTTCAAGCAGCCTATCTAGGAAATTATCGTTAACTAAAATAAATAGAAAAAAAACATGTGTGGAAAAACACATTTTATTAAACTGAAAAACAATACCCCATCAGCCTTTTACGGCTGAGAGGTACGATTTGTCAACGTGTTTGTATTTTTGTATTATATTATTTTTTAGTACTTAACAACAATCCAAAAAGTAACAACCATATCATAATAACAAACGTAAAGTAAAACTGAACATTTTTGAAGATAAAAACAATGAAATGAAATGAGGAAACCTCCTGGAAACTAACTTAAAACAGTTGTAAACAAAAAGATAAAAACTGGTGAAAAAATAAATAATTCTAATCCAGACTGTGAGTGAACCTATAAATCAGCATATATTATTAAAACTGGTGAGGGGTCTAGTATAGCAGCCATATGATAACTCTTTAAAATGCTGCTGCTGGTGTGATAATCTATACCTGCAGCAGGGAACTGTGAACTCTCCACAGATCTGGTTCTAAGAAGCAGATGGGCCTCCTCCCATAACTCCCTGCCACTAATTAGTGACAGAGTAATTGCCGCATGGCCACCCAGACTAATAGCAATGGCGACTTTGAACACTTCTGAAGCGTGTTGGGGACCTGTGGGTCAAAAGTAACTCAATTCACTTGCTGCTGGGCAGCGGAAGCACCATCTGCCCCCACCTCAGTTTAAGCTGTGCCTGATAAAGCTCAGGATGAAGATGGATCACTTCCCTCTCACCGAGCATCAGCAGCTGAGCCTGTGGTCACTTGGAAGATCTTCTCCATCAGCAAAGGTGTGAGTTTAAATTGGTTATTTAGACAGATGCAATTAGTGCCAGACTCCGAGGTCTTAAAATCTGACCCCTATAAATCTCAATCATTTAATCACTTTCATGTTTTCAGTCTTCTGGATCGCCTAAGACTTACAACGTCTAAACAAGACATTTATCCTTGTCAGCTCACCCAATGTCATTTCGGATCTGCCCATCAGCCAAACGAGTAATGAAAAAACGTAAACAATGAACTACAGCATTTTGTTAATGCTACACAGATTAAATGCACTGTAAACAGATCAACGTGCATGGTAGAGTGCGGCACACATGTTTCAGATTCCGTGCTAACTTCTAAGCTTTTGTCTTGACCCGAATAGAGAGAAAACTGAAAAAGGAAAAAGATAAAATTACAGGCTTTTGGCTTTATGAAGTACACATTCCTGCCTTTTGTTTTACTCTCTCATCACGAGGCCAGTTTGTCTCAACCATGTAGTACACATTAGGGGTTATAAATGAAGCCTTCATTATCAGGAATAAATCTTGTGTGTCAGTGTCAAACCCTGTGATCATCCTCAAGAGTTTCTGGGTCTGTAAGCACCAAACACAGCACAATGTAGTTGAATCACCTAGTTTCCTTCTAAGTGACTCATTCTTTAATCTTTAACTTCTGAAATAATGTGAACAACAAGCAGTAACCCTTAGCTTTGTAGTATTTGTCGAGCTGGAGCAGCCTCTGTTTTTATTCCATACATTAAAGCGTAATGAAACACAGAAGTCCCATCTGAAAAAGGAAAAGTGCACTGAAAAGCAGAAACTGGAGAGACAGAGGGGGGTTTGAAGTGGTTGAGAGGGTTGCTATCACAGCAGTAAGGCCTAATCTTATTAGCAAGATTGACAGGATTAGACTAACCAGAGACCCCACCAGCTGGATATACACTCAAGGACTAAAAGAGAGAGGACAAGGAAAGACGGGCTCAAAAGAAAGCACACAAAAACAGACCTGACAGAGGAGGTTGAATTGTTCATCAGGAGGGACTTTGGTAGTGTTTAACAACTCTGAACAAATAAGTAAAAGAGGTATACAGCAGTTTAAAAAGTACGAATAAGACAAATTAAACCCTCTGAACACAATGTGGACATGGTATGAAAACATTTATCCCCAATTTTCGGGGGGATAAGAAAAATTTAACTCGCCATTTATTTAATTTAAGTATTTTTTGCCCATTAAAAAAACATTCAACTTAAGACTCATTCCAAGCAATTATATAAAAAACAAATTAAGGTGCAATATAGGGCAGTGCAGGGCTTTGTATCTACCACTGCTGTGATATAATGAGCAGTCATGGTCATGTAGCTTTCCGTTGCCCTTCAGGTCCACCCATCTGTAGTTCAGCCATAACGTTACACTTTTCCTGCTCATACATGCTTGGAACGATCTTGTCACTGAAGTGGATGTGCAACGGGATATAATAGCGTGGCTCAAGCACGTTCATCATATGTTTAAGCCGCTTGTTTTGCACAACGGAATACGGCCTCATGCCAGCAGCTATAAACACCCCAATAGCTTTTGTAATAGCTTTAGCCCGGTGGGATCGGGCAGCAAAGGGTTGCTAAAATGCCGCAAACTCCTCTGCTCCTCCACTTGGACCACTAGCGCTGACCATGACTATCACTTGACAAACTGACCACGCACACCACACACATACTTTTTTTTCTTTTTAATGCATACATGTTTTTTGTTTGCAAAACAATTAAATAGCTAAGGGGTCATGTTTCTATAAATCACGTTTCCAGCTAAAGTGGCATAAAAAAAATAAAAAAAACAGCCATAAAATCATTGCTTTTATACTTTGTTTTGCTTCTGAAGTCCAGCAGGGCAAAATGACTCTACGGTATGAAACAAACATTTCCTGCAAAGCTCACAGGCACCGCTGTCAGTGTTTAAGAGTCCTACAGTTCATACCTCCAGCCATGGACACGGAAGCCGGGGCACTGGTCTCCGCAGCGCATACAGGGTTGGCCTCTGTCTGGATCCTCTTCCTCCTGCTGAATAAAAACACAAATCACTTTAGCTCACGTAATTTCTGACTGGAACATGATTCAATTGTGCCTTTTGGCAAAAGTAACAAAAGAATAAGGATATAGAGTGTTTGCTAGACATGAAGGAAAAGCATCAACGCCGGAGTGAGCTAACGAGTCCACCTAAGCCTCAAGCAGAATGTGCTTAAATTCAATCACTTCAGCCTTTAGTTTAGCATGTTTGTGGGGGGAGCGTGGGCTGTCATTACTCGTCTTAACCAGTTTATTAATAACCCCCATCCTATTATACCAAAACCTTACCGAATACTGCAAGCTTGGAGTGGCAGAGATAGACATAATATCCATGTGTTATGTCAGTGCAGATAAAGCAGCAAACAAAACGGCCAGGTATAAAAATGGTTTGGGCACTATGAATTAGGGGTGAGTTTCAAGACTGCTTTTTATATTAACGAGAAATCCCTAAAATGGACAGTTTTTATTTTCAAAGTTTAGGTGAAAATGTTGATTTTGCTATGGCTGTGGCTGTCTATGTATCATGTCAGGTAAATGAGCCATAAACCAGACCTTTCAACCATGTTTGTAGAAGTTATTTCAGACTAACTAGCAGATACTGATGTGTGTGTTGCCCTTGAATAGCCTATGTTCTATTCTAGTTAACATTAGCTGATAGCTTAGCACGCCACCCTTTCACCAAAATATAGTCATTTCTGACTCAAAGAAACCAACATGGCAGCAGCCAAAGTGTTAATGCGGAGGTTTTGAAATGTTTGGTCAAAAAAATCACTGGGTCACATCCTACTGGCTACATTTATACCATCTATGACTTACATGTTAATACTTCCAACTTAAAAGCAATAAAAAGCAGGTTTAGAGCCTGGTTAAAGAACTGTCTTGGGCTCTGTGGATTCAGCTTGCTAAATGAGCTTGCTTCCTTTACCCAACAACTGCATTCTACCCACTCGCCTAAATATGGTCACTATTCTCCAGCCCATCTATCTTTTATATACAGTCAGTGATGTGTACTTAACACTGTATTTGTACTAACACTGTACTTAAGGCACATAAACCTAACATCACTGATAGTTTGAGTAGATACTGTGTGCTCCGGTATGCCATGCCTGTACATAATAAAGTATTCTTATAGCTGTTTGTGTTTTTAATCAATGCAGCAGTGGGTGTTTAATTTTCTAGGTTACAAAATACACACACAACGGTAAGTGATACCCATAATTTGGCATAACGATCCCCTTACAAAACCTGTTTACTTGAGCTCAGCTCAGCCACACAGTTTCATATTAAACTCAACAGTGAGTTCAAGCAAAGCTCTTTGTTTTGCAGAAATATATGGAGGAATACATGACAGGTAGTTAAATCCCAAATATTCCTCCTGCCAAATATGCTGACTGAGCATTGCTGAAGGCAACTCCGCAGCTTAGCACTAAATCAGCCGCTTCATATCTCAGTTCTATTGCTGCAGCTTTACTGCATACACAAAGCTCTTTTTAGAGATGGGAGGAAGGAAGCAGACACAGGATGAGAGCTGCACCCTTTCCCTCTCAGTATAGTTACTCTGTCTCTACCTTTTTTTCTCTAGTCCTTTAATATACACAACCTCTATCTTATTTGAGAAGAACTTACTGTTGACAGAGGGGAAAGCTTACAGTTCTTCCCAGGTTGGTAAACAAAAAGGAAGCTACTTAAGTGTTTTTCCCTCTGCTGAGATTCTTACTTTTTTTGGCCACAACTGGTTTGAAATTCTACATAAAAACAAACAAACAAACAAACACCACCACTGAGTTTAACAAGCGAAGTAATAAAATGCAGATATGTGATACAACACGGTACCTGTGCGTACCTGTTCACCTGTCTTTATTTTTCAGGCCACACTAACCACATAATCATTGTTATTCACGTTAAGCCTGTTTTCCCAAGCTGAGATATTTATGAGCCATCTCAGAAACTGCAGCACATTACTTTGACTAGTAATCAGGATACTTCGCTTATCTAACAGACATCTGAGGGCTGAAAGTATATTATTAGTGGAGTAAGAACCCACAGAGGCTTAAACTAAAAAAAAAAGTTGCTTCAATTTTAAAAAATTAGGTGGTTTGAGGAGTTATGTAGCTGTTTTTAGGGTTGATATATTGAGGTATTTTCACTAATGACAGCACAGAGCTTCGTGGGAACTAGTTAATCCAGAACTACTGTATGAGTTATAATTTGCATGCCTTTTTTAAAGCTTTGCCATTTAAAAAGAACACGATGACACACACTGGGATCAGTTTTACTCCACGCTGCCTTGCTAATTTGGCTTGGACTGCTGTTAGCAAAGCCAGGTATGAAAAGTGACAAGACGGGTTAAATGAAGCGTTCAGATGATTTCTGGGTGACTGAACCTTTCAGTTGTTATTTCCTTTGGAAGGAACGGCTGAGATGTCGCACTGACAAAGTGACAGACCGAGCCCTGGAGGCACAAACTAAAAAAAAAAAAGGTCTGTACATCTAACACAGCCCTGCATATTGCATTTATTAAGGTTTCAGCGAATGAAAGTGAATAGCTGCAGGATAAAAATGCTTTTGGAAATTGTAGCTGACCTGATATGATTACACTTCAGGATACTACAGGGTGTTACTGCTTTTCAATTCAAAGAGATAAGAAATTAAATGACACTTTATATGTTTATGCTTTCGCTGTAATTTCTCTCCATTCAGACACCCTTTTGATATTTTAAGCAAAGCAGAAATTGATTAACAAAGTTTCTTGTGCCAGTGCACAAAAAAAAAACTGCTTAGCTGGCCAATTTTAAGAAGTGACATCAACATCACAGAGGAATAGAAAACAGATTTAAAAATGTTTTCTTGCTCCTTACTGGATTTCACTTTTCGTAAGAGAAACCAGTGAAACCGATGCTTGACGTTTGTTGCACTTGTCTGAAGGTGTAACACAAGTAATTTGACAAACATTATAGTCTCTCAGCCCCAATAACAACAGACATGGAGAGCCAACACTACAAAGTTGGACAGAGATTTTGTACTCTAAGTCTACGTAACTTTCAAGAACAATGCAGATGTGAATGAAACCCATAGTCTGTTTACTGGGCAGCACTGGGTGACTGGTTGCAAAAACAGGTGCAGTTGCATGAATGTGTATAAAAAAGTGTGCCTCTCCAACTTTGATCTGTGACCTCAGTAAACACTTTTCCGATGACCTTATGTCTTAAATAGTCAGTTTTAAGTCTTACTGAGAAATTGTGGGAAAAAAAAAAACAACGACAACAAAACGATTAACCAGAATATGCTTTAGGAAGGGTCTGACTTATGATTGAAGAGTTGCTATCCTATATCGTCGTGCCCAGTTTAATAACACTAAAAAAAATGGTTAAGTCGCTCAGCTCCATAACCTGCTAATGGATGATACTAAGGTGATTACATCCTCCAATCAGTTTATGGATTGTTTATATAAAGCCACAGAGTGTGAACATGTGTCTCTTTTTGTTTATAAACAAAATATTTGGGGGTTTTATTTTATCAAAAGTTTTGATAACCCGCCCCATCTCTTAGTTATGCTGCTATAGGTTGCTGGGAGACGTTCCATGAACCAATGAACATTTCTTCTTCTCTCTCAACTTTTCAAATTTTCATGTCATGAACGTTTGTCTTCTTTCTCCTATAGTTTATTTTTTGTCCTTGTCTCTCTACACACTCTTTCCTTTCTTCTATTTCAACTTACTCCCCAATCAGTTGTGGCAGAACGAGTCTCCAGGAGGGCACAGCAATCTGCCACAACTAATTGCAGATTGCTTGATTCAAACACTCACATGCTTTGTGAGTGTTTGAATCAAGACCCATTACACATAATTTACACTTTATTGAGACTTGGGATGTTGACACGACTGTTTGTGAACTGCCTTCACAAAGTTCTGTAATACACACGTTATACCATTTGGAACTTTCTTTTTTCATTCAAACAAATAAAAACAAAAACTTACAATTTTAACTAATACAAATTAGGTGATCATATCCACTCTGGAAACTAACTGAAACATATCAAAGTGGCCACCCTAGGCAGTGAAATTTATCAACTGATTTACTGGAACTATACAAAACAGATTAGAGGGTCAACATTAAAGCATAACTATTCACTCACTTAAGGGCAGGCAGTAACTAAGAGCTAAGCATTGCCTCAATGGTGACGTAATAAAGAAAGAAGGATTAGGAATCCTGAGAAAAGCTTAAAATTACCTAAAAATGAGCCAAAAGGAGAACATGGAATCATATCCAAACATGCATTCAACCATGTCAGTAGGGTTAAAATTAGCCATGCCATTAGCCATGGTTGCAAATTCAAACTAAATTAAAAGACGAAAAAAGCACCAACATCTTATTGGATACCCCAACAGTTAAATGAAGCAGGTAATAGCATTTATTGCAGTTTGACAGTTTTATCCCACAGCCTTGAATACGCCTCTGTCAGTTCTATATTGTCTTATCAAGGCTACACAGACCTGAAGGTTTTGTGTGTGTTTTCTTTCAGGCTTCCACCACAGATAAAGTGTCAAGTTTGCATCCTGACAAAGAGGTTTTCCTTTTGTCTTGTGAGTGAAGGATGTGATGGGAGTGGTGATAGGAAGTTTCTTCTAAACCGAGTGTGGGTAAAGTAAATAATACATTCACAAGTCCAGGGGGGTGCGGATCATGTGTTCACACTTTGAGCGGCGTCAAGACTTTTCATATCAGGTCCTTTGTTTTCACTAAGTAGGTATAAAGTTTAATCACGTGGCATGTAACCAGGTAATGGACAAACTGAAAGACTGCCAGCTTTGTTATCTGGCATCAGCATGCAACAGCACTGGCTAACCAGGGGTTACATGCAATAATTTAAAGGAAAGGATAAATAATACATCTGAATGATATCATGTGGCCCATACTGAGGCTGAGTGAGGTAGTGGAAAAAAAATGGCTCCCCACATAAGAGAGAATCACTAAGTGTTGGTTTTGGACCTCAACGCTGAGGTGTTGGATGGATTAAGCATTAACAGGAAAGGTCACAGGTTGGGGGCCTTTGTGGTCTTAGCACGCTAAGTGGACGCTCCTCTCTTCAAACATTCTACATTTTCAGTGTCCAACATAACACCTTCCCACATTGGTCCCCGGGGACCTGCGGATCTGAGTTTTAATTGAATGAATATACTTATAGTTGTAAATGTGAGTGAGTGTGTAAGTCCTGCAGCACCATTGTCACTTTTCTGCTACGTTTACAGAATTTTCCGCACTATAAGGCACACTTAAAATCCTTTAATGTTCTTTAAAAAAAATCGACAATGCGCCTTATAATCCGGTGTGCCTTATATATGAATTCTGGTTGTGCTTGCCGACCTCGAACTGATTTTATGTGGTACACGGGGCTCAAAATTCTGTCAAAAAAATGTTCTAGTATGACTTTGGTAAGCTACGAAGCCACACCGCTTGATGGATTGTCTGAGCATTACGGCTACCGTAGTCAGGAGCCTCGTGGAGTAATCTGGGTCCAAAACTCCGTCCCCTTCAGGTCCCAAAGTCAAACGAACACCACAGCATCACTGAGAGGTAAAAACTGGCTAAATTATTTCATCTTCAATAAAATGATCAGTGTTGCTGCTCTACCAGGTGTAACAATTAAGTTTAACATCCAGGCATCCATGAAAACAGAATTTCTTAAATTTAATGGAGTTAGAAGTTAGCAGGAAGTTAGCTCGCTAGTTTCCACCTAGCGAGCTAACCACCTGTCTACCTGTGACAGTAACAAACCCCGCTTTCCTTTCCTCTTACATTTACTTTAATTATAAACTTTTAGCAAATCAAGGCATTGCTTCACAAGTACAACTATAATTGGTGAAAACACAGTCACTGGCCAGAACAGGCCACTGAAATTGCCCGACATACTATTTTACTTGGCCCAAGCTGGGTTATGTTGAACCCTGATTTTGCAGTCACAGTAGAAAAAGCACATGTGTTACTAATACCATGAATTAAGTGACTGCACCAAGACTCAAACCAAGGCAGCTAAAGGGATTTCTAGTTGTGACACTTCCCCTTTTCCCTCTGTTATGTTTCAATATTTTTTAGTAAAATGAAATTCAGCTATAGCCACATCTACATCTTTATTGCTAGAAAAAGTAGGCAAGTTCAGTACACATTATCTTATGACAGCAGCTTCTCAGATCCCAAATAATTGTAGCATAAGAAAGCATACAGTCAAATTTGTCAAGCTGTCATTTGGGAAGGAGTTGAGAGCACAATTAAATTGGTTATATCTTAGCAGATAAAATTGCAGATTCATTATATCAATAATTGGGAAAGTAAGAGATCGCCATCTTGAGTAGGGTTTTTTTTCTTTACATATTTACATCTACTTGAGAGCCATATGGGGAAATATTTGAATCTAATGAGGCTAATCTATCACTTCAGCACTTGAGTGCTTCAGTAAATATATTATTTGAGACACTGTGGCAAGGAAATCATGAGTTTCAAATCATTGTTCAGGGCCTTGTTTACTTACTGTGTACATAGTCTCTATTCTCAAATCATGTACACTAATTAAATTTGTAATCCAGCCTAAATCAAAAGGCTTTTGTTCAAATATGTTTTCAAAGCTGCACTGTGGGAGAGCAAAGTCTACAGTCTATGGCTTATTTATCACATTTCAATGTCGATTACACGACATTTACGCAGAAGATTTCTTGAAGAATATTTACAAGAAAAACAACAGAACATAAATTAAGATGTCTGTGTAGTGCTGTTAAATTACATGACAATTTATGACTAAAATGTATTTCAATTGCCAAGAAAAGGAAGGCGTTTAATTTTCCATCAATTTTCTTAACCGCTTAACCAGCTCAATGTCGTAAAGGCTGCTAACCCAGCTGAAACAGGTTGGGAATGGGGTATGCCTCGATCCATCAGAGGGTTAAATCAACCAATTTAGAATTACCAGTTAACCCAGAGGAAACCCATGCCACTAAAGGGGGAATATGAATAACCATTTAACCACATTTAATTAAACTGCAGATCATTTCTAATCTCACATCCTGGCATGAATTACAAAGCCAGTTCATCCCTACTGAGCCTCACATAGGTCTAAAAATTGTTTAAGTTAGACGATAAGGATTTTTCATGGCTTAACGGGTCTTTGGGCCAGTGACTAACTGCATAACCATGACTGGTCTGCATGTAGTTAAAGAAAAGTCTTTGATACCTTATTTAACAGAAGTATGTCTTCCTCTGTTATTTGTAGTCATTTTGCAAACAAACTGTACTTTAGTAAGAGTAAACTGAACTCCTTTTTGAAAAACAGTTAAAAATAATTATATTGGGCTGGCTGGTTGTCCTTTAGTGGAAGACCAAAATCTCTTTGGTCACCAACACTGTTTCCTGTAGATGCAGGAAAAACCCCAAAGATATATACATAGGTGTTTAACACTGGTGCTGTAAGATGAGTTAAACCTCACTTTTCTAATGCTGGTGTAATGAGAGTGTTGCATTAAATATTCATGATATTCATTAATTCTTAAGGACTGTTATTACATGCACAGGTAGGAACAGGTGTGTGCTTTGTGTTACGATGGAGTATTTATACAAATTAACATGAAATACTTTTTTTTTTACCCTGAAAGTCATTCAGTCAATCAGACAGGCACCTATTCTATGTTAATTTCAATGTATAGGTTAGTTATAATAGTAGCTGGATCTACAGTCACTGAACTCAGCTGGACGTTGACGTAGTCCAGGTGAGATGCGGAGCCAGATGTTCCATGTCAAAACAGACGTAGGTGTTCTCTCGTCACTAAACTCCTGACTATTTAGGCTGCTTTATAAAGCAGCGTTCCAACCACAACATAATTGAATACACAGCATGAAAGCTTGACAAAGGTAATAAACACGTCCAGGTAACAGCTACCCCATCCTAACCTGCACAGGTACAAAGATGACGCACATTCACCATTCTGACTACACCTGAGGCACTCGACATGATCCAAGAAACAAAGAATGTGGGACTCTGTGGCAGATAGAGGATTCTATTTTTTGTTGTCCTATTTCGAGCGTAGGAAAAAAAATGTTGGAGGGAAACAAAAGCCAGGTGAAGGTGGGACGAAGTTCCGCTTGGGCTGCTTTCTGCGTTGGATTTCAATGTACTAAAAGTTCATTTCACGCCTGCTTTTACAATGAAAATGCTTCGGAAGCTTTAAATCACTCCAAACTCTACGTTGTGCTGAAAGATGATGATATTCAAAATGACCTTGAAAGTTATTAAGGTATAAATGTACGGGAAAAACAAAAAATAAAATAGGCACCTACCGAGCGGTTGGACCGTCGCTTTTTAGATCCGCGCAGGAACATGATGTTGGCTGGACGTTAAAAGCAGTTTTCCGGTGAAGAAGCAGAGCAAAGCAACGGCGAGCGACAAAAACTGTAAGTAACACGCTTGGTGTAAACTACATGCCGTTTCTTGCAGACTACCCCCGGATTCTTCTTTCCGTCTTTGCTAACTAACTAAGGAAGGAGTTTTGGCATTCGAACTGATAAACTAGCTTAAGTGTAAAATACAACCTCCGGCGGAGACTTCAAAATAAAAGAGGTACTGAAGTATATTCTTCTCGATTCTTGAGCAGAGTCAAAAATTTAAGCAACGTTAACAAATAAACTTTAACTAAATATTCATTAACATTTTTACTTATTCAATTTATCACTTTGAAACCCATTGTTCAATCAAATTGATGCCGTGCCTTTTTTTATTTTGACTGTGTGGACACGGATCTGCCGCAACCCGTAACCTTGGTGAACATCCAACTTTACCTGTCCTGCTCAACAGACACTAGCCGACTGTCCCAAAGTTTTGGCCCGTACTTCACCTTGGCTACAAGGAAGTTGACATGGATATATGCAAAGTTTTGTAAAGTCTACCAAGACATTTTGTTTTATAAAATACGCACATTCAGAGCACAAGAGAAGTCAGCCACGTTGGCTTTAGCTTCAAATTAAATATTCCTAATGGGGCGACAAAATATGCACACAGATGGGGTTAGGGTGGGGGGTTAATATTACTCTCGAGTTCCAGTGGGAAATAGTTTGATAACATCCATCATGACCCCAAACAACGGATTATCATTCCACTGCAGGTCTTTAAAATAACACGGGTCATAAATGGTTATTGCAATTCGAAGGCAGCAGCATCAAAGCTCAAAACAAAGTAGGAAAGGATTTACATAAACACACTGTAATCTCAGAACGAAGAGTAGGGGCAGCATGTACAAACTGCAAAAATAATAATATTTAGGGGAGAGAGAAAAAAACTCAGACGAGATTACAGATCACAGATGTTTGCTGTACAAGGTCATTCAGATCCGGGCAGGAATTGTGTCAAATCATAGTAATTTCCGATCGTATCTGAATATTGCCCTGCTGATAAGGGGCGCCAGCATAACTTTGTTGATATTAGATGGTTTTACACTTTCGTAGTGGCTTATAAGGAAAAACAGTTCACAATAGAAGAGTTGCAGACTGCTTCCATCTAGTGGCAGTGAAATATAAAACAGTTTAGAGTACAAATACACAGTATCTAAAATGTAGTTATGGTAAAAAGAAAGTGGATCCTCCTCCTCGTTCAAGATTTTACATTTCATGTCCTAATGAAAAGAATCTGGTCCTTTGTAGGTCTTAAAATTAAATGAATACAAGACAAGCAGCCCATCAATTTTGATGGGTTGATCTCTGATGACCTTTCCTTGATTGCCAACAGTTTGAAAAGAGTTATAAGACCATTTCAAAACAATTTGAAATATATCATTCCGAAGTGAAAACTATTATTTACAAGTGGAAAATATTCAAGACAATTGCCAATCTTTCCAGGAGTGGATGCCCAACTAATACATCTCAGACTCAGTTAGTCTCAGTTAAATGTTGAAGTTCATGACAGTGCAATTAGGAAAAAGATTTATAAATGTTGCTTGTTTGGAAGGGTTGCAGGGAGAAAGCCTCTTCTGTCAAAAAAAAAAAAAAAAAAAAAAAAAAATGACAGGATGACTTAGATTTGCAAAGTTGCAGCTGAACAAACCACATGACCTCTGGAAGTCCTTTGAACAGATGTGTCCAGAGTGGAGATGTTTGGCCATAACACACAGTGCCACAATATGCAAAAAGTAAGCACGGCACAAAATCATTTGAACACAAACACCTCATACCAATTGCGCTGTAGAAGTGTTGATTTGAGCTGGTCTAGATCAGGTTGTTGGCTACAAAACCTGGATACATTAGAGTCAATGACTTGACTATGAACTCTGCTGTATAAGTAATATCTAGAGTTAAATTTGAGGCCATCTGTCCAACAGCTAAGGCTTTGCTCAAATTAGGTCATGCAACAGAAAAATTGCCTGAAGTACACCAGCAAATCTACAAAAGAATAGAAAAGAATGAAGGTGTCGCAATGGCCCAGTAAAAGTCCTGACGTCAACCTGACTGAAATGCTGTGGTGGGACCTTAAGAGAGCCGTTCATCAACGAATACCTGCAAACCTCGATGAACTGAAGCAATAGTGTAAAGAAGGGCGGGACAGAATTCCTCCACAGCAATGAGGAAACTCATAAAGTCATGCGGAAAATGATTACGTCAAGTTATTGCTAGTAAAGGTCATTCCATGACTGAATCATGGGAGCGTATTTAGTTTTTCTCAGGATTGCTTCTGTATATATCACGTCATCTTTTTGTTTATCTCGTGCTGTATTTACCCAATTTTTATAGACCTGACAAGGACCAGGTGTCCTGATATGCAATACCTTTGAACAGATAGTGTACTTTTTACCATGACTGTATACACTTGTAAATGAAGCACTTTAAGATAATTTAGCAGGACACATGAGTGTACAGAGCAAGCCAGAAAACTGATCTTCTTTGTGGTAAAATGGCTTTTATTTCCCTTTGAACTTTGAAATTACAGACTCTTGTAAAGCATATTAAGATGGAAAAAAAAACAAAAACAAAACACCAAAGGGGTTGAGGAAAGACTCGCAGTACATATCCTAATGTTAACATAGCATGTTCAAAAAATGGACTGTGCTACTGAGCAGTATACAGTCTACAGGAAAATATTGTAGCACCTTAAAACAATGTGTTACAAACGTAAGAAAAATGCATAACCTGAGCAAGAATCCAAGAGCTGTAGGCAAAACTTGAAGATGATGATCTAATTTTAAATAATAAAAGTGAGGTTGTTTAGTTAATGGGCTATCTATGGGTCCTAAATTCCAAAATTCTAGAAGAAAAACGACCAAAGACTGCTGATTAATAAAAATGAAATCAAATGTTTTAGTACTTAGAAACAAAAGATGAAACGGAAGAAGGTGAGGGAACTGGTTACTCTGAATGAGACTTTTAAGGCACTATAAAACACACAGAACACTATTAAATAACAGAAAAGCAAAGGTGTAACCAGCTGAGAAAGTACAAAAAAAGTCCCCCAAGAAGACATTTATAATATTAAACAATTCAAAAAGCACCACCTCTGTGTCAGTTGCTTCTGAAGCCCAAATAACACAGTTACTATTTACTACAGCAGTCCAACAGTGAACAGTAGACAAGTTGCATGATGACATCATCCAAAGTCCTCCTAGAAGCAAGTCTGGCCATTTGGCATCTTGATAAGACCATTGGGCACAGATATTTTAAAGGATTATGAAAATGAACTCTTATTTCAGTGATTAAGGGGACACCTGGAAAAAAGAGTGCTTTATGAGTTTGCTGCCCCCAAAATAATGCTTTAAAAAGCTTTTTATCACCCAGGAGGTTACACTTCACCAGCGTCTTTGCTGTTATGGAATTATCTCAGAAGCATCGGTTGAGGATTCTGTGAGTGCTAGGTCGCTCTTTCATAATCTCTCTGCATTAATCAAAGTGTTCCCTATTATTGGCAGCTTTCCCCTTTTAGTCTGGTTGGAATAAAAGTTTGAGAGGGGAATCCCTCATGGAGTAGACATACAGACAGATGCCAGCACCCCTTATTAAGGCTATGTCATCTTCTTTTCAGGCTTCATTCTTTAAGATACATTTCATCTGTTCAGGCCATGCAGCAGCATTTATTAAACTGTGACTTGCTCATTTTACTGTCCATCCTCCTCTCTGAACCGCTCCTCTGTTAACCTTTGCCCAAATGACTGCTTTTGGTTCTTCTGTGTTCTTGACAGAAGTATTTCTGTGTGAGAACATTTAAACTCTGCCATCTGTTAAAAACAAAAACAGTCAAGACATTAGAGAAAATTGCACATATCAAATAAAACCAAGAACGCGTTTTGAATGCATTAACAAAAACTGTTTTTCTCACCAGTCGGAGCTGCTGAGTGCTGTCTGTTACTTTGGACTTGGAGGAAGATTGTGTAGGTGTCGTATGCAAATATCAGCCCAGCGAACAACCCAAACACCTAAGAAGCAAGAACTGACAATCAGAATCACAACTAACACAAATACAATCTAAATAAATGATCAGTATTTTGTTAAAGTTAAGTGCCAGAAGACTTTGTGCTCTTCACACTATTAGACACTTTGGTTCATGAAGAAGCCAATGTGGGGACAGACTTGTGCCTGATATACAGCTGCAAAGCACATGTTTGGGACTAAACACGTGATTAATACAAAAGACTACGTGTAGACATAGCATACCACGAGGATGGTTGTGGTGGGGAAATGAGATGTGAAATTTATCTTTAACATACAGAAAATCTACTGTCATTAGGAGCATGATCAACTTCTCTCACTCAAAGGGACTTGTCAAAATTGCTCATTGTTCATCTGAGGATTTGTGAATCTGCACTGAGTGTTTTCAGTGAGAGCAGCAGTATGTTCAGTCAGACCTCATGACCAAAGTAATACAGTGACAGTTGTCAGTACATCTAGTGGCAAAAAACACCAATAACTCATCTTCTTAAAGGTTTATCAAATTCAGGGTCCCTGGTCCCTATCATGCTTGTGACATGTGATATAAGCATGACATCATACTGGACAGGACACCACATATCTGCAACTTGCATGCAAAGTTTTTAAAGGTTACAGGTGTATCCTGCTCAAAGGCAAAAACTAATGATAAAGCAACTTTAAAATGGGTTTGTTGGTTTTTTCCGCTTAAAAAACAAAACAAAACAAAAAAACACCTTTGTTACACCAGGCATTCAGTTTTCACATGTATAACTGGCAGCACCGAAATTAGTCAGTGGTAACAGCCATCAGTTGTCAAAATAAACAGAAATAAATATGAGCGGATGCAGTATGCAGCTAAGAACTCAGGCTGAGTCATTCTGGCTTAACGAACCGCGCCTGCGATACGAGCTCCATCCCCAGATCCTCCAATGAAATTGATCAGAGAGGTGATGATGTAGAGGACTGCACCAATCCCAGCACGGAACAGATCCTGCACAAAAGAGGGAAGCAAAAGATGAAGCATTATGCAATTTAGCACAGAAATGTGTCAGAGGGTGTGCATGTAGTTATGTGTGTGCGGACTCACAGTCCAGACCCAGTTGATCACTAGGATCTGCTTGTCCAGGTCCATCATGAAGATGCCGAAGAAGATCATGGAGAAGATCATCTCACATATGGCCAACGCAGAGTAGCCTCCATACACGGAAGAAGCATAGCAGATGATGACGATAAAACTGACAAGCTAAGATAGAGATGAGAGAAAAGAGGAGATAAGACTTGATATCAGTGTACATTTCACAGGAAACTAACACCCACACTGCGTAAATTCCTCTACCCTGTTAGAATTTCCAGGTATAAAAATCAGCTGCAATTTCTCTGAGATAGGACTGCACATTTTTGTAGCGTCACACAGCAACAGAAAATAATGTCTATAGAGCTGTCACGTCCAGCTGGACAGTAAATGACTCCAACAAAGGCATCATTATTCTGCTTACAGCAGCCACTTGACTACTTCCAAGTCAACATTCACATGACAACAGCTATTCATGCTAACAAATTATTTTCTAGACAAAATACTATTAGAGTGAGACAACTGAACAGAGCATAATGCACAGTGTCTGCCTATCACACGCTGCTTTCATCTTAGATTTACAGCCAGTGATTGTTTCATCATATTTTTCCATATAAGGGGGAAAAAAAAAAAAAAGTCAGCGTGCATTCTTCTCGCTCAAATGAAACGCGGCCAGTGTGGAGAAACCATAAACTCAGGCAGCCTACAGCTCACTATCAGTCTGTTTTTCAATATCGCTATTGTTGCCGCTGTCAAACTGTGTGGGCAGATGCTTTCACACAAAGTTATATAACAGCCGTAAAGGAGAGCAAACTTCAAAGGTTCAAAAGTATAACTATATTTGCTAAAACACACTAACTGGCATTCATTTTATTTGATTTGTGACAACATTCAGGGAATCCTTTTCCTGCACATTTGTCTTTAAACCTCACAGCAGGGTTTGTGCCACTTACACACGTGCCAAAAAACAAGACTGCATATATAGGAAAAGGGGAAATTACATTAAAACCCACTGAAAACATTAAATTCATGGTGCATAGGAATGAAAAATGATATTCCTTCTTTTAACTAATGAATTTACTAATTAATCAGTGCAGGTCTTAAACACGTAAGCATCCTATCACTTAAAAAAAATATATATATACACTTACTTTTTTACCCTAAATCTTATATTAGGTATGATTCTTTTTTGACCCAGAGCCTTTTAAAGAAAGCACATCACATCATAATCTATGGTTACATTCATCATAGTCGTGTAATACTTACTAAATAAAATCACACTCTTAACTCTGACATGCATCTAAAAAAGGCAGTTGCACTCAATGCAATGTTTTATTCTCAGACACAGACGACTCAGGAGACAGTGTCAAATCACAGCAGTCTATATGATACACGCATGATTTAACTGACTTGACACCAGCCCCTACATCTGTCACTACAGCCTCCCCTCCCCACACACGAACAGCCAGCCAGCAACTCTGATGCATCAGTAGTTCGTGTGTTCCTGAGACTGGCACAGGCTGCCTCTGTAGTGCAGTCAGGAGGCTGAGGCCAAGGCCCTACACAAAAGAAGCTCTATTCGGGCTCGAGGCGGCTGCTCTGAGAGCAGTGGCTACTGAGGAGGCCGTCGCACAGAGAAACACCCACTACACAAGAGTCCCTCTGAACAAGAAAGTCTCTGAGTTGTTGACACCTTTATGTTTTGCACACAGCAGTAGATCTGTTTGCACCAGGCAGCTTTAAAAGATCCCAGGCAGGATCTTTTCAAATCAGAAAAATAAGCTGCTCTCGTTGAATTGACTGGGAGGGAAACTGTTGTGAACGGCTGGCTATTTATAGTCAGCAGCAACATGAGGGCAAAGACGTAGTACACAGTGCAGAGCCATTCCAAACAGCAACAGTTGCTAGGGAAGTCAATGAATGTGTGCAAGAGCAAGAAGGGAAAGTCCTATTTCATCTCTCTTCTTACTTAAAACTACTCATTTGTACCCATTATACACGTTGCATTCCCCACCCACCCCCCAAAAAACCTGAATCACTAAAAACGGATTTCCACTCTTCAATCACTGAACTAGTTCACATTCTTAATATTATAAGCAAGGTCATTAATTAGCTCATCACAACTCATTGCCACAGACTTAACTGTGCCATGTGAAACATGCGCTACATGGGTGTGACTGTGACCTGCGAGTTGCTCTGCAAATACAAACATGTTCATGCATGGTCATGCTTCTTACAGGCAGAAAATAAAAATAGGTCTAAACCTAATTTGGTGATGCACTGAAACCTTGAGGCTAAAATACTGTGCGTGAAGTCACGAAGTTTATTCCTTCACATTTTTGGTTTAACAACTGGCATGCTTCTGCATCCCTGCCTGCTGGGATGAGATACCCCTTTTCCTATTAAAATGAAAACACCCATAATAAGCAGTAATCACATCTGCCTTCCTGTTTGCTCCCACGGTCCTTCTCCCTACACTCCAAAGCATTTCAGATATCCACCATCAGATGACTTCCGTCTGAGTTTATCAGTCTCCAGTAAAGTAATGAGTAGGAGAGGAAACAAACTATGAAGGGTGTTCAGTGAAGCATAAAGCAAACCTATCCTTGAATGGCAGACCAGAGATGTGTGCGTTAAACATTTCATGCATTCTTTGTTCCCAGGGTAAAACTTCACACCAGCTTGGAATTTCCATTATCTGGCAAAGCCGATTTTTTTTTTTTTTTTTTTTTTTTGGGGGGGGGGGGGGGGGGTTTACAGTGGGCAGACTACTGACCACCAACATCTGAGGGGCTGCTTTATAATGAGCTTGTCGAGCTATGAGAGCAAAAAGTTTGATCGGCGGAAAAAAAGCGCATTCTCCGTTTTACTCAGTGGAACGCATTAATTCATTTTGTTTTGGATATTAATGCTGACCCGTTTTATTTGTTTTTCCTTTTGTCTTTGCAATTTACTATGTTCAGTTTATCCTTTATCGGGTGGATGAATGCTATTAAATATTTGGGATCTATGTTAACAGTGAACCTATTAAAGCAGAAACATACAGGAAATATCTGGCAATTTGTACAGTTTAATGTTTGGTTGTTTTAACACAAGTCATTTCCCTCAACTCATGTAGGGTGATCTGATAAAACTTCGACTCAAGAGCTTAATGTGAAGCTGACAAACATTTTAAAAAGGTATTCATTCTCTGCCTGAAGGAAACATATCAACTACAAGTAAAAGTCCTATATTCCAAAGCTTCTGCAATCATATTACTCAATCCATACTGTTGTCTTTTTACTATGCATATGGAATTTATTATGAGTCTCCAAGTGGTGCTGATTGTTTTGCATTCTCATACATTGCGTTATATTTCACCAGCTGACTGGAATCTATAACAAACATCTTAGTTTGTAAATTGCAACACAGAAAAAAATAAGCAGTGGAAGTGCAATGACATCAAGTACAGTACTTAAGTAAATTTACTTAGATACTGATCCACTGACAATACGGAACTTATGCAAAGTATTTAAACTTAAAGTGACTCATGTGTTAAGAGATCACACCGCTGTGAAATGCAAACAAAGGCGTTCATGTGAAAATAGTGGTCAAGGACAGTAAAGTACAACAGTATTCCCAGACAGGAAGTCATTTTAATTTGCCACTAAGACAGTTTATTATTAGGAGCTGTAGGTTGTTTGCATTTATACTTCTATTCCTGCCTTTGCGGGGTGCATGCAGCCCTGTTAACCAGAGCCAGATGTGCAAACCTATAATGTGGGATGGAAAATCCTTTTATGAGCCTTTATACTACCAATAATGTGATATACGTTGCATTTTGCTACTCTGGCTACAGACAATATCCAGCCTGTAAGTGAGCACGTGAGACGGTGGGCTGAGTTAACCTATGTGACCTTTAATGATCAGCATTTCAGCTCCTTGGTGCAAAAAGCAAAAACAGTGGAGCAGCAGTGACAGGTGGAATCCCTTCAACTCTGAGAAAGCACATACTTTTCATTCCTTATACAGACTAGAGTGAGAAATGTGAATAACAAAAGAGAAGAAAACCGAGCAAAGGGAAAATGACACATTAGTGATTAAAAAAAAATCAATAGATACAGAACACAAATCCACTTAGCCATCTATAAATTATTGATTAGTTACAAGTGAGCTTTACACGCAGCATATTAAAGCCATATCTGTGAGTCGTTAAACGTGGATCATCACAGCAGAGCGGCACACAAATATCACAGTGAGAACAAACTTACTATTTCTGCTGCCAGGATGAACCCTTTCTGGGTCTTCACGTAGCTTTTCAGCCTCTCCACGCAGCTGGGAGAGCCGGACGCACTTGTATCAGCCATTCTGTACTTTATCAAAGTTCACTAAACAGACAGTGTGTATTCGACCCCTAACTACGAGCAGATTAAACAAATGTTCTTCTTTCTTTCTTTAGTGGAGGAAAGTTTGGAGAGTGCTGCCCTGGTGCGGTTTATCGTTGCTCTTGCTTAAATTGGCGAGTCGTTATTTTCCCCTCAGGCGGATGAATCAACTTCTCCGAGCAGAGGTCTTGATGAAATGCGGCTATTGGACTCCAGCACGACCACAGAAGCTCTGCGGAAACTCTACAAGAGGGAGGGACAAGGAACCAGCGTAGGAGTTCACTGCCGGGCGTTGGCTCGCTACCGCTTTCCTCAAGGGGAGCTGTTTCTCTGCAATTACCCAAGTTATTTTAATGTTTTGTTATGTCATTTTAGGTTGTTTACATTTGCTTTATACCGTGGCGCTGCCGGGGATTATTTAACTGCAAATAAACTAGATTGTTATGCTGGTGCTTGTGCTTTATTATTTGCACAGAGCGCTAAAATCCCTAAAAACTATATGTAGGACGAAGAGAATGGGTTACTAGAGAGCAAAGAAACCATGCAAGTTACACGTTTACTTACAAATATGTTGCTTTACTACATACTTTCCCCGTCTCCCTTAAAAGGTGAAAACAAGAAGGCTGACAGGAAGCTAAACAAAAGACTAGAGCTTCAGTCCAACTTTTTTCTTTTCATTGTTTTCCTTGCATCATATTCGCTGACATATGCATAATTTGTGACTTTGAGCACACGCAGAGCAAAAAAAGAAAAAAAAAGTGTGACATGCCAGCTTGCACCGTGAACAGGGGCGTTTCCAGGTTTTTTTTCTATTGGGGTGGCAAATGGAGCGACGACGAGCACGAGGCGTGAGGAGTGCAGGGTATTTGATCAGAAATAAACCCAATGTAGAAAACGGGTGTGCAAAACATTTTCAGCCGTGTGTGGAGTCTTGATGCAGATGGTATTATGAGAAATGGGAAAACTTGTTTTGTGGTTAGTAGTAGGGGCGTGTTTTGGTTATTGATTTAAATCGATTCTAGCTTGGATAACGTGATATCAATTAAAATCCTGAATCGATTTTTTTTATATAAATTAATTTTGCCGGAAATGCCAGAATCTCAGGTTAAACCGCACACAATTTCAACAACCACCAAACAGCTAAAACAGTAAATGAGAGCAGGAACACGGATTCTGCACAAAGTCGCCTTTCTCACCTGACGGGGCTCAAAGCCGACAGCCCGCTGATTCTGATGTTTCGGCGGGTCCCTGCTTTGTGTTTACGTCTTTTTTGCGCTAGACAAACAATATGACTGAACCAGCAGCAAAAGAAGATCCAAACTACGCTTCACATAAACATCGTCAAATTCAAATTTTATTTGTCAAATTTGAATTTGACATTGTCATGAAATACCTCTGACTTTTGCTGTTTTGCCTCCACCACAATAAAAATCACACTTCATGGACATCTCTCTCTCTCTCTCTCTCTCTCTGTATACTTCAAGAAAAGTTTCCCGTCTAAAAATCTGTTCTCTGCATTATTCGCTTGCTTGTTGCGCACAAGTCTACGGTTTTTTTACAGCGCTGTCGGCCGCTGTCTTTTCCTTTTACCTATACTTCCGAAAATAAAACCTAATTTCTGCTGAATTCTTTATTGTAACTTGAATAAATTCTTTTAAAAACTGAATTTGAATTAGTCTAATTTGAAATTCAATTTATTGGTTTGAAAATGATCATCACTACATTGAATTTTATATTTTGACATTGAATTCCTTTGCTTTGAAACTGTATTTTATCCTTTAAAAATTTAGCTCTCGAATAATTTCAGGTTGTCTTTTTGTTTATCTCGTGAAAATGATTACGTCAAGTTATTGCTAGTAAAGGTCATTCCATGACTGAATCATGGGAGCCCATTTAGTTTTTCTCAGGATTGCTTCTGTATATATCACGTCATCTTTTTGTTTATCTCGTGCTGTATTTACCCAATTTTTATAGACCTGACAAGGACCAGGTGTCCTGATATGCAATACCTTTGAACAGATAGTGTACTTTTTACCATGACTGTATACACTTGTAAATGAAGCACTTTAAGATAATTTAGCAGGACACATGAGTGTACAGAGCAAGCCAGAAAACTGATCTTCTTTGTGGTAAAATGGCTTTTATTTCCCTTTGAACTTTGAAATTACAGACTCTTGTAAAGCATATTAAGATGGAAAAAAAAACAAAAACAAAACACCAAAGGGGTTGAGGAAAGACTCGCAGTACATATCCTAATGTTAACATAGCATGTTCAAAAAATGGACTGTGCTACTGAGCAGTATACAGTCTACAGGAAAATATTGTAGCACCTTAAAACAATGTGTTACAAACGTAAGAAAAATGCATAACCTGAGCAAGAATCCAAGAGCTGTAGGCAAAACTTGAAGATGATGATCTAATTTTAAATAATAAAAGTGAGGTTGTTTAGTTAATGGGCTATCTATGGGTCCTAAATTCCAAAATTCTAGAAGAAAAACGACCAAAGACTGCTGATTAATAAAAATGAAATCAAATGTTTTAGTACTTAGAAACAAAAGATGAAACGGAAGAAGGTGAGGGAACTGGTTACTCTGAATGAGACTTTTAAGGCACTATAAAACACACAGAACACTATTAAATAACAGAAAAGCAAAGGTGTAACCAGCTGAGAAAGTACAAAAAAAGTCCCCCAAGAAGACATTTATAATATTAAACAATTCAAAAAGCACCACCTCTGTGTCAGTTGCTTCTGAAGCCCAAATAACACAGTTACTATTTACTACAGCAGTCCAACAGTGAACAGTAGACAAGTTGCATGATGACATCATCCAAAGTCCTCCTAGAAGCAAGTCTGGCCATTTGGCATCTTGATAAGACCATTGGGCACAGATATTTTAAAGGATTATGAAAATGAACTCTTATTTCAGTGATTAAGGGGACACCTGGAAAAAAGAGTGCTTTATGAGTTTGCTGCCCCCAAAATAATGCTTTAAAAAGCTTTTTATCACCCAGGAGGTTACACTTCACCAGCGTCTTTGCTGTTATGGAATTATCTCAGAAGCATCGGTTGAGGATTCTGTGAGTGCTAGGTCGCTCTTTCATAATCTCTCTGCATTAATCAAAGTGTTCCCTATTATTGGCAGCTTTCCCCTTTTAGTCTGGTTGGAATAAAAGTTTGAGAGGGGAATCCCTCATGGAGTAGACATACAGACAGATGCCAGCACCCCTTATTAAGGCTATGTCATCTTCTTTTCAGGCTTCATTCTTTAAGATACATTTCATCTGTTCAGGCCATGCAGCAGCATTTATTAAACTGTGACTTGCTCATTTTACTGTCCATCCTCCTCTCTGAACCGCTCCTCTGTTAACCTTTGCCCAAATGACTGCTTTTGGTTCTTCTGTGTTCTTGACAGAAGTATTTCTGTGTGAGAACATTTAAACTCTGCCATCTGTTAAAAACAAAAACAGTCAAGACATTAGAGAAAATTGCACATATCAAATAAAACCAAGAACGCGTTTTGAATGCATTAACAAAAACTGTTTTTCTCACCAGTCGGAGCTGCTGAGTGCTGTCTGTTACTTTGGACTTGGAGGAAGATTGTGTAGGTGTCGTATGCAAATATCAGCCCAGCGAACAACCCAAACACCTAAGAAGCAAGAACTGACAATCAGAATCACAACTAACACAAATACAATCTAAATAAATGATCAGTATTTTGTTAAAGTTAAGTGCCAGAAGACTTTGTGCTCTTCACACTATTAGACACTTTGGTTCATGAAGAAGCCAATGTGGGGACAGACTTGTGCCTGATATACAGCTGCAAAGCACATGTTTGGGACTAAACACGTGATTAATACAAAAGACTACGTGTAGACATAGCATACCACGAGGATGGTTGTGGTGGGGAAATGAGATGTGAAATTTATCTTTAACATACAGAAAATCTACTGTCATTAGGAGCATGATCAACTTCTCTCACTCAAAGGGACTTGTCAAAATTGCTCATTGTTCATCTGAGGATTTGTGAATCTGCACTGAGTGTTTTCAGTGAGAGCAGCAGTATGTTCAGTCAGACCTCATGACCAAAGTAATACAGTGACAGTTGTCAGTACATCCAGTAGTATATGGCAAAAAACTACATTAACTCCCATCTTTTTAAAGGTTTATCAAATTCAGGGTCCCTGGTCCCAGCTGGGAAATCAGTCTGAAACTGATTTCCGGTCATCACTGTGTCCTGTTTTTGGCAACAATAAACTAACATTCAAACTAAATGACACGTGGATTCAGTGTTATATCTGGATTTTTTTTGTCTTAGAAATTTTTGAATGAGCTAAAGTAAGGTAATAAGTCACAGTCTACAATTGTAGTCAAAAAGGAAGGAAGTATTGCAGTATGAACATTACTCAATGTTGAGTGCCTGCTTTTTCAGAAAGTTTGAGCGTTTCATATTGAACACAAAAAAGTGACAAAAAACACCAGGCATTCAGTTTTCACATGTATAACTGGCAGTAGAGCAGGGCGATATGGCCAAACATATTTATCACGATATATATTTGAAAATTTGCGATAACGATATAACTGACGATATAATTGATGCGAGACAAAATACAACTCCACAACATTACTAGCACAAAAAGACAACCTTCCATTTATTTTCACTTAAACAAGAAGCTGGTTTTTATGTACATTAAAGCTTTATAAAAATGTAACAGTGCAAATGCAAATTCCTTGCTGAAAGTTTAACCAAAAGGCATTTCCAGTAGAAATGGGCTGACATATCTTGAGCATAACCATGTATAATATCCACTGAAGTTAAAAAGAGGTGATTTGCAACATTAAACTGCAGTGTGCAGTACGTATTTTTCGGACCATAAGGTGCATGGGATTATAAGGCACATTAAGCGAAACAAAGCAGCCAGATAAATCAAACTTTATTAAACTCATTCTTCTTGCTTCCTCCACTTCTGTACCATTGATCTATTAATGAATGAATTCTGCTCTATTCCCATGTTGTTGCAGTATATTAATGACTAACCTTGTATTGTGGATGGATTATCTCAGTTGTTCTCCTAACTGAAGTTTGGTCCGTTTACAGCATCCTGTCATGCGATTGCATTTGTCTCTAACCATGAGGAACCTTCACGTTAACTTTTATAAGTGGAAAAGTGTTAGTGTTCGTCCTCCAGCTTCACTGTTTATGTTATGCTAACATAGCTGTGTCGCTAGCGATCACGTAGCACATCATTATATACCAGCTAGCCCAACTTCAGTAACCCATGAGC